GGCTAAGTTCTGAGACATCAAATTTGGCCGCCGCAATAATGTCTCTCGCTCGCATTGTGCTGCCTGCCTGTAGTGTCATTCAACTCTTGCGGGGTGCTTGTTATTCCTCTCGGGCGCCTTTCCAAGCCGCGACGCACTTTTGAACAATTTCCCGAAGCCGATGCATGTTGGTGGAGGACACTTGTCGTTTAATCGACGACGCCTCGACTGGGAACCAAAGTATTTGAGTCGTGATCCAGAGGCCTGGGAGTTGCAACCGGAGCGGGCGAATAGAGTTCGGCGGGTTTGCAACGCCGACCCTCCGGTCGATAGACTCTCACTCTCATGATGTGGCGATTGGCGGCGGACAGGCCCGCGCTGGGGTGGATTACTCCGCTAATGACTCTCGTCTTTCGGCTCTGCAATCTGTTCTTGCGGGTATCGGTAGTCTCAGTGCTGCGGTACATTTGCCGCTGTGGAGGTTATTCGATGCATCGTCACCATCATAGCCAACAATGCTGAACGCAGTAATGGCGCTCGTTGCGCAAATATTGCCGGATTACACAGCGTCAAACCGCCAAGCAGTGCATCTTGGATAGTGTGGGAGGTTTACAAGCCGGCGAGCGATTTGTGCTGTTTCGTCGCGCTGCGCCGTCGCCGAGAGCAAGGCGCGAATTTCCCGAGGCGAAAACGCCGAAAGCGCGGAGATATAGCTTGCCCTGCTCTTCTTTCATAGCCACAATCTGTTCGACTTCATCGAGCGGAATACACCGTGACCAGTGCGATATGGTATCTCGGAGTCCTCGAATTGCTACGCCTGATGATTGGATCGATGTAGCCTCCACCAATACTTACGGTTGTGTCGAATTCAGGCCCGGGACGGGGCTTGGGAGAGGAGTCGGATAGACTTGAGCTCCGGAGCGGCTTAGGACGGGCCGTGCCTTGATCTGCGATTCCGGGTCAAGCAGGCTATGGCCCCTGGTGGGTTTACACGTCAGCTTTGACACTGAGGTCATCTCGGAGGTGGTATCTGGATACCTGGACAAAACAAAAACGACATGATATACCGTGCAGCGGTACGTCATCGTATCTCGTTGTTAGGTATATCTGATTTTCGTGGCTTGTATAGAGCTGTGTTAGCTGTTGGTTTCGCAGTGTGCCGGTCAAGGAGCCGAATGTAGCAAACATCGTACGTTGAAAGGCTGGAATGATCATAAGGTAGGATGATCAGATGACTAGAAATAATCGGACTGAGTCTTCATCATCAGAACCATCACAGTAGGTAGGTACCTATTATGTATGCACCTGCCTCGCAAATCCTCGACACTGGACAGAGGCAGGGACGACGGACGACGAGCATCGGCGGCAATGGCAAGAACTGGTGCCCCACCGCGGGGTACCCCTTGGCGGGGTGAGGACCTGTTGCGGTGTACGGAGTACTCCTACCACTCGGTCACATCAACCCGGGTGCCGATCCCGCCAGGTTTTTTCCATCGTCAACTCCCGTTCCGTCCAGCCCGCTGTGGGAACTTCCTCACCTCACGATAAGGTCCAATCCGATCTTGAAGATTCCGCTCACATTCCCAATCGACACCATGGCAGACGTCAAAGCAAACGCCGAGGCGTTAATTCCCAAATTCAAGCTCGATCGCGTCCTCAACCAAGGTACTTTCTAGCCACACCAACATCAACCCACGAGCACGAACACTGACGATACCCTCACCAGACCAAGCAGGCCGCCGCACCTCCCTCCTCGGCACAATCGACTCCAACCCAGCCCTCCTGATCCTCGAACGCGCCCCCTTCCCAGCCGACCCCTCCTACCTAGCCGCAACCCCGACAACCCTCTCCTCCATCACGAACCTAGGCGCAAACGACATCTACCACTGGTACCTCGCCAACACCTCTTCCTCCTCCACCGATACCTCCCTCGCCGACCTCAAAATAAACCTAATCTACCCCTGCACCGCCACCCACATCAAAAAATACAGCAAACAAGGCGTCCGCTTCGTCACAGAGACACCAGAGCTCTACGCCTCCCACATCCGCCCTTACATGCAACGCAAGCGCGGTGACGGCCGACTGGACTGGGTCTTCAACATCATCGAGGGCCGCACAGAAGTCGAAGACGTAATCTACCGCACCGAGCTCGGCACCCAAGGCGACGAAGGGTTCCTGCTCATCCCGGACCTCAACTGGGACCGCAAGACGATCGAGGGTCTGCACCTGTTGGCCCTCGTCGAGCGCCGCGACATCTGGTCCCTGCGCGACCTCCGCAAGAAGCACATCCCCTGGCTGCAGCACATGAAGGCCAAGCTGCTGGCTGCGACGGTGAAGCAGTACCCCGACATCGAGATCGACCAGCTCAAGCTCTACGTCCACTATCAGCCGACGTACTACCACTTTCACATTCACATTGTGCACGTGCAGCTGGAGGCCGGCGCGACGCAGGCGGTCGGCAAGGCGGTCGGTCTCGACAGCATCGTGGAGACGCTCGAGATCATGAAGGGAGATGAGGAGGCGGGTATGGATGGTATTGCACTAAGTTACACACTTGGCGAAGCCAGCGAGCTATGGACAGAGGTGTACGAGCCTCTCAAGAACTCTAAGCAGAACGGTACAGCTTCTCAATAGCGATGACAAGGTCGTTGGGCCCCGCGCCGTGCGGGCAGTCCTTCCACTCACCGCCGTCCCGGATGCAGTAAATCTCCTCGTTGAGCCTGACGGTGCAGCTCTTGGTAACGCCGGCCTAGACAGTCGATTAGGCATAGATCAGATAGAAGGGAAATGCGGGTTAGGACTTACATCCTTGCTCCGGCGGACGCTGTCACGCAGCATACCAACGCCGAAGCCACCGTCGTCCTGGGTAGCGCAGTCGTCGAGGGCCTTGATGTCAATCGCGTGCTCCAGAGCGCAGTCCTCGACCAGAGTGCGGTCAGGGATGGCGCTGTACTCGCGGGTAAGACACATGGTGAAGCCAAGGTTGATCTTGGGATCGGGGTAGAGGTGGATGGCACAAAGCTCAATAATGTTTCCCATGCCTGTCGACGGTGTTAGCATTCGCATGTGCGGCGTGTATTTTACGTAGGAGCAAACATACATTCGGCAGGGCCGTGCTTGCAGTCTACGCCATCATTCTCGGTCGGCCTAGATAATAGTATCGTCAGTCACAGTCTCGTCGAGCATCGGAGAGCCCTGAAGGAGAATGATTACTCACGTGCCGATATACGACAGGGTGAAGTTGACCTTGTCGAGGGACTTCACCATGGTAGGCAAAACCAAATCTCTCAAGCAGTCCTGAGCACGGATAGCATCAGCATCTCCCACATTTTCTATCTCAATATCGATTGTTGCATACCCTCGCATCCGGACACTTGCTCATAATGTGCGCCTCCAAAGGCACTAAGCTTTTGGCAACCTCGACCGGCGGCTCCTGGGGCACGACGCGAGAAATGCCACTGCTGCTGCTGCTGCTGCTCAAAGGGTGACGCAGGTAATTCCACAGAGAGTAGGCGAATAAGACGGCCATGGCCAGGGCGGGCAAGACGCCCTTTCTCCGGGTCATCCGTGCAGACATGGCCGGGTAGGGAGGAGGCGTCGATGTGCGGTATCCGTAGTAGTCTCGCTTTTCGTCCATGACAACGGGGTATTCGGTTTCGGGGTATCGGTACGGAGAAGTAGTTTCGGGTGCGGGAACAGTTGTGGTTATCGGTTCGATAGTAGATTGGGATCGAACTGCTTCTTGGCGCTGTTGACGGTAGACGGAGCGGTGTTCTGAACAGCCTCGATGCGCCCCCATTTGGAGAAGAGGAGCTGCAGGACGGTTGAGAGGTTCCCCCCGGAAGCAAAGTTTAGTAATGACGGGATCACGTCGCGAGGGGTGGTGGTGGTGGTGGTGGTGGTGGTGGTGCACTGGCACTGGTGTGTGTATCTGTGAGATTGCGACAGAGACGCAGGATGCGCACAATGCTCAATGCACTCTTGAGCCAATAGAAGTCTGGTGTTCGTACAGCAACGACGATGGAGCGGACGTTGAAGGAACGTCGACGCTAGCTGGATAGGGCAAGGCTTCTGGAGATTATAGAGGTACATGAGATTGAGGTGGACGCTCGTATCAAGTCAAAGTACTCTTATATCTCCACCTTCCATTGTAAGCTCCGCGTCCGGCGGCACGCCATCAGCATCAACGGGCAACAGCGGGGGGGCTTCCTGTTCCTGGTGAACCTCCCGTCCCGTCAGCTCCTCACTGCCTTATCTTATCAGCTGTTGCATTCGTCAGGTGCGGGAGGGTCCTTTGGCGCTGATGTAACAGTGCGAGGTACTTCTGCCCCTCGACTGTACCCCCATCTGACCTCATCAGACCTTATTTGTGTCGACTGAACAGTAGGAAGCTTCTTACTTAGTAGGGAGGAGCCATAACGAGAGGTATTAATTTCATGAAAAATGTTGGAAAGTGTGTCAAAATGTACCTCGATGAAATCAATATCTGGAGGAAGTGACTCAGTGGCCCACCTAACCTGTTCGTGCTTTCTACACTGAGGAGAGGAGCTCCCCTTCCTGTTCTGGGCTGAGCTACGACGGCAAGGACACCAGGTGTGGATGATGGAGCAGGCGCATCTCAGCTGAGTGTAACGTGCCCTGCTCCATACTCGATGCTCCATATTGCCATTCTTCCAAATCCCAACTCCTTTTCCACACATTGCGCATCCTCAAACGTCAGATTCATCTCTCAGAGTTCTTTATTCCCGACACCCAAGCTGATGTCAAATCTCTCCTTGTAGAGTTTTGTTTTGTTTCAACCACCCCAGCGAGGATACCCAATCTGTAAACGAACACTCGTCCAACCAAGTAACCGGTCTTGGACCCGGCGAAGCAAGGCCAAGGTAGCAGAGTGACATACACAGTAGACGAAGCTACAGATCATTATACAGACACAGAGACGTAGGGAACAGCCTCATCGCCTCGTCGCCTCACCCCTCACTCGCGCCTCACCACCAAGCCCCGCGCCTGAGCACAACGACATGGATCCCGGCTCTGCCCTGCAGCACTTCCTGCAGCCCCTCCAGGTCGACGCCCACAAAATTCATACACTGTCCGGCCTTTTCTTGTCCAATTTCACAGACCTCGCTCTTCACGCCCAAGATCAGTTCCTCTCCACGCCCATCTCAGAGTCCATCTTACGACATGTCAGCCAGGAAGGTCGTGGAAGGTATGATGGTTCCCTCCTTTAACCCCTTGATTCTTTCTTGACTCCACCTAGCTTCCTAAGATGCCAGTCATCTCTTTTGATGTACTCTCATACATCATCCGGTGGCCAGAGCAGTGGAAAGTTGTGATGAAGTCGGGGTGTGGTTTGCCATGTTTGATACTGAAGCTAACGACGCATTATAGACACCTGGCCATTGACATGTATGTCGCCTCAGCTCTCCCCCACCGATATATTCCAATCGTCTCCCTTCATGCGCATCTCGCCATGCTGCAAGGCCTCTCTGAACCATTCATCAAATCACTAACCTCAACGTCAGCGGCGGAACGAACCTGAGGGTAGGCCTGGTCGAGCTCGGGCGCAAATACGCCACAGACGCCAACAAAACAACCTCGTCCTCGCCCAAGCCCAATGGAACCTCATCCTCATCAACCCTCAAACTCAAAGAGGAAGCTTGGCCCATAGACGATCGCGTCAAAGCAGATGCCAAAGGGGATCCCCAGCTCCTCTTCGACTGGATTGGCGCCCGCATCGCATCCGTCGTCCGCAATGCCCGCAAGGAGTCCCTACTGCCCGACGATGATGAGCCCATTCCTATGGGCATCACTTTCAGCTTCCCCATGATCCAGCGTTCTATCGCCGAAGCACAAATCATGACAATGGGCAAAGGCTTCAGTATTAAAGGCTATGCAACGCTAGGTCCTTTGCTCATCAGGGGCTACGACAAAGCTCGCAATGCCCAAGCCAATGGAATCCACAGCAGCCCTCTGCCCCCCATCCACGCCGCCGCCATTTCAAACGACTCTGTCTCAACACTAATCACCTTCATCTATCTCTTTGACGAGTTCAAGCCCAAGCCCAAGTCAGAATCAAAGCCTAAACCCCAGTCACCGTCCCTCATCATCAAAAAGGCAAGCATGGGCCTCATCGTCGGCACAGGCTGCAACGCCACCATTTCCCTCCCTCTCACCGCCCTCGGCCCCGGAAAATGGCCCGAAGCTGTGAGTACCCTCCCCGGCGAACCTGCTGGCCACATCCGCATCGCTGTGAACACGGAATGGAGCATCCGCGGTACGGCCCCGCCCCTGCGCGAACTCGGCTTCATCACAGCATGGGACACAGCCCTTGACGAGGCCCTCGTCGGACCAGGCGAGATTGCTGGCTTCCAGCCCCTGGAGTACATGACGGCCGGCCGCTATCTTGGTGAGCTTGGTCGTCTCGTTCTAGTCGACTACCTCCGTACTGTTCTTGGCTTCGACGAATCCTCATTACCAGAAGGCTTACTCACAAGGTATGCGCTGACGACGACGTTCCTGAGCCACTTTAAACCTGCCGACGACAATCCTTCCGACCCATTCCCTCTCCAGTCCAAGCTGGAAGAACAGTTCCCAGTAGGAAAAGTAGAAGCAGGAACGGGGCTATCGCCCCCATTCCAATGGACACCAATAATCGCAGCAGCCCTCTACCACATCGCAAAAGCAATCGAGATCCGTGCCGCAGGCATCGTCGCAGCCGCCACCTTCGCCCTCTTGAAATTCGCCGAAGACATCCCACCTGCTGTCCCAAAAGACCACCACCACCACCAGCAGAAGCAAGGCATCCCTCCTAGCATAGAGTTGGGTGTCGGCTACACGGGTGGCTGCATCTCCCATTTCCAAGATTACCTCGCCGACACGCAAGACTTTTTAGACAAGATTGTGAAGCTAGAATACTCTGCGGACGGGTCAAAATCACAGTCGCCGTTACCGGTGAGGATTATTCTGAGTCCCTGCCATGACGGCGGGATCAAGGGCGCCGGGATCCTCGTCGCCGCCACGGGGAAAACCTTGAAGCAAGAAACATAACATGTTGAGAAGGAGAATGTCATAAAGACTTGGCTGCAGTCGTGTGAATGAGAGGTCTCTGCCCGCCTCACTTGCCTGCTGTACCATGCGGCAGAATCATCTCGAGAAGGGACGAGAGAACGGGGAGATGGGGGTGCACTGGGAGTGCCCATCGCTTATAAACGACGAAACATCATTAAACTTGCATAGTGGGCACACATCGATAGGCAGAGACAATCATGGTGCAAGAAACCTTTAAATTGACTCGGCAGGTCAACTAGAGACCTTGGTTCTGAGCAAGCCAGACTCTGCTGCTGCTGCACTGGAGCCGTTTGACTCACGCCCACTTCTCCGTACTATTAAAGACAGTTAAATAAAATGCAATTCCCTCGCCTTGTGCTTCACAGTAAACCCAATTCCCGCCCTCTCTTTCTCTTTCCAAAACACATCCTCCTCAAGTGCAAATATATACGACGCAAGCGACCTCCTATGCAATTCGAGCGATGGTGAAGAAGCAGACGCTATGCTATGCATGTTGGTTTTTGATATCATAGGCGGCAAATCTTTTGACTCTCCCCTGTCCACGTGCCAACCGACCCCCGCCAACCACCTCCCGCCCACCGGTTTTGGTTTTCGTCGGTCCCGATCAATGCTCCTCTCTTATGCCCAGGTGCGGCCGTTTCATTCATTAAAGTAAAGAAAAAGAAATATGCCTTTGTGAATGGGTCGCAGGATCCGATGGTGGCGTCTAGCCACGCATCGCCCTCGTAGATCGGTAGTTCAACCGAGGCGGCAGGGTAATTTCCATGTCGTCAATACCCTCGTCATTGTCGGCTTCAATCGGCCCATCGTCTGCCTCGAGAGGCTTTGACATGTCCACCTCGATCGTCTTGGCGACTGGAGTCTTGGTCTCGGCCTCAATCTTCGCATCAACCTCGAGCTTCCTGGGTGTGATGGGTGGGTTGCTGTCCTTGGCGGCCGTGAGCTCCCGCCGCATGCTCGTTGGTCGAAGAGTCCGCACCTTGTTCGCCTCGCTGGCCGCCTTCAGCAGCTCGGGCTCTTCTTTCTGGACTCGCTCCATCTCCTTCAGGGCCAGCTCCTTGGTCTCTGCTAACCGACGCTGAATGTTGCCAACCTCTTCTGAACACTCTCCGTCACGCAAGAACTGGTGTGCCGCGTGCTCGCACTGATTTTGCACGTATTCAAGACACTTGTCCAGCTCGTCGTAGGCATCCGGGCCCCCATCGCCCATCATGGCGCCACCACCGCCGGCCTGTCCGGCTCTCGTATATGAAGGACCCCTCCGGCCGCCGGGCCCCATCCGCCTTGTGCTCATGTACCGCAAGGACGGCAGCGCGTCAGAGGCGTTGGTATTGGTATCTGGCTGGAGGTCGCCAGCCTTATCGCCATCGTCATCCTCGGGTAGTTCTTGTTCCGCCAAGCGACGAATCTGTGCCACCTTTGCTGCCATCTTCGCCTTCCGCATCAGGTTTCGGCTAGCTGACACAAATTTGACCAGCTCTTCAAAGAAGAGCTGTACATAGCTGTCGTAGTAAACCATGACCAGCTTTCGTGATCGGTACTTGATCGGCGCGCCTTCCTCGACTGAGAGGACGGAATTCGGTCGGGGTCTCTTCTCCACTACGGCGCGGGCTCGAGCTTGTGCGAGGGCCATTGCTTGCTCGGTCTGTTTCTTGAGGGCAGACGGCGTGCCGCTGCTAGGGCTAGAGGGTTGATCGTTGCTTTTCGGTTCGTCTTGGGGTGGCGTCTTGGCGCCAGTGGCTCGTTGAGCGTCGGCCTTTTCAGCATTCAGCTCGTCGTCTGTTGGAGGGATGGCATTGGCGGGTTCGTCCTTTGGCTTGAGCGATTCGGTAGAGCCGCGGTTCTTAATTGATCGCGACGAGCTGTCTGCACCAAGGGCAGCGAGCTCAACTTGGCGTTGGTCAATTTGATCCCCGAGTTCGTCGAGACGATTGAGCCAGTCGGGGACATTGTTGGCGATGTTCTTGAGGGCGTCCATGACCAAGTCTTGGTCTTCGTTCTTTTGTGAGCTAGCCGTGGTTGCTACAGCGAATACTAGGCGTAGGGTGTTTGGGGACCCTCAACGTCTAGTTGTAGAAAGTGTGGCAGGTTTCAATCGGGATGCTGTCCAGCAATGGAACGTAGCAGCGAATGCAGCAGGTTTTGAGGGGATTCTTTGGTGGATTCTGGGGCGATGATCGGCGTTGCAGAGTCGTCGACAGGGAAGGGTGGGAAGAGGTAGAGATCGACACGCTTATGGATGAAGCATGGTCCACCAGCAAGCGTTGGCGTATCTAGAGGTCCTTCTCTCGCGCGAATGTGTTGGTGCGACAGTCTCCAAGTCGGTAGATGCTCGATAGTCAATTGTTCCTACGGCGAGCGATGCCAGAGCGAAGAGTAAAAAAGAAGCCTTGCGCTTGGACTTGGGCGGCAATCAAAATCGAGGCTAGCGGCGGTCTCGTGCCGGCAAAGAGGTAGCAGAAGTGAGTCGGGCAGAAAGCGACAGACAGTAAAATAGGTGAGGAATGCTGTGCTAAGAGGCGTCGGTAGAAAAGGAGCCGTAATTGGACGAGTATGATCGGCAACTAGAAGCAGAGGTGAGATCTGCACGGGAAGTGTCCAAGCCTCGGATTGATGGATATGTGGACGAGGGTGAAAGAAGGGTAGGTGAAATATAAAGTAAGGTATGTGGATGATGAAGGATGATGGATCGGTGGATGGATAGGCAGGTAATAAGCGTGTGCGTGGGTAAGGAAGATAGTTTGGGGGGGACAGAGGCTAAGGTATGGGTATCCGTACTACAAGCCTACGAGGATCAGAAGAGAGTTAGGTCGGTGTCGCTCATGTGTGAAATGCGGCCAAGTGGATGGATGTACCGTTTCTATGCCTTCGTATGCTTGGCGTCCAGGTTGGGGGTCAAGGGCTCGAGGGCACTAACAGAAGCCGCTAGCGCTGGGAGGGAAAGGTGAAGAGGAGAATTGTCGGCGGCGGCTTGTTTGTCGAGGTGAGGCGGCTTGATGCTACTCTGGAGTCTGAGGGGGGGCAGTCGGCAGGGGGGAAGACTCGTAGTGTTTTCGATCTCAACGGCTGGATCGAGGGTCTCAAACAAAGACTACCGTGTATCCGTGAGGTATGGCGCGGATGTTGTGCCGTATGGAGGTTCTTATAGCGAGGTAGATGATTCTGCAGGAAGACAGAGGCGCAGAAGACGTGTAGGTATCTGCTTCGAAGACGATGGAGAGGGGGGTCAACCAACGGCTCGCTCTGATGCACAAAAAACAGAGAGGACGAGACAAGATGGAAGAAGGAGCATCAATTATGGGAGAAAGAGAGAGAACCCAGAGTTGTGCGATGTGAATGACGGATGGTGGGGTGGCAGGGCGGGCAACGGGGGAAACCAGGGACTTTGTTCAACAGCTCAGGAGGAGATTGGAGAGGGGAGAGAAAGGGCGGTAGAGGAGGAGTAGTAATGTAAGGCAGACGTCAAATAAAAAGGGACGATTATTCGTCTGTTTCTCTCTGTGTTGTGTGTACTGTACCTGTTCTGTCAGCCAGTAATGCGCGTGTTTATTGTATGTGTGTGTGTGTGTACGGAGTATGCGAGAACGATGCAGAGAGGACGCAGAGCAAATGCAGCCAGTGCAAAAAAGCAGGAGAAGAGCAGAGGAGAGGAGAGGAGAGAGGAGATAGAACCAGAGTCTAAAGGTACGTACTGCCAGCATGGAGTCCCGTCGTTAGAGAGCAGGGGGTGTGGCTGTGGATGAGGAGAAGGGACGGACGAGGGCAAGGAAGGACCACGCTGCATCGCATCGGGCTGGAGACCACACTAGACGCGGGAGAGAGCGAGTGAGGAGGTGGCCGACCGGGCAAGGGCCAAGGGAACATACAGAAACTCCACACCGGGGGCGTGGTGTCAGCGTGGAAGCGGTACGTACCCACACCTTCTTTCCGCAAAAGACGGGGGGACTTTACGGGGGTATTGTTGTCACTGTGAGGAAGAAGGAGCCATGGATGGAGGATGATGGATACTATGGAAGGGGACAACGGACGGGAAGGAGGAGGAGAAGGGAAGGAATGGTGGAAGGATGGATGGAAGGAAAGAAGCGCACACCTCAGGGAAAGAACCGGACGGTACGTACCTTACTCTGTGAGTCTGTAGGTACCTTATGTACCTACTGCAGAACTTGCGGAAACACCTCACCTCCAGGTCACCCACCACCACCTGCCTCAGCATCTCGAAATCAAGATGGAAGGATGGAACGGACACGGAGTAGGTATCCTGCAGTACGTACCCACGAACGGTGCAAGGTAAGGTACGTAGGTACGGAGTATTCCACCTTCATCTCGTTTCATTGGACTCGTCAGCATCAACGTCCATGTCCATCCGTTTCTTTGCCTCGCTTTCGAATACTCGGACTACAATACGACCTACAAAGTTGAAGGGCTTCGGCTTCGGCTTCGAACAGACGGTTGACGGGGCTCGGATGTACCTTCCAAGTTCTCAAGTCTGGCAACTCGCACTCTACGCTTGATGGACGCTGCATGCTTGATCTGATGATCGTTTCGAACACTGCCCACACCCACTCAGTCACCCACACATGCAAGGGAGAATCGGAAATCTCCATCTTCGGTCACGACAAGAAAGCAGCACCCTAGAGTTAGACATCCATGTCCATCTCCTTCTCCATATCTGACAGCGGACACTGGACGGCGACTTGACACGGGGAATGGCGGCTCATCGTCTTTTGAAGCCCGCCTCGTCTCCATAGTACATAGCACTACGCATACTGGCGACTCCATCCACCTGCAGGTCGCACGCCGCACGCCGCGCGAAGATTCTAAGTTTTGCTTTTCTGACGGGGCGTGCCGCCCCTCACTGGCCCTTACCCAGTACACTAGGCTTCAACCCTCAAAGTCGAACCCTTGAGGTCGAGAATGCCGATTCAGAGCAACATCTGCTTCACTGACTCCTACCACCTACCGCACCCTCACTGCGAATACCAGCCGTCATCACCGGGAGCATATTGAGCTATCGTCCAATGACTGGCCGCCATTGCTTCAGGAACAGAACGTGGTCCTGCGTGAAGATCACTTTGGTGTGGTGTTCTGCATCGCTTGCTCTATCCGTCCCACATGGCTTCAACTCGGCAGAAGTGATGGGCACGCTGGGACGCCGCATGGTACGAATTCGCGAACACCATAGCTGCAGATCCCAGCCCCAGCCAGCTATTCTCTGCGTTCCGATACGTACTTGCCTGGAATATGGAGAATTATTGACGGCGGTTGTGAGGCGGTGGGCTCAACGGTCGACGTTCAATCTAATGTCTCGCCTCCAGGAACTGTGACAGTGGGACTGCAAGTACACACACACACGCACACAAACAGTCTATCAAAAGTCCAACTAGACACGGTCAATTGCGCCGTTGACAGAGACCAGGCCACATCTTTCTGCACGAGACCACCAAAGGCATTCGCGATACAGAGTCGAAACTCAATATATCAACCGAGCGGATAAATTGCACATTCGGCCAGAGCGACGAGGGAGTCTGGGTACCATGAACCAGTCATTCTCAGTGCAGCCATTCATTGGCAAAAAGCACAACAAGAAATCGAATTCTCATCGATGGTGTCCATGAACACTTCTACTCGCATCATGCCGCGGCTCTCCACAGACTGACAGACACAACGTTACGTACTTGACCTTATCTCGACCATTCCGATTTGGGTCGAGACGTTGGGGTGCCGCCACGGATGGCCAAGCCCCGGCGGCCTAGCACTGACATGCAGCTGCACCGTCTTGCGGCGACATGCAAAGTGCGGCACGGAAGTGGCAGAGTCAGAAAAAGCGCCTCCTCCGACCGTCCATGTACCTGACCGACCACCCCCCGACGTCGAGAAGGTTTACGGCCGTTGCTTGCACCACCCACTGTGTACACCAGACGCTTAGGTTCCGCGTCCTGTTCACTCGCCGAGTCGCAACCTTTTCTGACATGGAGAGCAACGCCATCAGCCCTCTCTGGAGACAACACAAAGGCGCCGGCTCTGGCACATGACATCAATGCCTTGCCTTGCCTTGCCTTGCTGCTCAAGGCTCAAGCAGTCTTCACAAAAGCCTCAGGGCTCCTCCTCGGGCTTCTCGATTGGAATGATGGATGCCCGACACCTCCAAGCAGCGCTAATCAGAGACATACTAGTGGCTTACCCCGAGACCTAGTCTCACAAGAAAATGACGAGTCGTCAATCTTCTTTTGCTCCTAATGCGTTTCCACGTAGCGGCGCCTTCTTAGCCCTATCACGATACGAATTCAGCACATCGACCAAACCTTCTTGGGCAGCAGCCGTCACCGCCCCAGCCTTGATACAAATTCTAAGTTTCTCACATCGGACGTGGCTCCGACATGCGGTGCCGTCTCCGCCGTAACTTTGCACAGGCGCCAGTGGACCATCGACCGCCCTTGCCATGTCCGTGCTTGAGGTCTTATTAACAGCGCCAATGGTAAAGAATTAAATACAACCTAACATCAGAGCCTGCGACTGGCCGGCGTACGATCGGCGCTGTTGAATTGCAAAACTGCAAAACCCTCGCGCGGCCGTGCCATTTTAACTGTCTATCACGGGAAGAATACCGCCTGCCGGAGAATGCAAGCTACCGTGTCGGCTGCCGGCCGAGAAGATCGGCGACTATAGATACGACAACACAAAACCGCCTGCGAAAGCAGGCCCGAAAGGACCAAAGGGCGAGAAGGGTTGATGCTAAGGGCAGGGATCACGCCATATGAGCCCTCCGTCCTCTGCTCAGCTGTTGGCTATGCCTCGAAACCAAACCAAACGCACTATACGTTCGGGTAGTCCTCATCGATCAACCTCAGATTCCTCAAAGCGGTTTCGAAAATCACAGTCTGCTGTAACCCTCTTGTTCTTCCCCTCCCTGTCAGAAAGTCGCTCGACCATGGCAAACGCAGCTCCGAGCTTCCAAACCGCAGCTGATTAATGCCCAAGTTATCCGCAAACCCAAAGTGTACGGATAGGGGACCAAACACAGTGGCTTCCAAGCCTTCTCGAACAAATCATCCAGCGGAGACAAGCAAGGATGAAACATCTCAAAGCAACGGGCCCCGTCGATGGCCACTACTAGCCCTATGTATTCTTGTCTGTGTCCGGACGCTCATTCTGGCCGTCGGCGGCTGACCCGCGACTTCAATTTCGCATCTCACCACGCCTAGGGAGATTACGCGACTTTATTCGTACTAATAACTCTGATTACCACCGTTGCGAGGCAAAAAGGAGACGCCGCAGAGTTCAATCTCGCAGGTCGAACCTTGTCCGCCGGCCGCGACCTTGCACTGCAGAACTGTCCATGTCTGGCTTGAGTTATTAACAGCAACAATCGGTAGGCAAAGGTCCAGGGTCCAGTCCCCAATGCTTATGGCAGTTGAATATGGATGCGACGGCACTTACTTCCAGTGGCACATTCAACTCTGAGCCGAATCATCCATCGCCGCTGCTCACACTCGCCGGGAATCCAGGGATGACGCTCAGAGCCTCAAAAAGAGAATTCTCTCCATCACAAAACGCACACGTCTTCACTGCTCACGTTGGTGAGAACTGCATCCACGCCAATAGCCGGGCCTCAAACTTCCAATGGACGAGGCCGGCGCAGCCTCCCTCGCCCATCAACCAAAGCGGGGAGACGACGCTGTTTCTGCATCTCATGCATACAACGGACACCTGTCCATCCACTCGATGCCTGCAGCGTGCGATCCTCTGTTGCGGCCTCCTCATTCTCTCGCTTGCCCATGCATGCCGCTGCAGATCAAGCGGCCTGCCCGCCTCTAGTCCCAACCATCTGACCCATCAATCATCCAATTGGTTTTATTTTGATGCGTTGGCGGTTTTGCCAGATCGCAAGCAACTGGTTCTGTGTCTTCTCACTTCTGGGTCGCGGCCCCTGCGCATCCTACGCCACCCGATATGGGCTCTCACTCAAAGAAGTCTACGGAGTACATGAGATGGATTACAGGCGTTTTTGGCTGACAATGCCAATGCCCGTCAAGGACAGTCGCCTACGCACTGCGGGAACCTAACTCGAATACTCCTCACAGTGTGCATGGCAGAGTGAACGCAGGTGGCTGGCAGCACACGCCTTATCAACGGTTAAGAGCTTATTCACACGTACTCGTTGATGAGGGTCCACGACACAAGCCACAATTGCCCGGTTAACTATCTGACTATCTGACAACCCTAGGTTGTCCGGGTTTACACGGGATTTGCCAACGAAGTCTGGGAAAAGGGACTAGGATGGCTGTACCAGTCTGTATCCGTACCTACACCCAGCCCTCCATAGGGTGTGTCTAGCCAGTGTGGTGATACTCGGTGAACGCATCAGTCAACCTTACTAAACACATTATACCCCGCGAACTTGTTGGTTACAGCCAACTGAAATTCTGGCGCAGCAGAAGCCCAGTCAGTCTCCAATCGGACTGTCTAACTAGGAACGGTCAAATGAGAACACAACAAGACAGGCAGCCTGTCAATTGTAACGAACGAGCTGCCCGGCTCCCTCCGCCCGGAGCAACCGGGGCAGAGTCAGGCAACTCATTAACTGTGTAAGACGATTAGTAGAGGTGCCCGCGAAACAGTCGATACTGGTGCCAGAAAGACCCCCGCAAACCTCTCAAGATGCGCCAATCCACTCTGATCGAAGCAGCTCGTACAGCTATTTCTCCGATTCCTACGAGGTAGAGGTACAGGCCGTACGAAGTCATAAGTCTGCAAGTTGTCAACAGTAGAGCGTGCGTGAGCCCTGTATCTCCATGGAAGCGGCGGCGCCATTGAATCGATCCTTCAAATGCTGACCCTTCTTCGGTGGCGGCAAGCTTTCTGAGCGGGCAGCTGAGGTTTATGATGCCAATTGAAGTCGGCCAAGTCTTTCGATATCATCGCGGCCGCGACCACAGCGAGCGGAAACTGCTTTGCCGCACCCTGAGAAGATGTCTACTGGTGGAGCCCCTCTCGCAAACTCGGTCCTATATTGCGGCAAGCAGAACAGGGCAGCTGTGCCCTTGTTCATGTTGGGAGTTCACGAGTTGAACACGCAATGCAGCTCATCGGCAGGGCGATAGGGCGAGGACGGGGTACCAGACCCGAAAACTACGGTGAAGCATCTTCAGCCATACAACGACGCCGCCAGCACCCACACGCCCAAGTTTGTTCAGAGAGCGGCGACATGCATATTGGCCGCTGCGCGGTTTGCGATATACCATAACAAGCGGCAGGTTTCTCCGAATTCGATGCGGCGCCTTGTCCGATCTGAGAGAGACACTATTCCGCTTGCACAGGTGGGCAACAGTGGCTGTGCGTACCAGGAAAGTAATTAATCTGACGTTTGACATTGCATGTTGTTGCTCATAGCCTTACAACATACGCATTGCGACATGCACCCTCCATCCGTGTTGGGACTGACTTGCGAATTCAAACCGGCTCATTGCACTCAGCAAGCAGTATAGGTGCTGATGCACATAACCTTAACAGCGGGAAGAAGCATTTCCTCTCTCGTGTGGCTAACCTGCAGTAGGTAACTCTGCTCTTTCTTCGGAACTCGTTCTGAATAGCACTTGGCTCTCACGTCGATCCGCGGGGACGAAGCGACTACGCGTACATGTTCGAGATGGCCCAGGAGGAACCTTGGCCGAATTGCAGCGTCGACAAATTAAGATGTCTGAGGACGACGCACGAGCGCTGTTTTACTCCTATCTAGGCTATTCCTCGCAAGCTCACCATGACGGAGCAAAGGCCACTTTGAAGCTCTGATCGATCTGAAGTTCTGTGCACGGTGTGGCAGCTATTCTACGAAATCATCTCTCATCTGCATGTAAACCTCCCAGGGGCTACCCATCCACAGCAATAGCTTCCGCAGCTGCCCCGCTTACATGAGCGGCGGCGTCCCCTTTAGAAGTGGGATACGGGTGTTTTTGGGAGGGAGAAGGGGGTCCCCAATAGAATCGTTCACAGCCTACGAACTGTCGAGTGTCGACAACCAACTGGAGTAGGAGACGACGAATCAACACAAGCGAGCTCCATTGATTCACGGCATCTGATCTCGTGATGCTGTCTCGGCGGTTAGGCGAGCAACGCATGTGCCGGATCGTCTTTCGTTTCTTTTTCTTTTTGGGGGGGGGGGGGGGGGCTATCGGCTTGGACGATGCGGAGATGGTCGGTGGCCGACCGCTGATGGAATGCCGCCTCCTTTTGCATCCGGCATCGTCAACAGCCTCACACACACGTGAAAGGCAGCTGGTGTCGCGCGCGCGGGAGAGTCTCCGCAGTGATTAATGAGCTGAGAGCTCAGTGAGCTGCGTCGTCTTTACGAAAACAACTTGGCCCCGTCGCGCCGTTTAGAGTTTGGGAACCCTGACCATTGACGAATCCAGCGTCAGAACAGGGCTCGTCTTGTTCGCGCAGTGCGCGCATACGATATTGCGAAAAACTCCGCGCGCTTCCGCCAACGCCCATCAATCACATCCTCAGGAGTCAGGACGGAACAGTCTAGTGGCAGTTGGCACCGAGTCACCGACAGCACGCAGGGGATACCGATCGCTAGCTGCAGCTCGAACTCTAGACGGATGCTGCATTTTTGCCCTGGCATACCCACGCGTTCAGACAGCATGCCGTATTGCCTCTAACGCGAGGTTAAAAACGGCGACTTTGTTGAACACACCGTTGCCGTCGCGATTCACCAAGAAGTGAGGGAGCCGGGGGCCGAACGGGGTACTTCGTCGAAGTGCAGACATACTGGGCGTCTTGTCATCGCACATGGGGCTGCATATCCTCCTCGTGGGGATGGCCTGATATCTGCTGCCCTTCCTCGAGTCTCGTGTCTCGTGTCCTGGAAGGCCCGCCGGAACAAGAAGAAAGCAGGCAGCTGGAGTCTGGACAGTAAGTGAGAGCAAGAAGAGAGAGAAAGATGTCCCTGCCCTCTTCCCTCGCCTAACATCCTGTTCAACTTTTTTCTCCCTGTAATCACGCTACGCGCAGAGAGACGGCCGCCCACCCGCCAAGTGTTCGCGGAAGCAGCGCTGCCAGATCCGGAGTGGGGAGTGCTCTCCTTTGTGGTTTAGAGCTATCATGGCTGCCATGTGGAATTGGCTGACTAGCAACGGGGACAGGCCTTGAAAGCTGTGGCTTTACGATTTTGATTTTTTCTTGCTCTCGAGGGGTTGGTGGTTATCGTCTGCTAGCGTCCGCCCACTCAGAGCTGCCATTCGAACTGGGGATGTTCATCCGCTCATCGGTGCGATCGCCCTATTCGGGATGCAAACCCCGTCGATTTCGTTACAGTAGCAACGAGCAACGGAACAAGCTTGGTGAACCGTGGATGGGGGAATAAGAGACGTGGTCAACCGTCAGTGAGTGTTCATCATCTCGTTTCAACCCCGTAAAGTCGCTCCTCCGTCCTCTGAAGCTTGCCTAGGATCGGCTGACTTGCAAAAGATTGGAGTGCGAGCTTGGCCGTTCTGATCGGAAGTGCCATGTGGTTCGTGGCAGGGCTATCCATGAGCAGCCGTCTTCGAGACGATTCTTTGTCGATATTGCTCTTCCTCACTCAATTTACCCTTTTTCTCCCTCTCAAGTTTCTCCTCTCTCCCACCGGGTCAGAATTACTGTGGATACAAAGTACCGACCCGACCGTATCCGACCTTCCAGAGGCCGCGTTGACGAAGATTAAAGACCAAAACTAAAATTGAACCTAAGCTTGCGACGCGGACGGGAAGTAGCAGTGCCCGCGTCGTTCGGCATCCTTACTCATCCATGATTCGGAAACTTGTTACCACAACTTGGTACGTACGCGCCGCATCGCGATCACGCAAGCCCGCGCGTCCAGCAGCGCCTTTATCGTGGAAACATGCATGCATATGGTAAGGTGGTGATGGTTACTCCATACGCCGGCAGCCAACTATTTGACCAACAGGCCTCGACAAGTTACAGGTCACAATACGTTACAATAACAAGGCCGTATCCGCATGGGTCCCAATTCGCCAACTCGGACTTCATGGGGAACTTTTCTTTCTCTCCTTCCTCTCACATGCGTGAGAACATCTCCCAACCCGCGCAGTCATGCAGATCCCATCGGACGTACCATTTTCCTAAAAAGGGAGCTGGTCATTGGGGCCCGCTGAGTACCACTCCTTGCCCAGCTTACTTACGGAGACTTGGGTGTTGGAACACTCTTTCAGACTCTCTCACCCCTGTTCCAACAGCGCCAGCAAAAGGAACAAGGCCTGCTTCGGGCGAGGAGTCGCATTGTGGATGATGTGTCCGATTTCTGTTTTTCTTTTGATCGACCGGTGAACCAACCTCTGAAGAGGGGGTGTAAGCACGGCACGGCTCGGCCTGGTAGCTTGACTTTTTATTCCCCTTCAATATGCGACATACAACATGGTACCTGCTAGTACTTCGTAGTCAGCCATCTGCAGTTTTTGTGACGAGTCTGACCAAGTTTTGAGAGGGTTTTCGGTAGGTAGGGAAACTTGGGGTTTGGTCTTTCGGTCTGCTGCTTGGGGCTAGCGCTTCGTTGGCGCATCTTCCACGTTTTGAGGCGCAGACAGTTGTACGATCATGATGTGAAGGCGTACATGAAATGGGCTCAGAATGATGATGTTCTTGGATGTGGTTGCGGCGCCTTTCTGTTGGAACGCAAAATCTATAGCCAGTGATGTCTTGATTTCACCCTGCGTAAGGTAGCAGAGGATCTATTCCAATCATGGTCACCGAGACCTCCCATCTACGGCCACAACTCAATCTTCTCCCACCCGTTCACCCTCTCCGCACCATCCTCCGCCTTCCCCTCGGCCTCGGCCCCGACAAATCGGTACAGATACCGTCTCGGGTCCTCCGAGGCGCTCAAGTCCGTCTGGTCCACCTCTGTCGGCACAATCACCACGACCCGGAAATTCTCCCTCGCGACCTTGTCGTCTAGGTCCTCGACCTTTTGCCCCAGCTTCAGCGTGTCCGAGGGCGGGTTCGCGGCGCGGGATGTTCCCGGCACCGGGTTTTTGAATGTGCCGCGCATCATGGGAGATAAGTTTCCAAAGTGCGCGGTGACTTCGCGGGCAAAGGACCAGTCCTTTTCCGGGGAGCCGATCACGGTTTTGCCGGATGGGATGTCTTCTTCACGGCGGCGTTTGGCGTCTGCTGGAGTCACGTTACGCATACGTGCGAGAAGGTGCTCGCGGAGCGCTGCTGTGTTGCTGCCGTCGATGTCCGGGCCGAGGAGGAAGGCTTCGCCGCGGATGCGCCATTGGACTTTTGCGTCGGTCCAGAAGCAGGCCTCTACGGGCCCGCCGCCGCCTGACTTTTTAGTGTCGTCTTTTCCCCCGTCGGACGTCAGGAAGTCGGGCACTTTTGCCATGCGGGCGTCGGTTGTTAGAGTCAAGAGGTCGGATTCGTAGAGGGGCGGGTTGAGGTCTGCTGTGTTTTTTGGGTTTACTAGGAGGGAGGCCCAGAGGCCGCGGAAGATTACGGTGCGGAGGCGCGGGGTGAGGGAGGATGAGGCAGAGGAAGAGGATGAGGAGTGGATTGTTGCGAGATTGAATTCTGGTGAGGCCATGTCGGTTACGTTTTTGAGGAAGGGGGCGCGCCAGGGCGCTGGGCCTGGTGAGGCTTTTGCTGTTGATGGGGAGGAGGACATGTTGCGCGGTGAGCTGGGTAAGAGTGAAGGTGAAGGTGAGGATTGGAGGTGGTGGGTTAGTTGGGATATGCGGCGGGTTGAGAGGGTTCGGATGGTCATGGATTTGTCGATGGCGATGAATGGAGGCGGAGAGTGATGGATGTGGATTGAGGTAGGTTTGTTTTATGAGTGAAGATGAGAGGTGAGGAATGTCGTGTGAGGTTTTTTGAGGTTAGGTGGTTTTTTTGGTCTATGATTCATCATTGGACCACATGGTGAGTCGCGCCGGCCTTCACAGCAGAATCAAATGTAAGGATATTTAGTTTATTGAAGCTATTTAATGATACTATGCTGATGCATAATGATAGATTTTTTCACTGAAAATTATGTTTGAAGGAGGCGAAAGTGAGATTCGCTGTTGACGTGCGAGATTTGGCGGGGTCGTCGGGAGATACCCCGCTGTCGTCATGACGCGGATGAGGCCGTGGAAGAGGCGCAAGTCGACGGACATGCTGTGTTCGTGGCATTGCCATCTTGACTCGGAGCTAAGCTCAAGAGTGTCTTAAGGTAGGCTTCCCTCGAAGAATTACTTGATCTGATTTCCTCCATTGTGGAAAACGCCTGAATGCGCTGGGGGTACAGTTTAACCTCCTCCAACGCGTCCCTCAGTTTCTCTGACGCCTTGTACGCTTCCATAATTTGACGCGTTAACGACTCTTTCTTCGCGGGCCTAGAAGAAACAGAGATAGTTAACTTAGAATATTCGCGGCAAAAGTAGACAGGTGACGCGAAAACATAAACTTACTCCACCTTTGCATCGTCTACGAATGACTCATGATGTATCCGCAAGTAACTTGCTTCAGCCTCGCGGTTGGAATATCCTGCGTGCTGCAACTCCATCAGATACATAGTGTATGATACTAATGTTTCTGTGATGTAGCTGATGCTGTCTTCGCGAGGCGGAGGAGGCTCCGTCAAAGGGAAGTCCCGGATAAGTTGATGCAACCCACTATCTCCTTTGGTTGCCAACATCTCGATACTTTGACGAGACCTTTGGAGCGCGGGAAGTGATATATCTGTCCAGGCCACCGGAGCCAATAGCCCTATTGAAGAGGAAGGATGATTGGTTTCCTTCAAATGGACATCTATCCAATGGTTCATCGACATTCTGATCACTTACTCGACATGACAGCTACGAAAATTTGTCTCAAAGCTCTGTACTTCTGTTCTTGCCACAGCCTCTTCGGCTGCGGACGCGCGTTGGACCTGTTTCCGGAGTTCTCATCGTGAATGGTGTACCCTCCTTGACACTTTTCAAGTCTCTCGAAGCTCCTCATCAGACTGGTAAACTCCGGCCCCAACTCTGTGCTTTCCTCTAGGTCGTCTGCCAGCGTCCCCATGGCGACACCAAAGGCGACGATCGCCGCATTCGTCAAGTTCAATAGATACGTTTCTGGGTCAAGAGACGTCTTCTGGACTTCCGTTTCCAGATACGAGTGCTCGTTGTTGAGTTCGATAATGGTATCAATAGTGTCAAACAGCTCCATTTTTGGTGTTGTGAGAAGGTGAAGAGAATCAGGCAGAGCTGACGAACATGATAGTGGCGAGCAAGAGCAGATTATATACATATATAGAGGTTTACTGTTCGCTATTCTTTGTTAACGAGTCTGGATACCCTTGGTCCATGAATTTCCAGATCACAATAACGATGTTCATGTCTTTGTTGAATACATCACCTGTCATGGTCAATCTTGCTAGCCCCGGCGGTTACCAGCGATGCTCTCCTATGTGTCATCAACCCAGACGCTCCGATAGCAGTCTGACTGGTAGCTGGATTACGAGCTTTGGCGGGGTTGTCGGGGAGATACCTCGCTGGCGTCATGACGTCGGTGAGGGCGCGACAGAGGCTCAAAGAGTAAATGGCCCTCTCGTAGGCTGATTAGAAGAATTGACGGAGAAATCTGGCTCTAATGATTGCAATCGTGTATTCTCATGGCATTGCTATCTACATTATAGGTAAATTGGTCTCGCCGCCTAATACAAGACTTCGTCACATGTTGGAAAGAGTTGGGATATTGTAAGGCCTCAAACGCGATTAGATGAAGATGGCGTCTGACTGCTTGGCCCTTGGAAACAGTAGACGACTGGTTTCTTTGAATCATACATGTAGATATCTCAATACTCTATTGATCGGGTCCACTAAGCACTGGATGCCACAAGCTCGGGTTTGCATAAGTCAAACCTTACCTCGGCGAAGATTTGGCTCACTCTCCCAAGAATATCTTTAAACGTCCGATCCTGGATTTGCTTTGATTCCTCTGACGACTCCTTGATGAATTTGGAGCCGTTGTTGGCCAGGATACGGACCGAACCCGGGCTCGCAGCCCACGCGCTGCGCACTAAAGCCGACTCGTGTTCCCCTAGACATTCTACATCTTTCCACGAGAACCTGAAAGAGTGTCAGCCAAGTGAAAACATATTTAGCGGCAGGAGACAGATGATAGAGAAACGCCAACATACTTCCCCTCACGAATCTCATCTAGCATGCGGCAGAGGCCCTCTTCAGACTTTTTGTCGTGATGTCGTTTGGATTGTAAATATTCCAGAGAGATGCTATACGCTGCTAAGTTGGTGACGCTGATATTGAAATATCCGTTGGCAATATCTGACTCTCTAGCCAAAAAATTGTGGTTGAATCCGGATTCGCGTGCATGTTGAACCAGTACATGTAGTATGCTGTCTCCCCAGATGAAGTCTGCCTGCTGTAACAGCTGAATCGCCTCGTGATCCCCTTCTGCTTTAGCTTTCTCGATAAGTTCATTCATTGCGCTATAATCGAAGCCCATTCTATGCCCCTCGAGAAATTGCCGTAGTAGCCTAACTTGTTGAAGGGACTCCGGTGTTCGGTCGAGCCCTAAACGCGTGGTGAGATGATGACCTTCCATTGATTTTCAAGGAAAGCCGTTCAAAATTCCATCGAGGCCCTGGACCCTGGTACGTACAGCATATAAGCTCGTTTGCAATACCGCTCAAGATATCGAACTTGCATCTTGCCACAAACGCGCCTGCTCCGAATGCCGGTTGGAGCACCCTATGGGAGCTTGATCATCATTGTAGCATTTCTTGAGTCTCTCAAGGCTCCCTTTTAGACTGAATAGCTCTTGCTTGAGGTTCACGTTGTATTTTGCGTTGAGCTCGCGTGCCAACGTCTTGGTGGTGAGTCTAAAGATGACGATAAGCGTTTTCACTGCGTTCAATAAATAACTGATGTGTGCGAGAGATTCATCCTGAACTGTAGCTTCCTCGACCAGGAGTAGGCGGGCATTTAGTTCCGCGGTACGGGGGATGAAGCGCGACTCCATCTTTTGTAATGCGGGAGGGTGACAAGAATAAGACAAGGAGCTAACGAAAATCGGGATGGCGAGGAAGAACAGGTTATATACATTTGGAAGCTTGCTATTCTTCTTTGTTGCAGTGTCTATCTGTTTTTTGAGGAGCTGTCAATTCACATCATCGCTCTTCATACGTCTTTGTTTAATCCACGTTCGTTCTCGAATCACAGTAATGTTGTTCGTATATCTTTGTTGTTCGAGATACTGGACATGACCAACCTTATCAAGCCTGGCAAAACAGATCGATGATTTCCCTACATGCAATGAAATTGAATTCAAGTTCTGGTCACCGTGTCTGCATAGTGAGCTTTGGTGGGATAGTCGAGAAGATATCCCACTGGCGTCATGGTGTGAGTGTTGGATTAGCCAGGCAGAGGGCAGAAAAGGGCCTAGGTAGGCGGGTAGGTAGGTAGGCAGTTTGGGACCGTGCAGACGGACCCTTCCACCTACTTACACCCACAGAGGGATCGCGGGCTCTGCCCACGGATCCTCGTCCTTCCACTACGCACAATAGATCTACCCAATTATTGACCTCGTCGCGACCGACAGGTCTGACCTGCTTACGTGTATACCAACAGTGAGGGTATAGAAGAAGTTCTACTAGATGGCCTTTTGATTACCGCAGAGAGGAAGGTTGACTAGAGTTTTGCTATCCCCTCGAGTGCGGAATGACGCCCGTACATACGTCTCCAGTCTTCACTGATCCTATCCACAGGGGGATTCTTCACAATTTGCCAACTTCCATTCAATTTACTCTAATTACTTTGTCACGAGATATGGATGTGGTTAATGCTGCCCACATTGAGTGGGCCCGCTTTTTGTGACATACTTCAACGAGACTCTATTGAAGAACTTTCACGTTCTATATACAACTAACTTGAATTCCGATGCTGACAGCATCGAGATTCATGGGCGGGTTATGAACTTTGGCGGGGTCCTCAGGATGCCCGCTCGCGTCGTGACGTGAGTGAGGGCGAGATAGAGGCGCGAGTTGAGGGACATGGTATCTTCTGACATCGCCCTCTAATTCGGTCTCGCCGCGCATCCTGGTTGATTGATTAGGATATTCTCGAGATATGATAGCTGTGATTTGTTCTGCAAATACAAATAATGTTCCTTTGACCATCTGGAATCGTACATGGGGAGATGCAATGTTGACTCCCGGTAGGCAGCAAGTAATTTTCGTGAATTCTTGATCGCTTCTTCAAATTCAGCAAGTAAGAATTGTCGATCAAGGTTTCTGTGAGAATGTGTGTTAGTCAAGTGAAAATATATAGTACGGCAATGGATACCCCAGATTGCAATGCAAAACACTGTAAGTGGTCGTTATTTTCAACACATTGTCGAAGCGTAGCCAAGTACCGTCTTTCAGCTTCAGGATTTGAATACCCCCTTTGCTGCAACTCCATCAAGTGAATGGTGTCTTGAGCCAAACCTGCTGTAATCTGATGAGCGACGACACCGCCTCTGTCATACTGTGACCACTTATCCCAAGCGCTGCCTCTGTCGTCAGCTTTTGCTGCCGTGAGAAGTTGGTCCATCATCTTGATTCCGCCGACGTCCTTCGCCTTCTGGATTACTTGACGCACTAAGTTATCGTTGCCATCGGCCTCAACCTGCTGGATAAGCTGGCACATCGCGCTGTCGCTACTGTTAGTTTCTGCCTCTAGTAAGAATTTAAGCAGTAGCTGACTTCGTGGTTTCTTCAAACAGGCAAGTCCTACATAGGGGGTAGAATAATTAACTCCCATCAAACCAAATAGAAGATCTGTTCGACAGCCAGTCGATACCCTGGTCACTTACCCATAACGAAAGAATCCCTAATGCCTTGAAGTAACTTGAACTTCCCCCTTTGTTACTAATTAAACTGTCCTGGATGCATGTCGGAGCTCTCATTGGAGGTTCTGTAGTCTTCTAGACAGTCCTCCAGTCTTTCAAGGCTTCTGTTTAGACTTTTGAGCTCCATATGGGAATTTGTACTTGTCCTGAGGTCGGGTTCCATCATTTTTATAGCAAGTTCAAAGACAATGACCAGTATTCTTGCAACATGTAACATAGGACTCGGATTTGCTGCATCTACCTCCAGAGCTGCCTTCGCAGTTACCTCAAGAACCCTATTTCTCCCTACCTTAGGTTGTTTACAACGCGTTTGGAGACTTTGTTGCTAATATCATCCATCCAGCGCTTCCAATCATTATCCAGCGACGTCTCCATCTTAAGCAATTTGAGAAAACGATGGTCTCGAAATCCTAATGATCATGAGAAAAGTAAGCGATGGCACTTTATACACAAACGCACCTTTTGGCCGTCTTTTTACAGGCTTCTGCGGACTTTCAGTGAAAGAGTCTTCAACCCAAAGCAAAGCTGTTCACGTATCTTTGTTGGTCAAAGTACGCAATCTGCAATGAACAACCTTGCCAGCCCAGCAAAGAACAGCTTTGCCGGCTATTTCCGAACAAGAAAGCAAAGCAGCGAACATGCCCCTTCAACCAGGCCTCAAAAGAATTTTTCCAATATCCATCGCGAACTGATCATAGCGCATGAAGGCGATATTGATCAATGGATTGCGTATGCAAGAGAGTGGCTCCAGAGATTCAGATTAATGCATAGAGTCAGATCTCGCTGTCGAGCGCCAAAAAGTTGGGGTAAATAGAACTAAACCTTATTATTGCTGGGTTCAATACCATTGTCTTGGAAAAGATGCAGATCACCAAAGCCGGCGGCTTTGATCTAGTTTATAGGGACGACATTCCAAGGTCTTTATCAAATGCCCATAGTACAAAAGCAAGTTGACATTTTGTTTCTAGCCTCTGTGCCTCGCTTTCATGTGAATCAAAAAGATGCCCCCCACTTTCACAATAGTAGTTGCACACTCACCTCCTTTTTCTAAATTCCTTCTCAGCTTCCGTTGCTATCTCGTCCATACGAGAGTGAACGTCCACGACCGTTACATCTCTCGATCCATCTAAAAGCTCACTATATACCCTCTCCGCATGTAATTGAGACCTTTCGACATCCTCAGTCTCAGCCTCCTGTCTCTGAGCTGACTCAACATAGGTAGAATGTGCCACGATTGATTGGTCCGCATGCTGCCTACCGGCCAGCTCTTGTTTGCTGGCCAGCTTTGGCTCGTCTCCGTGTAAAATCTCACGAACAGCTTTACTCTTTACCCAAGAAGAATACCTATAACCTTCGGCTAAATTGGCATCATCAAAAACCAATTTTACCGCCCAGTCGTAGAAACACGATGGAGTGCTACGAATAATGTTAATGAAAAATCAAGCGTGGAATAAAAGTGAAGACGTTGTCCCATACTTAGACTTTGAAAATGTTCGCATGCCTTCTTTGCATTTCTGGTAGACCTCAGGTTTTTGGCGAAATAGTTTCTTAGCAAGATCGACAGCTTGTTGTACCTCAAGACTTTTCTGATCTTCTGTCGTTGGATTGTTCTTATCGCCTACACTGTCAGCAGTATCGTCTTGTTGACTGGTACCTGAAATTTGGCTTTCTGTCTCTGAATCGGGATTTGAAGGCAGAGCAGCAAGAGAAATCTACTCAAGATGACCCCCGAAGTGTTTGAGAATAGTGATCTTGCCACTACCAGTGTCATTTCGGCATAGTGGGCACTCGGCTCCTTTCCATTCAGGCCCAAAATGGTCGAGAGCGAGATGTGAGACCCAATCCCCACGAGTGCTGAAGATGCCCTTGTGCCCACACGAGGGCTCTAAGCATTGCCAAGGCCTCAAGTCGTTGAACAAGTGCCGCTTCCATGCCGAGTTGGTTTGTGCGAGAGTTGGCAGGCCGCATGCTATACACAAGAAGCTTGAACCATTGCTGGCCGACTTGGGCAGGGATGGTAAGCGTATTGAGGTCCCTTCACCGCCGTGATACGATATGATTGTCTCAGCATAAGATGAAGGAATAGATGATCCAAGGCCTGAATCATTGAACTTAGAACTGGCAGCGTCTGAATTCTCGATCTGATGCAACGGGATGGGTCCCAGCACTTCGCGAGAACTACTTTCCCTTTGCTCTTGCCCTCTCAAGAATCGCTCAGAATTGGCTTTTCCGAGACTGGTAATGAGACCATCATCTGCTTTGGGAAATCTGTTGTTGATGATGTGGTAATAATGTTCATGAGGTTCCCATTTGTGCAAAGATGACGGAAGGGATTGCCTCATGTGTCCGGTGTCCAGAATGGGCTCAGGAAATAAGGCATCGAGGTCCATCAAACTTCTGGTGTCTGTTTCAAGATCTGCAGTGATTTGAAATATATTGTCATCGTAATAACTTGATGATCCAGTCGAAGGTTCACTCTTTGCTTTTATGTCTTCGGTCTCTTGTATCAGTTGTCGTAGCTGTTCTACCTTAGTCGTGAAGCTCTCTGGAAGTTGCGCTTTTCCTAGGGGGCCCGCCCCCCAAGTTGATGCTACGAGTCCTGATTGTTTGACAGCGATTGTCAGCTTCGATGCAATTAAGAATAGTCTTTTCTTCTTCTTTCTTTTTTTAGTCTCGTCAGTAAATTTCGGACTTACTCTCAGTAAGGGTCAATTCTACACTAGACAGAACCTCAAGCCTTGCACCGCGCAGTCGACTAGATTGCTCAAAGAGATCATCGGAGCCTCCGCTGGAGATTCCGTATCCGTCTGACCAGAGTCGAAGTCTGTCAGAGCTCCTTCCAAGACTGACGAGGTATGATCGCGTCTCAAAGTTCCCTTTAACTTCGTCAATCGGAGTTTTCTGTATGTCCTGGAACACAGCAATCGTTCCTTCAGCCAGGCGTGCAATGAGACTAGCACCCACGTGAGGTGTTTCCTCGGCTGGCGCGTCAAGGAACAATCGAATGAGATAGTTTGTGTCAACGGCCTCTTCATCTCTCAGAGAACTCATCTTCTCGATTGATAGAAGTAATGATGAATGTAGGCAGTGAATGTGAGACTGGCAGGTTGGAGCGGGGTAGGTATGTTCCAACAAAATCGCCAGCCTGCTTCGTCAAGGCGGACTGCACTGATGCTTCAAGCAATGAGCCAACGCCTTTTGCCGCCTACCATGCCATGCCTAGTACCAACAGCCTGATTCTTGCAGTTTGAGGTGGGGGAAAAGAACTCACACTTACGATAGGATCATGATCTGGAAACTCTGAGCGATTATGTCAATGGATCCATTCTCTCTGACTTTAGGCTTACTGCCGTTGGTCGGCGGAGCAATGAAGGCATGCTCTGTCGTCCGCAAGAAGTTTAAGACGTTTCGTCACTACTCGCGAGAAGTCCGACGCATTCAAAGGCAAGTTGACCATCAACTGAACTTCTTTACGAATGAGATACACCTGCTGCTTAGACGAACTGTTGAAGATGAAGAGACGATCGCATTGATGCTCGGGAATGAGAACACTCAACAATGGCATAACAACCAGATTGAAGAAGAGATGAGAAAAGCCCTAGACAAGGACTATGATGTCTGCCAAGGCGTGATTGAAGACATTGCTGGCGCGGCGCAAAGCTTCCAGGACGACTTCCGATGCTTCGATGGGCTCGCGGCAGAATGCCGACTCGCAAGTGGAAGATGACATAAGAGAACGATAGAAGAGAGGACTGACTGGTCATCCCAATCCCAGGGCGAAAGTCTCAAAGACGCTGTGCGCCGGCTTCGCGGACGGGTGAAAATCTCACTGGACGAATCCAGGTTCGAGAAACATATCCAAGATCTGCGAGCGTCCATCGACGACCTAAGACGTATCCGAGAGCAGAGGAGTGAGCTGAGGCGAAATAAGAATGAGCTCATAGCGACGAAGCCACTTCGTGGGAAACTAAGCCAAGAATACGGGCATATCGGTCAAGTTAGGAGGGCATCGAAAGCCTTCCATGGAGCCCTTGCTAAGCTTGGTCGACCTCGAGTACTTCCACAGAGTTACTCGGCATGCGCCATACTGTCCGACTATTTCTGGATACCACGGTCAAAGACGGTGTTCAGATGCATGTTGCTATATCCTGCATGGGCCATGAGCTTACTGATAGGTGAGCATTCGTATTGCTCTTATCGTCGGGGTAATATGCTGGAGACTATAGGGCTATGGCACAGGAAAGGCTCGCTAGAATTCTAGTACGATCACAGATACGGACCTGGATTGCTGAAACCGACAACTCTACGTCAGGTATACCTGGTCCAGACGAAAGGCCCCGGCAGAAACGAAGAAAGGTTCGCTTTTCGGAAGACGCACGAGAAGAGGCCGACAAAGAAAATGACAAGTTTGACGCAACGAGGGGTGCTCATCATCACCAGGGCTCATCGGTCAACTTGTGCTCAAAGGGTCTATGTCCAGCCTTGGATAGCGTCTTCAACTTCGCCTCGGAAGGGGTCTGTAGCGATCAATGTCTCGGGTACATTGATAGCTCATCGCAAGATCCATTCCGGCATTCGATTTACCCGGGATCCGTGGACAGCCACAACCATATCATGGCCACGTCTCAAGCTCTGATGTCAATGAATGACGTGTTAATGACTCCCGCCGAGACCACGCTTTCCATTATCGACCAACTCAAACTGGCTCGTGATATGGTGAGCGCGGTTGTCAAATTTTACTCGACACCGTGGCTGAGAGAATACTTCACCCTGCGGGACCTCTCCTTCTTTCAAATGAGCGGGGACTTTTCCAGGTGCCTTCGGACCCTTCATCTAGGCTTCGACTTTGTCCAGTCATCCGCCGCAAGCCTACCACAAAGCATGGAGGGGATAGAGGCGACGGCCATGCCCGACAGCAGCGACGGCGGCCTTAACGAAGTAGAGACCGCCGCTGAGCGCGCAAAGTTGGAGTACGGTATACGTAACCTGACACTTTGGAGCCTCGGCATTACTCTGCTTCAGATCGGCCGGTGGTCGAGCCTAGAGGCCCCGGAAGACGTTCTCAGCGTTCGGAAGCTATCGCGACAGGTCCCTACATTGGGTCCGAAGTATAGAGACCTCACCAGGAAGTGTCTCGAGTGTGACTTCGGGTTCGGTGACGACTTGTTGAAGCCGCGCTTGCAGCAGGCTGTGTACGAGAGCGCGGTGTGCGAGTTGAGCGATATGATCAAGACCCTCGATGTCAGCGATGATTGAAGGTGTTGGTAGTTTTCTAAGATAGTTGGCATTAAGCTGACGGACAGAAAAGGCTGCAGTAGCTGTAGATAATTGGTAAGGCTATGGAAACCTCAAATCGTATCATTTCATAGTGGTGTTTTCGCTGCCACCGTCGCGTCAGCAACCCATGCTCCCATTGGCCGCCTGATCTTCCACACCAGAACAGCATATATCGGTGCAGGCAACCGTGGAATCTATTTTGAGAGCTTGTGTTTGCCGAATCTTGATTAAAATCCCTTGACTTCTCTTTGCTGCCCTTGCGGTAGTTCGTGAAAGCACCACAGCTCCATGGTAGTCTTGAGTTCGTTCCCTGAAAGGATGACGGAAGCGCCCGAGAATCTTTCTGCGAGCTTGCTCGGCAACCGGCTGAGCAGTCGCTCAGTTTCCACATCCTCGAATCGTCGTCAACCAGTTGACTCGCTCGTCATTTCCCTTGATGAGCTGTCGCATCACTCCCAAGACCCCGTCGATGCCGTGCCGAACAATCCAGATGATACCGGTTCAGGAGCATCACGTTTGAGCCGGGAAACTTTCGCCCAATCCCAAACGGTCGCCACGGATGAGAGGCCTGTCTCTCAAATCAGATGTCCGAAACGCAAGTTCGAATTTTTCGTATTTCTGACCGACTGTGCCGCCCTTCTCTCAACACTGGGTCTCCTTGTATTTGGTCTCATTGTTTGGCGTTCCGACGGAACTCAAATCACCGAAAAAGACCGCGGAACACGGGTGAATACGATCAACGTAGTAAGTCTGGCCTTTTACCCCACGTACTGCCAGTTATGATGAATCTTTTCCATCGAGTCAAAGTTTCTGACAGCTGTACAGCTTGCCACCGTCTTTCCCATCTTGTTCGCCTCAGTCGTTGACAGATTGGTTTCCGAAGCAGCTCGGTGGAAACTCGAGAATGGCGCCACCGTACGATCCCTCGAACAACTACTCGGCAGTAGGACGGTCGGTGCAGCTGCACTCACCCTCGTCCAGTTCCGTTCATTCAATATTTTGAGCATCATGCTAGTCTTTTTGTGGGCATTCTCGCCATTGGGAACACAATCGCTTCTTCGAATGAATACATCTCGTCTCGAGCCGAGCATGAAATCGACGAGCCTGATATACTTCGATAGTGGTGCCAGGAGCCAACTTGCAGATTGGGGAAACTCTGAAGTGAGTGGAAGCTCTGTGGTTTACACGTATTCCAAGTTCCGCTCACTCGCAACACTTTACACCTCTCTCGTTGCCGCTCCTCAGCAAATCAAGGATGACAATATGGACATTTGGGGAAACGTCAAGATACCTTTCTTCAACGGTGTAGACGAGAACTGGAAGAACATCACCAGTGATACTGCTCAGCACCCGTATTCCGCCCTAGCCGGCATTCCACTCATGCACCTCAACGAAGATAACGCAACTTTCTCGCTAGAGTCCGACTACATTCACCTTGAATGCAAGAACCTCACCAAGATCGTAAGAAGTGTCACACCAGAAGATATCCGCGAAGATTTGATATCAGACGAAGGTCTCAAAGATTTTGGCACTACTTACCGCGCTGCTACCAACAGGTCCAGGCTCCTGAACGGAACATGGCATGGGTATAGCCCGACCAGGTCAAGCTCGACAGCAACAACATGGAGTCTGGCACTTGACAGATTTATTGACCCTATCTGGTTTGCCATCAGAAAGGACGAAAATGGAAATGAGTCGGAAAGGTACCCGGTAATCCGGCCGGACGAGGCAATGAGACCAATTCTATTTCAGGGTGAGAGCGGGATAGAGGTCGGCAAACCCACCCTGCTCTTTCAGGCTGCTTCCGCCAGCTCCATGCACTCTCCCGAAGGATTCATTAGAGCCTACTACGGAGTCACTCAGAGATACGTCGAATCAAGAGTCAACTGTTGACGTCTCTCATCTGACTCTCGGCACAACTGTAGTGTAGTTGCTATGCGTCCTTCACAAAAACAGCATGCTCCCGAGGCTATCTCGCAGCTTTCATTTCCCCCAAACTTCAACTACCTTTCTCGAGGAATGCCGCTTACTGTTGGGGGAACCGTCTCCTACCAGTCCGACGTATCTCTCTACTACATCCAGGACCCAACCCTCCGGGGCATGTCCTCAACGGAACGCAGCTTCTTGGAAAACATCACGGAGGCGGAAGTTTCAGTACGCTTAAGTCAACTCATCAATACCTACATGCTACTAAGCCAGTTATCCTTTCAAATCACCAGAAGTGACGCGGAAGCCTCGCTGGAAACCAATCAGACCGTTGTTGCACAATTCAGTGAGCTGGTTCTAAGGTACTCTATTTCTAAATCCTGGGCGGCAGCTTTTCTCTTCTCGAGCTCGTTGCTCTTTCTGTCTGCTGTTGTTGGAGTCATTTTCAAGCATTGGGCTCGTGGTCCCGAGGTATTGGGATATGTCTCAACGGTAATCCGGGATTCGAAGTATATATCTCTGGCATCTCCGTCTGGATGGAACGATGGGGTAGAGTTATCGACGGAAATAGCTTCTCAACGTATACGTTTCGGCGTGGTGATGACGGCAAATGAAGAGAAGCTTGCAGTGGGGGTAGGAAAGCAAGAAAACACTCGACATGTGAAGGAGTTGGACACATCTGATGGAAGTGCCTGAGTCGAGAATTTTACTACATTTCAGGTCTTCTGCGAAAGCTCCTACTTTCGGACTCGGAAAACATTGATAGAAGACGACTCTGCCAAACTTTGATCACCGGTCAATGTCAAGGCCAATCAAGTCTATCCAAGTCGCGGGGAATTCAATCTTGGGAGCACACGATGGCATAAAACAAGATGGCAAACGCAGCATTCGCTTTACTCTCATTAATCTATGCTCATTTTCATATGATAACACGTGAAGCCTGTTGCTGGGAAGGTAGATTACAATGAAAGTCCAAGTCCTAATCCAGTCCCGGCAACCACCCATGGGTATCCAACGAATTCAACCCCTCAAAATTAGGACTCGCCGTATCCTCAGACGACTGCCTCGGCGGCTGCGGTTGCGGCGGCGGCTGCATACCTCCATTCCCACTCGAAAACATAAACATCTGATCACTCGCCGGCATTCCTCCTCCTCCGCCGCCGCCGCCGCCGCCGCCGCCGGGTTGTGACGTAGCCATGTTCCACGCCTCAAAGTTCTGGTGCCACTTGGCGCCGTCGTTGAGGAACCAGTCCTGGTCTAGGCCCTGGAAGACTTGGCCGGGGGATAATTGCTGCTGCCGCGCACTGCCGGGTCCGGCGCGGGAAGTCTGTGATGGGGCGAGGTTGTTGTTCATTGCGGTGAAGCGTTGCTGTTGCTGTTGGTATGTTGGTATCGACTGGGTGAGGCCGGGTTGGGACCAGCCGCCGAGGGAGTTGGGGCCCATGCCCATCCCGTTGTGAGGTTGATGAGACGGTGGTCTGGCACCGCTGATTTGTGCCAGAGACGCGCTCGCCATCAGAAGATCCGTCGGACTAGGCGCCACATCCTCGCTGGACTGCGGTTGCGCAAACTGGTTGAGTGGGCTATACTGATCCGGCTTCCCCATCACCGGCGAAACAGGACCCTGCGTCGGCGAAGGCGATGACGCAACCGTAAGATTCGACCTCGGCGACGGTACGTCCGAGGTACTAAACGTGCCGTACGTCTCGTCCGTCCTCCTCAGCACGGCCTCCGCCTCCTCGGGCAACTCGACATTCCACTTCCGTGCCAGCACGCTGATGATGCTCAGCGTCCGGCGCGCGCACAGCCAGTCTTCGGCGATTTCCTCGAGGTGTTTCACGCCGTGGATGATGTCGCGCTTGGCGGTCTTCTCGGGGAGGTTAAGCATGTGGATAGTACAGGCGCTGTGGACCATGTAGACGGCGATGTTGCAGATTTGGCGGAGGTTCCAATTCTTCTTGTATAGGCGCATGAGTTTGGATATCGCACCGGCGTTGGCTGTGCATATGCGCCGCGGGGAGACGTGGGATGGGAGGGGAGAAGCTGCGGGTGTGTATTTGAGGAAGGGGCGGAAGAGGTGAATGTATTGGAGGTGGAAGAACATGCTAGGATGATGTTAGCATCGTGTGTTGAGGGAGTGGTGTTGTACTTACTGGACGAGGATCACGTTGGGGAGTTGTCCTTCCTTTGGTTCCAGCTCGTTTGGTAATTCCTTTCGCCAGTCTTCTAACCTCCGATGAAGCTCACTTAGCTTCTTGAGCTCGATAGATTTTCCACTTGAGCGGCCGATGTGATTTGGATGATAAAAGAACAAGAGCAAGTCGCTGCTTATCTCGCAAAGCTTAGAGAGTTGCAATCCCACGGCTCGCGTCCTAGACGGCTGACTGCATGTCTGATCGAACCCATTGTCTGTATAAGGCGCCCACAGTTCCGCATCCTCGGAAGGGAAGACGTCGTACTTGGGTACGTTGTACGAGTTCTTTGGTATCTGCGGCAGGCGACCCAAATAATTCGACCACGCCTTATCAAAGAGGAAGCACCCCCAAAACGTCATCCGTCTCGCGTCGACGGCGTGTTCTCCGAGATTCTCCTTATCATTGGACATTCCGCCGTCGTCAAAGTTGAGACCAATATCCTGGGCCATGCGGAAGGCCATGCCAGAGTACACCCAGCCTTTTGCCTCCCGCCCGCAGCCGGCCTCCCTGACGGACATGAGTGCCAGGGCCTGGACAGTCGTGAGCTTTGGCCGCTCGTACTCATCATTCTCGACGATAAGGCGCTTCGCCTCGGCAAAGAAGTGGTCGCCCTTTGTACGGCTGTCCCCCGGCGTCCCGTACGCTCCTGGCACGCTGGTGAAGTGGCACCCGAGGGATAGCATGGCATTGACTAGGAGTGGTGAGCAGTAGATGGTGCCTTTGTAGTTTAGTCCGTGCTTCCCCTTGAAGAAGTCGCGGTAGAATAATGTTTTTGATAGTGTCGTGAAATATGTGTAGTGCCAGTTGAAGTACATGTTCATGAGGTGGGCGATGAGTTCCTTATCTTGCGTAACTCTGGTCCAGCTGGTGACGGGGTCCTCATTGGTGAGGTTCGTGTCGGACTCAGGCTCGTTTGTGTTGGCGTCGCCTGATTCGCCTAGGTAGATGAGATGTGATGTGCCTCCGATGAAGCGTACTGAGCCGTTCTCGAGGCGCAGCTCGCCCATCTTGCGAGCGAGTTCCCTCTCACCCTCGATGGGCATGTCGATTGTGTAACCGTCGTCTCCATTGTCGTTATCTTCGGCTTCCTGGAGCATGGTCTCATGTTTCAAGATCTGCTCAGCGACAGTGTCAAGGCTGTCGCAGGTCCTAATCCTCTTTACAATGTCAGAGACCTCATCCTCGTTTGCGTTGAGGATGGCCTCGATGAGAATCTGTAGTGTCGAGTTGCGCGCCTTCATGCTATCGACCTTTTCCTTGTAGACGCCTTTGCGGCGATGGTCCGAGTTTGGGTCATAGACGCACTCCGTGCCGTAGACGCTGGCGCACGCAGCGCAGCTGGGCACGGCTCCGTCGCATTTCGATTTCCTCCGGCGGCAGGCGACACATGCTGTGCTCACGCAGCGCCGCTTCTGTGACGCTGAGTCGCCTCCTCTGCGCGACGACTTCTTCTTGGCCGCTGGTGGTGGTGGTTGTGGTGCGGACGACGATGATGATGAGGGCTGTTCCAGGGATTTGGTCAGGGAGCCGCCCGATGTGGACGACAAAGGGAGATCTTGATCGTCCATCTTTCTTTCCAGGACACGTCTCTGGCTGCCGAGCTCCGAACTAATGAGATGACGTTGACGCACCGGAAGGGGTGAAGTGAGCGACCGGAGATGCTGAGTCCAACTTTGATGCGGTGCGCGGAGATGTGGAAATCAAATGGGTACAGCGAGTCCCCGGGAGACGGGGTGGATGCGACGGCGGCAGCAAGCTGAAATGACAGTCCAGGGCCACCACCGGCGCAATAAGAATCAAAGGGCTGCAAGACAGCGATACCCGATGCCGATGGAGGGGGTACCGCAGGGACGGGAGCGAGAACCGCGGAGAGAGAGGGGGGTGGAGTAGTAGCTCGCGGGCTGCGGGCGTCTCACTCCTCCGTGGATGTTGAAGGTACCCTGTCGTTGAGATAAAGAAGCGGCAGGCGATTGGGTGTGCAGAGGATGCGGATTGGAGAGACGTCTGATAACGAGCCAAGGGAGTCGATTATCGAGGCTTGGCTTTTGATGACGATATACCTAAAGACTGGTGGGCTGCCGCTATCTCTCAACAATGAGGCAGCTGTGTTCTTTGGACGATATCGCAGCCTCGGGTTAGCCTTGGATTGGTTGTTGTCTGGATGCTTATGAGCTGCTGGTACACGGCCATCAGAATGTGAGATTTCTTGTTGATTAGTAGAGTGGCTGAGAATAACGGTCGGGGAGGAAAGTAGCACATGTCTTGGAGTAAAGGTGACTCTGGTGCATCTCAGTCGCGGGCAGTTCGGGGAGGCTAATGGTGGTATTGCATATGTGAAAGGGTTACTTGCATATTACGTACCAGAAAATGGGTGGCTTGAGGCGGCTTATGCGTGAGGCGAGGGATTGCCTAAAAGCCGTTAGGCATTGAGGAACGCTGAGAAGGCAAGAGGGGCAATTGGACGGCTCGAGAGGGCCGAAGCGTATGAGTAAGGTAAGTTTGCGTGCACCGGTGCCGATGGGAGAAGCACTGTAGCTTCTATCGTAGTTCCGGGTCTCTGGAAAGTGTGATGAGATCCAAATGGTTTGACTTGACGGCTATGGCCGGAATGCACAGAGGGCTGGGATTAACTTGGGGTACGGCAGACCAACAGGCGATTGCGGTGGTGGAGAGGTAGATCCGGCCTAGGCACGTTTGTTCCGGCGCAATGTGGAATCAGATGCCGGGTTGCTGCGTGAGACCGCCGGCGGAGTTTAAAGTCATCGAAAGAAAGAAAATGCCTGCTGCTAGACTAGGTAGTCTCAACAGGGGCCAGCTGACAGCTCTCTTCTGCGTGCCCGTAACTTCCAAATGGTCACAAGAATGAGTAATTGAAGAAAACAGCTTGGAAAAGAGTTTTGCTGACAATTCCACCTTCAGTGTCCCGGCTGCTGGGGACGACTCGAATACCTCCGCGGCCCGCAACTCCACGAATTGGGAGGCGAGCCGGGAAGAAAGGGATACCCTAGTCATCATGTAATGCGACTGGCATAGTGGGGTTTTCACTGTACTCCGTAGTCTGTACTCGTAGTGTATCCGTAGCAGCAACACTACTAGGAACGTAAGCTGTAGACGGATCGAGATGTGTTGTAAGATGGTAGGGACTTTCCAGATATTTGTTAATGTGAGATTTACAATTAAGACATAGTCCAGGTGTCGAAACATGCCACCTTGAAGTGCCATAGACTCCATGCTATCACTCATTATTCTATCATTATACTGCAAGCAACTCATCTCTCATAAGAACAATGAGCTGAGTATTCATGGCCATGAGATAGTTGATGTCAATCAGGTCTTGGCAGTAACGGCAGAATCGAATATCTTCATAGCAAGTTGATTGATAATAATAACGTTCAAGTTCTCAATGAAGCAGCAGAGAGACAACGATTCTCGCTCTTCACCCTGCAGAGATCCGCTAGCGCATGACATTTAAGGTCTCGCTAGACCTGTGCACGTGCCATGGCCCCACCAACCCTCTTCCCCCACCTTCTATCTGATCCGTGCACGGGGGGCCTCCCCGGCCACGGAACGGCCCTTCCAATGTTGAAGAACTCCCGCCACTTGGGGCTGCCGATACTTTGATCCCAATAGCTACCTAGCTTCCGGCTCTGACGTCCTTGAACCAGCCCTGAATTGTCGATTTTCTTAATTTGCGATCGTTTCGAGGAGCCTTGTCGAGAAAAAGCCTAGACGTCATATTTGTCCTCACACGTTGTCCCAAATTGGCAGTTCTTTGCTCATAGGAACTCGAGAAACCTTGCCCTGGAGCTATGGCCACTATCCGCAAACACGATATTTCTGAGTCGTAGCTTACTTCAAAGTGCTAAATGCGGCGACCCAATGGCCGAAGCTCTAACCGTAATAGAGGTCGCCCTCTGCATCACCGAAGTAGTCGAGCGCCTCTGCAAATACGTCTCGGCAGTCAAATCCGCCAAAGATGACGTACGCAAACTCACCCAGGAGCTCCTCGCCCTCAAAGGCGCAATGGACCACTTCCACGTCCAAAATGAGCGTAGCATGGATAACCCGCTACAGGAGCAGGCCCGCGCCATGCTCAAGATGACTCAGGAGACCCTCGACGCCATACGAAAGAAGCTCGGTACGCCAAAGACGTCGTCCTTGGGCCGCGCTGCCCAAAGTTTGGCCTGGCCTTTTCGGCAGGGTGATATAGAGACGTATTTTGCTACTGTCGAGAGAGCCAAGACGTGGTTCATCATGGTCTTGATGAGGGATTCGCTCGATACCACGGCGTCAGTGTTGTCAGAGATGCAGAAGCTGACGGCGCTTGTGCATGAGGATATTGTTGCGCGCAAGACGGATCGGATGCTGGAGGAGACGGCTGATTTGCTAAAGTGGCTTTCGCCCGTCGATAGTGAGGACAAGCTTGTCAGTTCAAGGCACGATCGCGCACCGGGTACTGGCAGATGGATAGTCGATAAGACGTTTCTGGAATGGCAAAGGAGCACTCCCACTGATCGGCCGGTATTCTGGATCACTGGAAGGTGTAAGTCATGTCACCCATATTTGCAGTCCGTGCAGCATCCCATTGACACAACAAACAGCAGGATCCGGCAAGACGGTGCTTTTGTAAGAACAGACAAGACCCTGGCGGTGCTCATGCGGTACTGACTGATACAAGCTCGCAACTCGTTGAGGATCTCAGAGCACATCCTAGCGATGAAGCCTCGGAAGAGAACGGCAACATAGGCGTCGGTTTCCATTGCTGCTCCCTAGACGACGCGGCATCCCAAGCCGTTCCGAACGTCTTTGGCTCCATCCTGGCCCAGATAGGAGCGACGAACCCAAGTATCCTCGACCATGTCCGGCCGCTGAGGAAGTCTGGGAACACTCTGATCCCGCAGAACAACCTGTCCGTCGAGCAGATCTACGACGTAATGGGTGAAGCCCTCGAGTTATTTGATGTCTTTTATCTCATGGTTGACGCTCTCAACGAGACGAACCAGGAGTCTGTCATTGTTAAGGCCCTTTTGCACCTCTGCTCAAAGCACTCTAACCTACGCATCTTGGTCACGTGTACGCGCGAGCCGGCGCAGCCTGATCCTAGCATCTACGTCCGACACATGAGCACACAGTCCATAGATTGTGATATCGAGGTGTATGTGGAGAAAAGGCTTTCGAGCGAACACAGTTTCCAGTCCTTGAGTGCGAAAATACGAACCAAGATCAAGGACAAGGTCACATCAGAAGCGGATGGGACGTGAGTGTTCTGGTTCGACTCCGTTGTGGTCAATACTGACAATGCTGCAGATTTCGATGGGCCAAATTGTGCATGGATAGACTCAGCACCCTTCGCACTGGAAGAGACGTACGACGAGCTCTGATCGATATACCGTCCACACTCAACGGGTTTTACGCCGGTATACTCACCCGTGTACCCCAACAAGATCGGGCCCTGGCTCGCGAGGCTCTTGCCTGGCTCTGCTTCTCTCTCCGGCCGCTTCATCTTAACGAGCTCGCCGAAGCCATCGTCCTCGAAGGTGACGAAGTCGATATTGACGATGATGACCGACTCACCGACCCCTCTGCCATTATCGAAATCTGCCAGGACCTAGCCCACGTAAGCGAGCACTACGTCACCCTCGCCCACGACTCCATCCGCACATTCTTACAATCAGAATGGATACGGACTTCCTCTGCCTCGGAATATGCGCTGGACGCATCCGCCTGCCACCAAATCATCATGCGCAAGTGCCTCGCCTACCTCAGACTCGAGCCCTTCACCACAGGCCCCTTGGACAAGCTCCGACACGTGAAGGCCAGGTTTGCAGCCTACCCGCTGCTCAACTACGCTACAAACATGTGGCCCATCCACTCTGAACGCTTCCCCCTCTCAGATAAAGACGAGAAGCTCATTCTCGACTTCTTCGACACCAAGAAGCTCGCGCACGGCGGCGCCTTTGAGGCGTGGGTGCAGTTTGTCCTGCGCTCGGCGGATCTGGACGTCATCCGGCACACGGAGCCGCTCTACTACGCCGCGTCGTTCAACATGACGTCTGTCCTACAATTAATACTCAGACCAGAGTACAAGGTCGACGTCAATAAGAGAGGCGGACGGTTTTCTTCGCCCCCGCTGTTTGTGGCGCTCTGGAGGGACAATGTCGAGGCGGCCATGTTGCTACTCAGGGCCGGGGCGGACCCGGATTCTCGGGATACGAGTGGGCAGACTAGTCGGCGCCTGGCCACGAGTCGAAAGCACCATGAGGTTGTCAAGCTTATGAAGGAGATGAGTCCGGCGGGGGCAAAAAGGGCGCCGACTTGGAATTGGGATAAGGAATCTCAGGATGAGTGGGCGATGGAGGATGCTCTTGCACAAGTGAGGCTGAGAAGCTATATGGATGAGGGTTCCTGAGTTGATACCACTTCCAAATAGCCCCCTACAAGCAGGAGTTGCGACAATTGTACACAACGATTCTGAGCATTAGCATCAAGGACACACAACTCGGCTGGGATTTATCCCGTGGCAATGAAAGGTTGTGAGCAGTCCTTCCAAGCTACACTCTTTCAGCTGGAACCGTGTCCATAAGGCATGTGGTGTAAGTCTCTAGACTAGGATATCCACCTCTAGTTGGGGCTCCATACCTGCTTGGGAGAAAGTCAGAAGACGAGGTGTGAGGTGTTGATGCAATGTGATGGGTGGTGAAAGGCCACGCACTGCCACACCGAAGCGGGTGGAAGGTGAGAGGTGCTTAAAAGTGGAGACACACATCAATGCCGTTGTGGCTCGTGGCGCTGTTCTGTACAATGCAAGATTACTAAGCCGGGCAGTAAACCCCCACTACAAGCATCACGTCACATCTTCCGGTGAAGAGGTACCTCACCTCCCCCAGCCTAGGAGCACAGCGCTAAGGGACCGACTTGACGGGTGCGCTTCTTTCTTTCTCCAGCTCACTCACTGCCCACTCCACTGCATCATCCCGAGCTTCCAAGAGCAGTGCCGCGGGCCTCTTTTTTTGTGATCCCAACAACCTCACCCAACACCCTCACACCTCTCTTCTACTACCGTTTCTATTGCCTTTTCTTTTCCTCCCCGCACCTTACTCCTCAGCAGTAGCAATCCGTCCTTTTCTGTTCACTTTCGTGACTATTGGCGATATGCACATGCTCCGTTATTCGGCTTAGCTCAGGTACGTCTTTCGGGTTCCATCCTCCAGCTCCATCACCCACCACCCCCAAAGCGGCAGCCGGTCACAGACCAGAATTACATGGTAAAGACACAACCTACAGCGCACACCTCCCACATCTGCCCTTAACTGGCTATGCCTTTTGGGTTTTCCGTAAATTCAAGAAGGCTGTGGTATTGACCTTTTTTCGCACCAGGCTTTCCACGCTCAGCGCTGCTCTCGCCTTCCAGAAGTACCTGCCGACCTAAGAATACAACGCTGTCCTACCGCACCTTCCGTTCTCCACCGACAACGACCCCAACATCACTTCGGCTGACATTCTGCGCTCTACACCTCACACCAATACCAACTTTGGACTGCGCCTGCCCCAACTTTGGGCATTTCTCGAGAGCCTTCTTTTCCACTCTAACCCAGACTTCGGGCTATCGTCAACAAGCAGCTGAAGGTGCGCAATAGCTTGAGCGCCAGCCACCGTACTACAGCGCAACTCTTGCCCATACCTAAGCTTCCGCCACCTCGAACAGACTCCTTAAATCTGTCAGTCTGGCGTTCCGAGCTCTTCGCGCTGCCGGCCTTGCTGTAGGCCTTGGTCTTACAGCCCTCGCCGCCTACAATAGCAACCAGGCCGAGATGGACTCCCACACCTCAAGAGGCGGGCACCTGGTTGCCACGGATGGCCGAGAGGTGGTTTACTGTCACGCCTGCTCCCACGAGTGGTGGCAAGATGAGCATGGTCTTCAGTGCCCTCGTTGCGAAAGCGAGATTACAGAGATTGTACGATATACTACCACTACCCCCTCCCTCCTGCCACACTTGCTGACGAACACCCAGGTTTCTCCCGAGAACGACCCCAGAGAGATCGAGGATGGTCCCCCGCTGCACGATTCCCCGAGACTCAGACGTCATATCTACGACGACGATTCGGATCCTGAAGAGGCGGATATAGAGGAGCATCTGCATCGCGGCCCAGGCGGGTTCGTCGTACACCGAGCGATCTGGGATAATTCTCAGCGCCCAGGACAGAGTCCAAACCCAAACACGCGCCAGCCCCCCGATGTGAACGATGGCGATCAGATCATTCGACGCTTTATTGATATGGTGAACGATTTCGGCATGGGCATGCCACCGCGACCTCCTGACGAGACTCGCCCTCCTGGCTTTGGCGCTGGTGGAAGTATTTTTGGCGGCCAGGGCAATGTTCGCACATTCCAGAGAACAGGTCCCGGAGGCACCACAAGCTTCACGATCGCCACTGGACCCATCCATGTTCACCAAGGAGGAGCTAACTCGCCTACTGGAGCTGGAGGCGACCCCTTCCAGTCGTACGTCAGCCTTGAACCTCGTGGCCAGCCACCGCCTGGACCTCGAATCACCGTCGTTTCCATTAGAACGAATGCTGACCAGCTTCCTAGTATCTTCAGCAGCGTCCTAGCTGGAGCAGGACCCCCTCAACCGGCCGGAATGGGCCCCGGCCAGGGACAGCGCGCGCCTAATCAAGCGCCTACACTTCTTCATGAGATTCTCAACATGCTCAACCCAGCCAACGCCTCGCACGGCGATGCTGTGTACACCCAGGAGGCCCTGGACCGGATCATTTCTCAATTGATGGAGCAGAATCCGGCATCGAACGCGGCACCCCCGGCGACTGAAGATGCGCTCAGCAAGCTCAAGCGCAAAAAGGTCGACAAGGAGATGCTTGGCCCCGAGGGCAAGACTGAGTGCACAATCTGCATTGACGATTTCAACGAGGGTGACGACGCTACAGTGCTGCCCTGTAAGCATTGGTTCCACGACCAGTGCGTCGTCATGTGGTTGAAGGAGCACAACACTTGCCCCATATGCCGTACGCCGATTGAAGAGCCTAGCGGCGGCAGCAGCAACAATAACGATAACAACAATAATAACAATGCGAATGCGAGCGGTTCAAACAACGGCGGCAATGTCGACGACAACAACCCATCGCAAACCCGCCCCGGAGCAGCGCCTGGCTCGTCAGAGAGCCATCAAGACTCGTTCTGGCCCGGCAATGATCCTGGACACTGGGCAAATTCGATGAGAGGAATTCCCCCTCGGTCGAATTATATGGACGCGACCCCTCCGGTACCTGCCGACTCCACGAGACCCCAGCCGTCGTTTGTCGATGAACTCTACGGACGCTACGGGGCTTCCAGCACTGGCCGCAGTGACCCGCAACGTTCCCAGGAAACGAGCCGAATGCCCAGCTTTCGATCGGCTAGACGGGACTCTCATTCGCCCCCGAGCCTCCGCCGACACCAGTCCGACGTGTTTCGAGCTAGGCAGCGTAGTCCCTCGTCCGGTAATTGGGACAGAGGTCAGGACAGCAACCAGGACAGTAACCAGGACGCCGGATCCAACCACGGCCCGCTTAATTGGCTGAGAAACCAGTTTTCTCGAGGATCGGGTTCGGGAGATAGTAACCCGCGTGAGAGACGGAGACAGTAAGCTTGTGGGATTGATTAAGGAATGGAATGGATCTGGGTGGTTTGCCAATGAAAGATTTGAGCGAGCCACGCGGCTCCAACGCGGCCGGTAGGCATATCACGAATTACGACGAGGGTCGACGGCGTTTAGCATTGGTCGTTGAGACCGTTATTTCTCTTTTGAGCTCGACCGCGCCGCCGTGGGTCAGATTTTCATGACCCGCAGGGCCTCTTCTGTACATACTTGGGACCTTGTCACAGGAAAACAGACAGGCATTCTCCTTTTGGTGGCGAGGGTTAGGCAGGATAAGATCTCCGTACTGCAGTCAGCATGAAAGCAGGAAGTATCCGTCAAAATGTGAAATGCATGAGTGTGTTCTGGAACCGCGGTCTACAGCGAGAATAAGAGATCCAGGCAGGTTCATGTGATCAGCATGGGAGATCAATCGCACAACCAGATCCTACTCCATCTTGATGAAGGTCACTCTTTGTAAGTGATCCCTTCCATCTCTTGATGTCCCATTGCATTACTGTAAAGGCACATGACAACAGTCATTCCCGAGAGGAAAGAATCGTGTACGTTTCTGTTGCAAATATAATGCTCGTGAGGTAGAATAGAGATGTGTATACGCCCCGTACACCGGTCCAAACAAATAGCCGTCGTTACTTCCATACAAATACACATTACCAGATACTTTGAGAGGGGGAAGCACGGAGTAAGTAAAGGTTTCGGCACACGCGATGTGCAATGCAGGCGTAGCAATTCCCCACATGTGCCGCTCCTTAACCCCCCCCCCCTCGCCCCCTTCGAATGCAGTCGCTCCTTTTCGTCATCGCCATCATCTCAGGTGCCCGTCACTCACACCGACACCTCATAGTCCGTCCTACTATCTCTCTCTCTCTCTCTCCCTCTCTCTCTGTCTCTCATAGGTGTCACATTTATCTCCTCTTGACATTCCTCACCAAAAACGCACCCACCACGCCCGCCGCGACCGCAACGCCGCTAATAATCGCAACACCCATGAGGCCCTCCTTGGCGACCTTGTCGTCGACGAGCTGGCGCAAGTTGGAGGCCTGGAGGTTGGCGGGTTCCTTTTCCAGCAAGAGGTCGTTGTAGCGGCGGGCCTCGCCGTAGTTTCCGAGCTTGTAGTTGCCGAGGGCGAGGTAGAAGAGGCACTCGCGGCGGCGCTCGGGGGAGACGCGGAAGATTTCGGAGAGGAGGCGGACGCCTAGTTGTTGGTCGTTGCGGGAGTCTGATTTTACGAGGCCCTGTTGGTTTTTTCGATAAGGATTAGTACATGATGAAAGCTAGAAGGAGAGGAATTATGGGGGTATGAGGGGTATGGCGACGGTAACGAGGAAGGAAGGGGAAGAGGGGGGATTGTCGTACCCATGCGTAGTTGAACTTGGTTTGGACGCCGACCATGTCGCCTTCCTTTTCATACTGGGCGCGGAGGACCTGGAGCTCGGATGCCTTGAGGGGCCTGCGGTGCGAGGAGGGGCTTGTTAGTTCATGATGCTGTCGCAGGATCGGGTGTCGCGGGGATGGAAGGTGGCCTTGAAGATGAGAAGGAGAATAGGACATACGTTTCCGCGTCGAGGGCGTCTGCGCAGAGTGGTCAGTCGTGGACTTCCTTATGGTGACGTTGGTTCGCTCCAGGCGGGGAGGACGGGGGTAGGAGAGGGCTGACTTACAAGGTAGATCAACCATGGCTGCGATGATGCGGTTGACTCGTGGCTATGGAAATGTCGTGTGTAAAGATATTTTGTTTTATTTTGACGGATCGTACGAGGATCTTCAACGTCGCAGTTGTATCGTGGGTTGAGAAGGTTCGATCGCGTGGAAGTTTGAAAGCAGCTGTCACAGTTGCTAGGTATGACAGGGCTGAAGATGCCAAAGCGTTGAAGATGCTGAATGCAGAAATCGAGAAAAAGGTGCAGGCTACAGCTGGGAAGAACGGGATCGGGGAAGAGTGGCTGAAGCTCTGACATTTGAAGATACGTGGGGACTCTTCCGGGCGGGCCACTCTGGGGGCGGCGACGGCGGCGTCATGTGTGGCGGATGACGAGTGTTGGAGACAAGCTGAGGTGGGGCTGTTGAGTCTGTGATAGGGGTCACTCGACTGTGAGAAACTTAGTCATCACTGATTGTCGTCCGGGTGATGCCGTGCGATAAGGCAAGCCGGGGGCAGACGGGCAGCGACAGTTTTTTGTTTGGGGGATTCCCGTATTGGGCTTTGGTTGGTTCGTTCTGCCGTGACTTATCCCACTGCACGATTTCTAGTCGCATCCATCCATCCATCGACCCCAGGTCAATCAAGTAACGACACCAAACACCACCACGAAAAAAACAACGCGACATCACAACTCCAGCTCCCCGCGCATGCACACAGCAAAATAACGATACAACACAATACTTCCGTCATATCAAGAACAGAACAATCGGTCAAGATGCTTTTAGCAGAGGAGCCCGCGACGGTAAGGGTTCCCCCTCCATCCCCCGTCATCCTGCCCTGTTGACGGCATCTACTTCCTATTCGGAGAAGCAAATCGCTCACAAGAGGCATCTTCTTCGCGCCAACAGCTCATCTCGCACACAATCGACAACTTCAACATCCAACCAGACAAGCAAGCCATCGCCCGCATCAATGAATCTCTCTCCACCCTCCAGCAGGCCCGCGAGCTGCGCCTCCGCGAGGCAGAGAATGCCCTCAAGAGTATGTCCTGGTCACCATCCCCCGTTTCCTCCTGCCTCTTCCTCGATAGGAAAGACAGGTCATCCCCTCTTCCAAGGGTCAGAGTCGCATCCAAGATCTCCTCCCAAAACCACAGCCCATCTTCAAACCGGATCGAAACCCCCCCCCCCCCCGAACCAAACTAACATGCCCACAGAACTCTCCCGCCAACTAAACACAATGACATCCCAACACGCAGAGCTAACCTCAACCCACTCCTCCACCGCCCACGCCTCCGAAATAGCCCGCCTCGACACCACAAAATTCCGCACCGCCAAAGCCGCCTCGGACGCAGAAATGGAAGCAGAGCGCCTCGCCCAGCAGGCCGCCGACCTCAACGCCCGCCTGCAGGAGCTCGAGATCCAGGGTCTCGACGGCTCCGCCGACGACCAGGCCCGCCGCCGCGACCCCGTCGACGACGAGGTGCTGCTGCGCCTGAAAGTGTACCGCAGCCTGGGCATCGAGATTGAGCGCGACGGAAAGGATGGTAGCGGTACGGGAGAGTTCACGCGCGCGGTTGTGAGGAATGATCGCAAGGGGGATGTGCATGTTGTTAATATGGATAAAAAGTTTTCAAAGTTCTTTTATGCCAACTACTTTTGGCAGACTTTGTAAATGGGGGTTCAAAAGAGAGGTTGTTTCTGTTTGGGTTTAATGACGGCGTTTGGAGGACTTATGATCGGATACCACGTCTCGAATAGACACTTTTCTTCGCGATTGCACCAAAGTTGAACATCAAATATGTTTCCTCAAACAGTGGAATTGTAGTTTGGTCACAAGAATACGAAGCATGAACACCACCATGTCTTATTGAGTGACGAATGGCCTTGAAGTTGATGATTTCTTGATTGTTGATTCAAACATCGTCCGTCTGGACTGTTGTTGAGATGTGATATACCAAAACGCCTACGGACTCCCAGTCCAAGTCCAAAATCCTGTCCGTGAGTAGCCTCGCCGGGCCAATATTCCCATTCCTTGCTTTGGGCTGTCCTGTCCTGTCATAGAGGATATCCCTATTCCACCTAATCTTCCTCCCATTGCCCTATCCAGGGACTTATATCATGCCTTGCATCCCGGCTTTAAACAAAGAAAATGATTCACACAACTCTCTTACACCGCCCACTTTCGAGGGCACTCTTTTCTCGTCAGTTTTGCGGCGAGAGAGTCGAGATAAGAACCATGATTTTCTCTTTCCCCACCCATTAATGATAACTTTTCGTCATCCACCAGCACGCCAGTAGGGATCAGTTCTCTCACGCCACGGCAACCTTTCTTACAGATTTGGTTGATAATGATGGAAAGTAGTCACCGTCGACACCGTCGAGTGCTGTGAACGCGATGTGTGTGTTGGTTGGTGTGCGTGCCCTTGAGCTATTGGGCGACACAATAGCTGTGTATCCGCCTCGATTGCTTTCCGGGCTTCGGTTGCGACCTCCCTTCATCATGAGGTAGCCATCGCCGCCACCTGGAGTGGTAGGTCCACCGCTAGGACTCCTATGATGATGTCGTTGGTACTGACGATCGGGCAGCTCAAGACGTGAGTTGATGGTCATCCACAACTCATCGTCGTTTCCGTTTCCGAGGCGCCAGCCACCAAGACCCTCGTAGTCCCGATCAATACCGACAGAGGGAAATAAGCCGATGCCTCCTGATTCCGAGATGGGTGTTATTGTGCCGACGGAGACGGCGGAGGCAGAAGACGGTCGTCTTGCGCGACGCGAGGCGGAACGCCGTGTGGGCGTTAGCGACGGTGACGGACTACCGGACACCGGTGCCTTGGAGGCATAAGAAAGATACCTAGGACGACCGGTAATGTACGAAGGGAGCAGAGATATCGCGAGATCAAAGTAGACGAGAATGACTCGAAATATGAGCACAGTAAAGGCGAGTGTTGTCGTAATCCCGGCAAATATCGCTAGCGGGATGGTGAAGAGAAAGAGGAAGGGAACGATGATAGCGTATACGGGGTTGATGAGAGCCATGGCTTCGATTGGTAGACGTAAAAGCCGTTTGATTTGGGGGGCGTGATGATCGATATCTCGAGAAGTCCCTCCCTCACAACATCTCCTCAGCTTCCTGGAAAATTGGCCGGTGCGTGGTTTATCTCTCGCTGAAGCAAAAGGGTGGTTCCGGGTTTGACCAGTAAGTCCCGGTGACTGAGTCGTACGATCCGGTCACTGTCGTTCGTTCGGCGGTCCGATCGTTCGATCACGTTGTAATACCCAGCCCACTGTCGACGATTCCCGCTCCTTCAACACTTGGGAACAGAAACGAAGGGGGGGAGACCGGGAAAAGCTGTGGGGATGGAAACCTGGCGGTTTTGTATGATGCGGCGACGGAATGTCAGGTATTGTGTAGGAAGATTTGGTGCACACCTAGAGTCAAAACTTCAGAGACATGGCGGACGGGAGAGGTATGCTCGAGAGAATTGGGATGAGACGAAGGGGAGCCGGGAGCGAGCCTTCAAACCTAGAGGTTGGTGGCTCTCTGGGGTGTGGCAGCACGGAGGGGGGTCTGAACCACACCGGAGAGAAAGCGAAAAGAGACGCAGTACAGAGTAGGGGTGCAGTCGCTGTCGGATCGAGACTTTGTTTGGTCTCTTTCACATGCCGGAAGCTAGCGGCAAAGCACTAGCACCGCCCTTGTCTTCTTCTGCCCTTGTCCTTGGTCTCCTTGCCCTTCTTGTCCGAGGGGGGGCGTTCGATGCAGTGTAACGCTACCTTATCAGAGTGAAAGAAAAAAAACTGGAGAAGCCGAGAGGTGGACTACCTATCACAAGCTACATGGTCTCGAGGGGAGACTACACCCGTAGCCAGTAACTTGGCTGATGATGGAATGCGAGTAGATTTTGTGGTGACTGGCCCATCTTGGTGCGCTCGAGCTTTCGAGTTCCAGGAGAGTTTTTCTGCCCGCCATGTATGTGGGCTCCGGCAAGAAGAGAATTCGAACAACACCTACTTCGTTGTCGTAGAGCCTCTGGGCTCTCTTTCGTATTCCACAGGGGCATCGCTTTCCGAGCCTGGATAGTTCAGGTCGTCCAATATTGAACGCTGTTCGAATCAAATCCCGCTGGGACGGCGGATGAGGGGACAGAGTTTGCAGTTCCTGGACGGTGTCTTTTTTTCCATGTGAAGAGCGACGTGTTTCTGACTGACAGAAACGGCTGTGGAGAGGAGGAGGAGGAGGAAAACAGAGTTTGCTGGGTGAATCAGCGTCTTGACTTATGCGCCTCCGGATGTCGGAATCCTTTGCCTGCGAGCCAATGTCCAAGTAATGCGCCCTGGTTTTCATGGGAGAGTGACGAAAGACAGCAAACGTGCGTTCCGGACTTGGGATGGGCGGACATTGTGCGTGTCCACGAACAGGCATTATGTCGCTATCAGCGTCGCCAAACACGACATCGGTCGGTGATGATGAATGCAAGTCCGCCATGTGGTTGGTAGGCAGAAAGATAAGAGGTCCGTTTCGGTGAGATGAGTCCGCTTGTTGTCCGAAACCGACCGCCGCGTCTCCGCATCTCCAGACTCAAGGCGTGCCAGGGTCAGGGTCAGCGTTGTATAGAAGGTCTGGGGAAAGTGCAGGGGGGAGTACCGTAGGTATCCCGAACTGTAGACCCTGCAAGTCCAGAACACAAGGACGTTGCCAGTCAGAGCTCGACAGCGACGAGCAACGGGCAAGGAGGGGCAGAATGGCTCGAGAAATGTAGCTTTTGCGTGCCGTCGAGGTAACGTTAATTATGTGTGTAATGGTTTAGCGTTCTCTGGGCGGCCAGGCCGTCCTCAGATATGGTAAGCTTGCCTCCAGGCGTGCCGGGGTAGCAAATGTGTATGCAGCAGACCACAGTTGTACCACGGTTGGGTATGAGCCGCAAAGATTGGACCGATCTTGTCAACGGTAAGCCAACACAGCGAAGATCCCTAGCAAGGGCGAAACGCTCGGCATGGCGAACTTTGGGAGACGAGCCATGGCCATAACTGCCGTCTGCCGTACCGGGTTGGCCCTGGACGGGCGGGTAAGATGCTCTTGGTTTCCCCGCGATATCAACATCGAGCAAATGGTTTCTCCAGTCACAGCCCGGATAGCTGGATGAAAATCCCGGGGTGCATGTGGGATGTCTTGGTTGTGCAATCGGTCCATCTACCCCAGACCAGACCAGCACAACCATTGGCAGTTGTCTGGGGGGAGAAAGTGTCAGTGTACTCCGTAGGTAGTCGGTAGCATTCTTTGCGAGTTTCCCATGGCCCATGCTTCACTTGGGCGATTTTTAGGCAGCGCTATTGGTATAAAGGCAGACGCCACAGCAGAAACAGGCATGGCGATCGTCAGAAGCCAAAGCTCCCCGAACAAGCTTGTGACGGCCAACGAGCGCAGACCGCGAAGGGGTCGAGGCACGGCGATGCAACCGGTAGAGTTCTCATTGTCCTAGGTGCAGACCTAGACGCAGCCCTAGACCCGATAGACTGACAAGCGGACGATGGGACTTGGAGGTCTCTCTGGCGATAGGAAGCCGTGGAGGTGTATTGGTTTTATGTGATTCGCCAGCTTGGGTTTGCCGGTGAGGATTCGACGGGCATGGAGGGTGTCGTCGTTGTACCTAGGGTGGCTGTGTCTGTGTTGTGCGTTTCTGCAGCTGGTGCATGCACTAAACGCCGAAGATACCGACCGACGTGGTGTTTGGCTGCGGCATGACATTCGAGAGAGAGACGACACAGAGACTGGGGCCTGTTTTCATGATAGGTAGGGCATCTTCGCAAGATGTCACGGTGGCAGTGACGCTCTTCTTCTGATTGAGGAAAAGTTTGGACGAGGCGATGAAGAGGATGAAGAGGATGATGATGAGGCGCCTTGGGATTTGGGAAGCTCGACGCAGCAAGGGTCTCGAGTGTCTCCTTCCTGCCTTACCAAGCTCCTTCCTTTCCATCCGCGCTCTTTCCGTGTCACACATGAAGGTACTTGCCAGTCCCGCCCCCTCCCGGTCCCTTCCTTTCCCTGGCCGTCCCCGTCCGTTTCCCGTCGTTCCTTCCAAAACTTCAAGTAATCCAATAGAAATGGAAATGGAAATGGAAGTCGCAGAGCCCATGTTCCATCGGGTCGCTCCTGCCCTTGACATCATTCCTCAATGGCCCCACTAATTGCCCGTTCCAGATCTGCCTACTCTCAGAGGCTCAGAGGCTCAGAGCTGCCCCGCGTTTCTGCTTGTCACTGCCACAGCATCATCGCGCCCTTTCATGTCGATAACATCGAGATGCTCCACTCCAAAAATATCACATCACCACACATCATCACATTTGCGCCAGTGTGGCAGCCTTTCTGCGGCCCTTTGCACTTGTTAGTCGACGGGTATCCATCTCCGGCACCTCAGTCAGCATTCTCTTTCACCACCGCCGTCTCCCTACCTACGCCCTGAACGTGCCTCGAGGTATTTGTCCACGCTTAGAGACCCCGTCGTATTCGCAACCCCTCCGCCGCCGTCCAAGACCGTCCCAGCGCACCGCGGTCCCTGCTTGCAACCGTCACCCAATCCCATAGTTCTAGCCGTCCCGTTTCCGCCCACTCGTTTGCCTCTGCAAGACGGCCAAAGATATTGGAAGGTTCCGGGGTGCAGTCAACGGTTGGAGATAGCGATAGTCAAACTATCTCCCTATCGTGTTTTACCTCTCCTCAGAGCCACAACCGTCTTCTCTGTTTGAGGCCAGGCGATCATCGTTTCTCCCGCTTCCCCCAGGTACGGACACAATACACAGCTCCAGACCAGGCCAAGCACCGACCATCCGCCAGTCAAACACCAGCATGTGTGGCCAACACGACGGTGAGGAGCTTACCCGCTCCACTGCCGTCACCTCTGTCTCGACTCCATCAGACCCCTTCCCCTGGGAATCTGGCATTTACGATGCTCATTGCCACCCCACGGACACCATGTCCACCATCGAGGCTATACCCAGTATGCGCGCCTCGACCCTAACTGTCATGGCCACCCGGAGCCAAGACCAGGCCCTCGTTGCTGAGGTTGCTGCGTCCCACGGCGTGCGATCAAAGTACGAGCTGTCTCAGGGCCATCTGATTCCCTCCTTTGGCTGGCATCCATGGTTCTCCTACCAGCTGTTCGATGACACCGTGCCCGAGGCTGAGAGGACGTACCACGAGGGCCAGCCCGACGCAAAGAAGCACCATTACCAGGCCGTGCTAGCCCCCGCCCCCGAAGACCCCGACTTTCTCGACGCCCTGCCCACCCCGCGTTCTTTGTCGGCCTATTTAGCCGATACCCGGGCCCGCCTCCAACATCATCCCCTGGCTCTAGTCGGTGAGGTTGGTCTCGACAAGGCCTTTCGCCTGCCCCAGGGACGGACGGACGCCGACGAGTCCTCTCGTGACCAGGCCCTTACTCCAGGTGGTCGCGAGGGGCGTCGTTTGGCGCCTCAACATGTCAAGATGCCCCACCAGGTTGCCGTGCTGAAAGCTCAGCTGGCTCTCGCCGGTGAGCTTGGCCGTCCTGTGAGTGTCCACGGCGTCCAAGCTCACGGTGTCCTCCATGATACCCTATCCTCGCTTTGGAAGGGTCATGAGAAGGAGGTTGTCAGCAAAAAGAAGCGTCGTCTCGTTGCCGAGGGAGCCGAAGACTTTGATTCCGGTGACGAGCTTGAAGAGGATGAGTTTGGCAGGAAGGACGTCCCGTCGAGACCCTACCCCCCGCGGATATGTCTCCATTCGTACTCTGGACCTGCTGAGATGCTGAAGCAGTATACTAACCCAGCCGTACCAGCGCGCATGTTCTTTTCCTTTTCTTCGGCCATCAACCTGGGCACCAAAGCTGGCGCCGATAAGATTGCTGAGGTTCTCCTGGCGTGTCCCGACAATAGCATCCTGGTCGAGAGTGATTTACACATTGCCGGCGAGGAGATGGATGCTAGACTAGAAGAGATGTACAGAAAGGTGTGCGAGATTAAAGCGTGGACGCTACAGGAGGGGGTGGATCGCATAGGAAAGAATTACCGGGAGTTCATCTTCGGTTGACGTGGGTACAAGACGTAGGAATACTACCAAGATGTAGGTTTCGTCTCCGCCATGGACTCTAAGAAACGTCCGTAATGTGCTTGTCATACACGTTGAACCAGGCAGAACGAACATCGCAGTCACAGCAACTTCTAAACTCACCCGCAGATTGCGCATCCTACGCATTTACATCCAATAACCTCCACGCGAAACCTCTCGTTTCCTTTCTCACTCTTTACCACAAGCGAATTTCAACGGCCATGGACTTTGGGATGGTGGCATGAATTTCGCTCAGTGGTTATTCTACTACTTTGCACCAGTGGTCCAATACTTGATGTGTTCGAATCAGATTATCATGATTAATCGCTTCATCTTTCGGCTGCGATATGTATAGCTAGCCACACATGCAAACATACCACGACACTGCTCCTGTTTAGCCTGCGGGCCAACAAACGCCGACCACCTAGATAATATATACATAGCAGACCAACACGAACAAAACGCGTAAGAGAAAAAAAAAAGATGTGATATAGATGCGGGATATCTCTACTAAATATCAATGTTGTTTATACTCAAAAAAAAAACCAACTCTCTTTTCACTACACTCCATGTACATCCCCTCTCCTTCTCTACATAGCAAAGGATAAGACTAATTTATCTGAGTCTAGTTCTTGGTCTCTCCCAGGACATCATCAATGTTGGACGCCGTATCCGACCCCGCGCTGGGGGTATAGTCACTGGAACCGGGGGTGTAGCTGCTGAACCCATCCGAGACGATCACGGAGGGCGCGGCGTGCTCGTCGTAGGCGGGGAGCACGTCGTCGCCCATGTACTCTGCGAAGGCGGTGGTCGGGCTGGGCGGGGTGATGATGGCGGGGCGCTGGAAGTGGGAGGGCACGATGTGGCGCTGGTGCTGGTGGTGGCACGGCATCTGTTGCTGCTGCTGCTGCTGCTGATCCTGCTCCCTCATCCTCTGCCTCCGCTCCTCAGCAGCAACCATCTCCGACACGAGGGTAGCAGCGTTCCGGAACTCGGTAATCTCATCCGTCATGCTCTCCATCGTCTCGAAATCCCTCTCAGACTCGGAAATGGAGGGACGGCTGTCCATGAACGCCTGCTTCTCCTCGTCTTCTCCGGGGTTGCCGGCGGTGGTGAACATGCGGGACCAGAAGTCTGTGAGGGTGGCCTTGAAGGCTTCCTTGCGGGCTTCGCGGTAGTCGCGGCGGAGGGCGCGGCGGGAGTTCTTGCGCTCGCGGCGCTCTGCGCGGGATTCGCTGTGGCGGGAGGATCTAGAGGAGGAGCGGGAGAGGATGCCGGCGCGGAGGAGGGCTAGGATTCCGATGAAGAGGAGGACCGCGACGGAGATCTTGGCGGGGAGGGGGAGATGAGGGGGCCCGTGGGGAGGTCCATGGGGGCCTCCGTGTGGGCCGCCGTGAGGGCCTGGGGGAGGAGGGAAACCCGGGGGCTTTTGGGAGTGTTAGTCTTGGCTGGTCTTGTGAAGAGGGGAGAAAGGGGCTAGACTTACGCCGTGGTGGCCGTGAGGGCCGCGGTGGTCGCCTTCGTGGTCAAGGGGGTGTTCATGCTCAAAGTCGGGAGGGGGCCCCGGGGGCGGAGGGCCGGGGGGACCGGGAGGACCGCCATTGTGAGGGCCATCGAAGGGAGGGGGAGGAGGACCGTGGTGGCCGTGGGAGCCGGGCCCATCATGAGGAGGCGGGGGAGGAGGAGGAGGAGGACCACCGTGGTGTCCGTGAGGTCCGTCAAAGGGAGGAGGGGGAGGAGGCGGCGGCGGGCCGTGGTGGTCGTGAGGAGGTCCATGAGGAGGCTCGTCGAACGGCGGGGGAGGAGGGCCGTGGTGAGGTCCTCTCGGGGGCGGCTCAGGGGCATCCTCGGGGGGTCCATCGGGAGGTCCATCGGGAGGGGGCGGCAGGCAGTGGCAGAAGCCCGGAGGAGGGTGGCCAGGTGGCGGGGGCTCGGTATGGTTGCCCTTGGTGTGGTTGCCGCCGTGCCCGGGGAAGGGGAAGCCTGGGCACGAAGGGGGAGGACCGTGGGGACGACGGCCGTGGTGATGGCCTTCTCTTCTGCCTCCCGGGTGACGGCCCTTGCCGTGGAAGCCGGGGCCACCACCGCCGCGAACGCGGTGCATAAGGGTGTCGATTACGCACTTCAAGGAGTCGCAGGAGCGGAAGCCGCGGTGGCTGGGAGGGAAGATGCCGTGGTCTTGGGCGAGGCGGGATTCCTTCTCGTGGATGGCGTGCTTCAAGGCGTGGAGCTGGTGGCGCATACACTCGAGGTCGTCGAGCTCTGCCAGGACCTTTTCGTCGAGCTCAGGGTGCTCCTCGGGGTGGTGAGGGCGGCGATGGTCGTCGTCGTGGCCGGGGCGGTGGTGAGGAGGACGCTGTCCCTGCTCGCCGGGATGGTTGTCCGGGTGGTTGCCAACATGGTGGTGAGGAGGCGGGGGGAAAGGAGGATCCTCGAGGAGTCCATCCTCGTCGTCACCCGGGCGGGGAGGGTGTCCCTCAAACTCGGGGAGCGTCTGGGAGGGCGGAGGCGGGTGGACGTCGGAAGTGCGAACATTGCCGGCGACCTCGATGATGGCTGCGGGCGCGGTCTGGCGGAAGCGGGCGACGAAGGCGAGGTCGGAGGCGAGGGTGCGGCCGGAGAGGGACTCGAGGGTGAAGCGGAGGAGCTGCTCGTCGCCGGCGCAGGTTGCGGACCAGGAGGCGATGAAGGTTGAGCCGTCATGGTCGCCGGCAAAGGTGCCACGGCCGAGGGTGTGGCCACCCTGGGAGAGAGCATTGTCGTTTATCTTGATGTTAGGGTAGGCGCATGGGGAAGGTGCCTCGAGGACTTCCAAGTGGAGGGTCTGCGTTATGTTAGGTTTGAGATGCTTTGGATGATCAGGGGATGAACTTACGTAGGGCTTGGTCTGGTCCTCGTTGAAGCCCGGTGGGATGTCAAAGGTGACAAAGGTTGATGGGGAGGCATCTGAAGGATATTAGTCATGATGAAATGACGATGAGACTGCGGGATGGGAGATGAGGGGAGAAAACATACCGGCGGCCTTTTCCATACCAATCTTGGAGGGAGCAGCGCCGACGAGGGCCGGCGCGAGCAGGAGAGCCTGCGCCAAGCCACGCATGATGGGCGGTTTGGAGGATGTTTGGTTGTTGGATGGGATTTGAGGTTTACCCTCGTTGAGACTCAACGGTCGTCAACCCCTTGCTCGTCCAAGTAGGTTACAAACCCCCAATTGTTCGTATTTGAGAAATCCCTCTGCCTGGACTGAATGGATCCTTGTCGCCAATCGTCCTCTTGTTGTTGTGATGAGTTGAGTTGAGTTAGGTTAGGTCGGGTTGACGAGGAGTGAAGGGTAAAGGAATGACGGAGAGTGAACGGCAGGGTAAGGTGATAAATGGCTGCCTGGGTAGGTGTACGTAGTAGATATGTAAGTCGTCGAGTCGTGTATTGGCTGATGGTGTGCGTTGGTTCGGTGTGCCAACTTATTTGCTGCTAGTCCAGTCGTCTTACACCGTCGATGATGTCTCACACTCACACTCTCTCACACACTCATACACTTACACACCCGCCCCTTGGTGGAAACGAAACAAGTGTATGAAAAAAGAACGAGTGGAAGGTATTCACACTTTCCACTAAGAATGAAAAGTGATGAACTGAGATGGGCGAGGAAGGAATGAGAAAAGAGAGAGAGTGAAACTTGAAGGATGGCAAAAGATGGAAACAAACGCACCCAGGGAAGGAGAGAGGCAGTGTCGAGGGACGCGCAGTCCCTTCCTTCCCCCAAGGTACACTGACACTCACAGCAAAGGAGGCAAGTGGGCACCATTCAGGGACATTCGCACTTGCCAACCTGCGCTGCGTAGATTGGGGCTGCGTGAGCTGCGCAATCCTCTCGGCGCCGCTGGACCGGTGGTGGCCAATCAGCGTCGATGAGCTGACGAGTCCCTCGATTTTCCTCCGGTACGTACTCGCTACTTGGCTCGTGCACTCCGAACTGCCAGTCCCGCGCCGGGATCCACTCTCTCATACAACCAATGGGAAACTGCGCATGTTAGCTAAGCATCGGACTGGTGGGGTTGATGCGATGGCCCTGGGAATTATTTCTCCTCCTGTTTCTTGTCGACCGAAGACAACACTAGTACCAAGTGGTATATGATGTTGCCGCCCTGCTGACTACCTTACAGATACGCTGCAGCTAGACACCTAGACTGTCAGAATGTGCAGAGACTGCTGCAGTAGGTATCCCGTTTGCCGAGCGACTGGCGACTGTTGTTGGTCCCTGGTGTTCTCACTGCTGGGCAAACCGCAGAGTCGGGTGGATCCCGAACCACGGGCTAAGCACCGGAACGTGGGGGGCGGCGCTAGTCTTCCGAGGCGACGGGGTCTCCACCGTCGAGGCGATGAAGTGATGAACCCATGGGAATCCGGCACTGCTGCACCTCTGCTGGACGCGCATTTTTGCTCCCGACTTCCTGGACGGCCACGCCGCTTCTGGTCCTTTGCCTTGGGTTTGTTTGATTATTTTCGGCCCCTCGGTTCCACGACCGGGTGGAGCTATTTGCATCCATGCCACCCAGAATGAACGGAAATGGGTGGCCATGCGCATACAGCCGACCCATTTTGGCATGTCACAGACTCTCAGTCCTCGTTGCCGCCGTGGGCGCGCGGGTCTTGCTCGACTAATAGCCAAATCGATGGCCACGAGGCCACCCACCTTTAAACGACGACGGCGTGGAACATGTGGTACGATGAGAAGGTTCGGGGGGGCCAAAGACGAGACCAGACCCAATGCAGAGAGAAGGGGGAGAAAAAGGACCTGATGAAGAAGAAAGAAGGCTCGTTCGCCTATGATTAAGCAATACACTAAGGTAGTCTCTTTCCATCGTAAACATACAAGCATGTCCCGTGAGAACGCCTGAATGTGGGAATACCCGTCCGTACCTTGTAAAGTCAAGAACACAGACAGACGGACAAACGCCCCCTTTCCTCCCTTCTCCCCGGCTGGCCCCTTCTCGCCCCGCCGTAGACTGCCAAAGCCCAAATGGTTTAACCTACGGAAACAGTACCGGCAAGAGAGGTGGATATGCGAGACGAACCAACAAACAGAAAACAAAACATACATGGACAAAGACCATGCAACTCCTCGAGGCTCAAGCTTTGCATCACTGACCACCCAATAAACAAACATTGCAGTTGAGACTCCCACCCCTCCACGCGTCAACTACTACGCAATAAGAGTTGCATGTATGTAACATGGCTCTCAGACTCTCTTGCCCCACCAGGGAAACAAGTGATCTGCGAAACAATCGCGACTCTACAATTCTGCCCCCTGGATTGACAGATAGAACAAACCCCGCCGCAATCCAGAGAGCATGAACAAGCAATAATATCGGTAACGACGTCTTACAAGGGTGGCAAGAGGTCCTTCAACACTTGCACACGGGCCCGCGCGACATCGGACCCCTGCTCGCCTTCGCCCATCAACACCATGATCTTGATCATTTTTGCTGCATCGTGTTTGTTAGCACACACCGGACGTGAAGCCTAAAAGTGAGAGAATAGAAAAGTACAGAATTATAGTAGAAAAGAGAGAAAAAGAGAGAATGAGGGGGTCGAATAACTCACCAATATCACTCCTAGCCCTCTGGAACAGCGGATCCCGATCCGCCTCCTCCGCCGCAACAGGGTCCTTGCCCATCTCCCGCAGCACGCTCCCAATACAGAGCGCCTCGAGGAACGCGCGGTGGTTGAAAACCCACCACACCCTTGCCTCGAGCTCAAAGATGTCAAACAGCAAGAAGAACGACGTGATCGCCTCGTGCGCCGCCTCGAGCGTGCCCCTTGTATTGGAAGGACACTCTGCGCTCTCGGACGCGTACACGAGCATAATGTTGTGGTGATAATTACTCGTCAAAAACAGCGTCTGCCTCACGACGCGCTTATTCGTCCGCGCGAGGCTCGCGAGGCTCTCTGCGTCCCACGACCGGAAAACGTCGGGAAACGAACGGTACACGCAGCGGAAGTCGGCGATGAGTTTTGACTTGTGGCGGACGGTGGCGCAGATGGGCAGATCTAGGGAGCGCGGGGAGCAGATTGTTTCTTGGACGAGGTTGGCGAGGGTCCAGGAGCCGCGGATGTAGGCGATGTCTGTCGGGTCCGAGGAGGCGATGGCGGAGCCGTCGTCGACGAGGTCTTCGACGGAGACGTCGGTGTGGGTTGCGGACGGGGGGAGGGAGAGGAGGACTGTGAGGAAGGTGTCTTGGAGGAGGACGGCTTGCCAGAGTTTGCGGCGTTGTTGCTTTTCAAAGATGGGGGCGTCGGGGGTTACTGTTTTTGATGTTAGTTGACGATGCTTTTCAGTAGATGATGTAGATATCATACCAATATTGGGGTCGCGGTGTAGACCCATGGCGTAGGCTTGGCGGATGAGGATGCCGGCAAACGCCCACCCATCCGAGGCGTGGTTGTCGTTGATCAGGAAATACGTCAACCTGGTCTGGTCAGTATCAACGGTCTCAAGGCTGCTGAATACAGACTTCGCCTGAAAAAGGGGTCACTTACAGCACCATGGACTGTATGGAGCGCAAAGAAGCAGCACTCAGATAAGAAAACATGCGCAGCGCCTGATTACTCGCCGAGGCATAAAACTCCGCCGTCTGCTTCGCATCGTTCGGCGAACTCGACGTCACAAACTGCGTGCCCAGCGCCAGCATCACAAAGATGAGCCCCACAAACGCCGCATCGACGCGGTTCTTCTCCTCGGCGCTGAGGCTCCAAAAGTGCTCATAGTCGGCGTAGAAGGTCTGCCGGTGGATCATGGGGTAGACAGGGTCGACGCACTCAAAGTACTGCGCGAGCAAAATGTCGGCCTGAACTTTTTCGGGCAGGACGGAGATGACCTCGGGCAGGCCGCCCTCGCAGGTCCAGTAGTTGGCAAAAGGGTGCTCGGAGCCGATGCCAAAGACGTTGCTGGCCGTGGGGAGGGAGTAGGGCACGTTGGAGAGGAGGCCCGTGGAGGAGGAGAAGGCGACGGAGCCGACGGAGCCGCGGGAGGTGAAGCCGCGGCCTTCGATGAGGCCTCTGTCCGCTACGTTTGGGATTGTGGATATGTCGCCTGGTCCTTTTGGTTTCGGGGGTTTCGTCATGCGGCGGCCGTTGGCGAGGGATCTTGTTGTTTCTCTGCGCTTTTGTTAGTAATGTTTCGAGAGTCTCGACAACAGTCTCGAAAGTTGTGTGAGTGTACTTACTCCAGTATCGTGGCCACGGCTGCATATTGGCATTCCGTTTGACGTTTGATACATGCTAGGCAGTTGGGTCGGCCTCGGTCACACTGCGTGCGTGTTAGTATGAATGTCGGTATGACTTGGCGGGCTTTGATGACTTGCTGCTTTCACCTTGAGAGCAACGGCATAATTCGAAGAGCCCTACATCGTATGCATGCCATGTACCAAGCCTGAGAACATCGAATATCGTATTTCCGCGTCATGCGAGTAGCATCATGTGCCCAGAGATCAAAACCACCACTTGGGATATGACATTGAACTTGAGTCGCATTGGTACGCTCGAACCAACAGTGTAGTTCAGTGTGGGGGTAATAAGCACGCAACGATGAGAAATCAAATAAGATGAAAAAAAGGGAAGAACCCAGAGAAAGGCATGAAGCACAGATAGCAAAAGGATGGACAGAAATTAAATTGATATAACCAACCTTTGTCTTGCGCTCAACACACTCAAAGCACGACAACGTAGGCTTATTACGCTTCTGCTTCTTCCTCGCAGGGCCCTTGTCGCCGCCGTCATCGGGGCTAGCCGAGTTACCGTCGACGCTCTCATCCGGGTGCTGGTGATGAGTTCCGTTGCCGTTGCCGTTGCCGTAGCTTTTGGGCGTCGCCGTTTGCTGCCGCGCGACGGGCGTCGAGTATGACGGTCCCGATGCCGCTGATGCCGTCGGTGAGAGTGCTGCTACTGTCGCAGCGGCTCCTCCGTTTTGTGGGTGAGTGAGTGATGGTAGACGCCCGTGTTCTGGTACTGGCGATGCGTAGGCTGTTGAGGCCGAGCTCGGCGTGAAGGGTTGCGGCTGGGGATGTGGGAGATGGTTTTTAGGCGCCATGATTGTGGCGCGCGTCTCAATTGAATGAGTCCAATGAGTAGAGAAACGATTGAGTTACGCGGTTAGATGAGCGGCCAACGCCAAGACCAATTTGATGCCGATTGTCAATGGCGGCGCGAAGATGAGTGAAGGGGAATCAAGTTGAGCTTGACTGGTCCCGTTTCCGCCGTCTGGGCACGCCCACAGCGATGCTTCACGGGAAGAAGCTCAATTGAGCCGGCGGTTGACTGTCCGGGCGGAGCGTAGCAAGAGAGTTTACGGGATAATTAGACACTGTGACCGATTCGAACAATCAGATTGCCCGGACGTCGCAACCGGCCGGGTTGGTTGGCAACTTCCAATGCGGTGCCTCCGTTTCCGCCGGGAATAAAGGCCAAGATTTTCAAGAAGCGGAGGACGGACGTAGAGTGGGTGAGCAGCGCGGCACGGCGACGGCGGCGGGCTTTGCGCAAAGTTTCCCGGGGAAAGTATAGTAGTTTGATCCGTGTCGGTATCGGTGTCGCCGGTGCTCAAAAAGCCGGAGGGATGTGTGTGTGTTTGCGCGGTGTTGCGCTGGGAATAAACAGGTGATAGAGGCAGTGTGAAATGCGGTGCGGCGGCGGCGTCACACACACAACGAAGGGGGGAGATTGCGATGGGAATAAGGAGGGAAACAAAAGGGAAAGGGAGAGAACGTGCGGAACGCGGCGGGAATTGGGGATGGGGGGGGAAACTCTCTGGGACCCTCAGCCTGGCCGGGACTGGGGGACTTGGCCGGGAGCGACACGGCGGAACGTCTCGCTCTCTTTCTCTCTGTCTCTCTCTCTCTTTCTCTCTCCAACAAATGAACAAGGGCACTCGAAGAAAAGAGGGGAAACGCCGTTCACTAGGTATCCGACGAGCTAATCCAGGTCATGAGATTGAGCAACCAAAGTTCCAACAGAATCAACAACTTCATCAACGTAAAGCCTGCCTAGCAATGTTGAACCAGTTCCGTTACCTGGCACCGGTTCTCAGATTCCATGATCCAACACGATGGATGACCAAGCATTCACTCACGGAGGGAAATCCGCGATCGAAGGGGCAAAGAACGAGTACGCGCAGCATCAACGCGCCCGCCAGCCCCTTGATCATTGCAACGGGCAATGCAACCCCCAGCCGTCCCATCTTCCAGGTTACCCTTTGCCTCTCTATCATCCGCCTACCATCGGATCTGATAAAAACGTTGAGCGGGAAGACACCGAGGTGAGGATCCGGATCCGCATACTCACATACCTACCTCACATGAGTACTCCATGGTTCACGACCATACAGCAAGACCTGTGTACGAATACAGCAAACCCTCCTCTTGGAAGCCCATCCATCCATCCAATAATTAGGCCAAGTCCCCGAAACCAACTGCCGGCCGGTCAACGGCGCAAGGCTTGCTCTTGCTTTGCCTGCTTTGATGATTCAATGATGGCTGGGGTTCCTTTTGATCCAGTCAAGCAACTCAACCACTCAATCCCTCCCACACCCACCTCATGGGCTCCCCCATGACATGCTACAGCGGTGGGCACATCAGCACTAAACCACGCCGGGGGGACAAAAAGGCTTGTCTTGTCTCGGGCCCCAGAAACCCAGGTCAGAATCGCCGGGAAAGCCTCCCCGAGTGCCACCATTCCACCCTTCCACCATGCAAACAGTCCCAGAACCTGGATCACTCGAACGAACCCTTGACATTTCTGAAATATCCTGTATATCCGTAGATCCGTTGTTGAAAGCAGGCTCAAGAATATTGTTCTCCAAGAATTGAAACCCTCTTCACCTGCTTCTTCGTGTGTGGGAGTGAGAGGAAGAGAGAACTGGCCAGACACAGGCACTGCGTACACTAGATGCAGACACCATTCGCGGCATGGGATAAGCTCATCGTTCTTTCTTCAGAACGTGTGACTTTACCTGTCCTGCTAGAACACCATAATGTCTTATCCAACACGCCAATATGATTGACCGAATGGATCAAAAGGTGAACGAGAACAAAATGCAGCATCCAATAGACCCATCCTCATGCGTCTTCTCTCTCGCAACTGCACGGGTTCACTGCTTCTTTTGCCTGCCGCGAGCTCCCCTGCTGCCAGTGGAGATTTTCCCTCTCTCCCCCATCTGCATCTGCGCCCTCGCACTTCTACCCGAACATCGACGTCACCAATGCAACCAAGAAAGCGCCCCCAACTGTCTACCAGAAACCCTTTTCAACATCGACCTCGTCTCGAGGGGCAAAGCTTCCCTATGAGACCCCTTCTTCTCAGCCTTGTCTGCGTCCCAGGCTCACAAACTGACGGGCAAAAGACCACACTGAGGCTTCAGACGACATCCACCTCGGCTCTCCTGCGAATTGCGCCATGACCCCAGAGAACCGCCGATATCGCCTGCCGGCTTTTCGGGTACGCGACCCCCCTGCAAACCAGACAGCCCACAGAGGAGCGGGCACACACTTTCAGGCGCGCTCCTATCCCGCGCGCTGTATGAGCCTGCGGTCAGCCAAAAATGGTATCCCATCACAACCCGCGTCGATGGTTTAGTGGTAAAATTCTCCGTTGCCATCCAGCAGCGTCGGGGAGCCGGGGGTTCGATTCCCCCTCGACGCATTTCTTTTGCGATTTTCACAGTTTTGACCTTATATGGCCACTCTGTTTCCTCTTTTGCCTCCTTCTTTGCATTTTCGGCATTGGGGTTGTCGAACTGGGTGAGTGGTGGGCGTATCGTCACCTTACGTATGTGATGATTACAGAGGCCCCTATGTATGCTTCACTCATATACTCATATCCTTTAATATACGTCATGAGTTTGCAGAGATGGCATCACTACCAACTAATGTCAATTAATTCTGACCGTGAAGAAACATTTAACATTCCTCATTTTCTAACGTTGGTCCGAACCGTACATCTTCTGTAGGTTGAGCTTGAGATGTCGCAGTGCAACTGAGCCTCACAAAGGTCACAAGCATCATCCAAGAGGAGGCAGATTTTCTTTCTACTCAACTCCTCCTTCATCAAGTCTCTATCCGTTCCCCAAGGCCTGGGAGAAACCTCGAGCGAGGCCTGTCTGGTACATTGTTTATACCCGATCCACTGGTTTCCACCAAAACACCAAAGAATAAATCAATACAGCAAAGCCAGAGAACTCCAATAATCAACTCAAGGTATAGAACAACTGAAGCCGCAGGACACCTTTTCAGAACAAAACTTGTAACAAATGGTGGGTTTCCTTTCCCCTGCCCTTGGCCTTTCCCTTCACTCCAGTCCCTTAAGAAACTTAAACACCTTTTCCCAGCACACCCATTCGTCCGTCTGTCGTCCCACATTACTTTTGACATCCCAAAGGCCGTATTCTCATCTACCATAAACCCTTCCGCCATGTTCCCATACTCCCCAAATGCCAAATGCGCAATGACGCGCTGGCGAAGATCCAACCGAAACTCAGAGCGCAAGCCCCGTACCATCGCCGGTCCACCGGTACAAAGCAAGCAGCTCCCGGCGACGCTGGTGCTGCTCGTGGAGATCCTCCGGCACCCGACCCCTGACCTGCGCCAGAGCACTCCGCATAACCTTGCTAAAGTTGCGCTACGATGGGAAAATATAGTTAGCATCCAAGTCTCTTGGGCAGAGAGAAGACGTGGGGGAGAGAGAGAAAGAAGCTCACCTGGTACTCTGTATTCAACGTCACAACGCAGGCCTCATGCGCGCGGACAATCGTCTCACACGCCTTGACAACACTAGGCGACGCCTCAAGCTGCAACTTATCCGCGATGAGAAGCAGCAAAAACGACCCCTGGAGCAAGTAGATACCGAAGAAGAACGGCATGAACTCCAAGCCCGGGTCGAACTCGAGAATGTGGCTGATAGCCTCGGCCGCCGAGACAGCGTGGCCGGTCGCCGTGATGAACCCCTGCGACGAAATCCAGAGGTCGTTGTCGTCGATGAGGTTGATGGGGTCCCATTTGCCCGCGAGCAGAATGTGCAACACATGCATCACGTGCGTACCGTACGCCATGACGATCTTGGTCTGGATGTCGCTCTCCGTCATGCGGTTGAGGGATGAAGAGGCGGTTGTGTGGACGGAGTGGACGGAGGGTGTGCCAATGTCGGCAATCGGACCGTGGTCTACACTGCCGCTCTCCGGGTTAACTACTACGTCGCCGTTATCATCGAGGTTAATGTTGTTAACCCGCGTGAGGTGAAGCTGCTCGAAGCGCCCGAGGCTCTTCTCATAAGCCTCGAGATGACGCGTGATCTCGCTCGCTTGATCATCCCACTCGCGAGCCGAACGGAATCCCACACCGAACCGCGGGTGGTTTCTGGCGTGATGGAGGTCTACGATCTCGCCCAGAATCGTCATCAGCGGGAGGAAGTAACCGAATATGCTGTGCCCAGTACACTCAAAGTGCGGACCGCGCACACGGCCGCTTGATACGCCGCCGGCACCGGTTGAGGCGTCTGCTCCAAGGCTAGGGTCTGTCGTGGTGTGCGCGGGTCGGAACTCGCCATTCTGCCACGCCGTGTCGTCCATTGGCTGCAGCAGACCGGCACACTCAAGGTCGAGGAGGAATAGGGGCCTGTTATAGCATAGCGCTAGATGGCGGTCGACGATGTACGTGAGCCACCATATCCTTCGGCGCTCCTCTCGTTCTTCCTCCGTGATGACGCCCGGGTGCCCGCTGCCTGCTATATCATCTTCGATCTCGCCCTCTACGCCGTCCCCGTCGTGCCCGTTGCTTTGGTTCATGGAAAGAGGGGTCGGCGGCAGTTCACGGCCGAGCTTCAGCTCTCTGGCCAAGGACCAGGCCGCGTTCCACCACCGCAGGCTCGCGCCCTTGTACTCGCTCGCGGAGACTACTGTCGCGAGGTGGATGTAGGTAATCACGTCGTCGAGGGTGCCGGCGGCTCCGAATGGGCCAGATTCCCCCGTCAGTGCGTCCATGCTGATGGATCCGGGAAGCGCAACGCCGAGCCCGCCAAGTGCTACGCCATCGATGGCGGGGCTAGTCACTGGCGATGTGTCTCCTGAAGGTGTATGAATGAGCGGCTTAAGCAGGCTGACGGTCAGCTCCAGCAGCCTCTGACAGATCTTGCCCCGTGCTGAGGGGACGCTGGTCAGGAAGGGTGCATCGCTTGTCTGGGCCGCCACCCAGAGTATGCTGGCTAACAGAGCCGGCTGGCAGCGCCTCGGTTTGCTGGGGTGGAGGAAAGACCTCTTGCGGAAGACGAAGCCCAAGACGTATGGCGACATTGGGTGCATTTGTGCCGAGGACGAGGATGCGAAGTAGAGGTCGATCAAGTCGCATGCCAGAGCCGCCGGGATGAGGTTTCCAAGATGGGGCATCAGAGGATGCAGGACCGGGTATCGTAGTTGTTGTTGACCGTGGTGGCCGTAGCTGCTTGGAGGCATGTGAGACTGATATTGCGCCGCCGGCGGAGAGGACATGGATATCCACCCTGGAGACGTCGGCTCACCACCGAGAGGGTATACGCTGATCGGGCTGGCTGCGATCCGGAATGGCGCGCCATTGGTATATGCCGTTGGGCTCTGGGTCTGCATGGGATACGGTATGTCGGGATATGCTGATATGCCGCCCTGATTTGGACCGTACGCTGCGTTGGCCGGTCCTGGCATTATGTGTGCGCCCAGGCCTTGCCTATCGTATCCTCCGTGGACGCCCCCGTAGCCGTTGAGATCCATGGTTGTTGGGCTTCCGAGTTGATCTCTGTCCATCCCATGATGCGCTGCCAGGTGGGCTTGGTGGCTGACCATGTCTCCTATGCTATCTAGCGAGCCATTTCTTTGGCTTTGATGCATGGCGTCCTCGCTGAGCTCATCCATGGCCTTGCCGATGTGGCCGTGTTGAGAAGTCGTCGTGGCTAGTGATGGTGCTGCCTTGGCGTTGTTGGACTCGGATTGCTCCGAAGGCTGCCCATTGTCGTCGGAAGGCGATTTTGGGCCTTGTTCTGTGCCTGTCGTCCCTGCTTGTGCGGCAGCTTGCGCGGCAAGGTCTTTTCGTGACGCTTTGCCTCTCTTCTTCCTCTCGCGGATGTACTCACAGCCCAATCCGAATTCTGAAAAACATGTCAGTCAGTCTACTCCAGCCCAACTCCCCCGCGCCACGCCGATCATCTATTCAACTGATTCTTTCTTACCTACGCAGTGGGCACAGGGATGCTGCCCATCGCACTTTGTACGCAGCTGGTTGCACTGATCACAGGCCCGACTGATTCTTCTACGAACGGGACCGGATGTGCTAGAAGAACGACCCGCGGGTCCACCGCTGTATGGGTGTTGACGGTGTTTTGTCGACTGAGGGCCTGCTCGCACGAGGTGCGGGCTGTGGACTCCCCCAACTTGCTGCTGGATCTGTTGCAGCGCATAGTGTGAGCTCGGCGCGAGGGGGTCAAGACCATTCGGGTGGGCATGGCCGTTTGGAACATGGTGGGCGTTGGAGAAGAGGGTGCTGGACTGCATGCCATGGTATGGCGAAAAGCGGTGGAGCGGGTTGGACAGCATCTTGTCTTCTTCGTGCTGGGACCAAGCCCGCTGTTGGCGATGTAGTGGCTGAATGGTGAAAGTGTTACTCGAACAACGAGCAACTATCTGCCTTGTCTCATGCAGATAGGGACGAGAATACGATTGCGAGGTGGGCGACTGGAAGGATTCGAAATCGTCGGATGAGTTATGTCAACCAGCTTCGGCGATGTTGCCCCCTCAGACTGGGGCAAGCAATAGATGATATGCGAGCTTTCAATAACACAAGGTGACTTCTGCTTCAGTCAGCGGTGTTGTTGGCCATTTGAGACAGTTGGGGGCGTAAAAGGGGGCGGGATGGAGAAGTAGGATGGGCATGGGGTATAGTAATATGAGCTAAACTGAGAACAAGTGGTGGGCGTAAGATCTGCAACGTCGTTGGAGAACGGCGCAGCAAAGAGCAACGACAATCATGGCGGGGTTGATGTACAGACGGCTTGGGTGACAGGGTAAGGAAGACGGGACAAGCGACAGGGTGCTTGAAGGAGTGCGGCGCAGAAGATGATTGAGCGAAGGAGAGCTTTCTGTGAAAGTGGAATATTGGAACCGAGACCCAAGTTAACTCACCCCTTGGATATCAACCCGTGAAATTTATGAATGTCGGTCGTTGCCGTAATGGGAGGAGTTCCAAATAATTCAGTCGTATGGTTGCGTTCCGTGTCTCGAGTTTTGTGCTGCGGCGCGAAGATTATCTTGAACAATTGGTTGGTATATCCAAATGCGAGGTGGTAATATCAAGGCAATTCGGAAGCTCAAAAACAGTGGTTATTCCGAATCTGTATCGCCGCGTTGTATTCGATGTTGATTTTCGTTTCGGTGGTCTGGCTCGGAGCTCTCCTCCCTTCAAGTTCTCGATGTCCACTTTGGCTCTCTCCGACGGATGGCCTGCGCTCGAAGCTTGGCAAGTATGTAGAGATGGCTTGATAGAATGTGAATGCTGTTCAAGCTGTTGAGTTACTGCTCAGTTTAGCTGGTCCGCTTGCTGTATGATAACGTGGACCATCGCATTTACATTGGTAGGATACTGTGAACGGCGGGATAAAGGGGCGAAAGGTGTGGAGGAGGACGGCTGGTGACAGACAGGGCGGCGGCCGCAGAAGCAGCGAGAGGATGGATGTATGTACGAGACACGCGCGAATGATTCAAGAAGAAAATTAAAACTGAGAATAGGATGCTCAGCGGCAGCGCATGCGCATGTACAGACAGACGTACAGACGTACCAACGGCGCGTCAGGTAAGGTTCTCGAAGGGGGGGAAGAAGCGAAATGGTGACTTTGTGGTTCCTCGGGCTTAGCTATATTATATGGGACGCTTGTACATAATAGCATGCGAGGACGGGGCAGGGTTACAATGAGGGGAACAGGGGTGATGGCTCGACGATGGGCGATGGTAAGGTGAGGAGCAACGAACGGCATCGAGAGGAAAACTGGCGACGGGCGGCCATTTACGGGTGTGGATGTGGAGAATCAATGAGCATCTTTGGGTGAGGAACAGGGCCACATGCCCCAAAGATGCTGCGCCGGTCTAGAACGACGGGCTCATCCCATCCATGGTCCATCCTCCTTCTCCCTAGGATGGATCATCTCGTCCTGGTTTGGAGCGACGGGGTTGTATGAGAGAGAGTGTGTGGCTCAGCATTGGGTTCGGTTGGTTGATCAACAATAGCAGAAGAAGGTGAAGTTTAAAGCCAGCCCGGTGAGTGTGATGATCGCGTTTTCGGTCCATTCTTCTGGAAGGATCAAGGCATGACATGGCGGTGACAAGACGGCATGGACTGTCATCAAACCTTTTCCTCCCCACCGGGACAGGATCCCCACTGCTTCCATGGTCTTGCTCGGCTTTGTTTTTGGCCTGCCTCGGGACAAATACCTAGTCACAACATGGCAGTCAGTGTTGCTTGGGTTAGGACGTCGGCCGAAGATAGCGTGGTGTGGTAGCTGTACTCCGTACGAAGTAGCGAAGAGGGCGGGGGTGTTTGCGCGGCACATTTTGGGCCCTGGGGGTAAACGAGGAGGTGGGAGAAAGAAGATGGGGAATCGTCTCTTGAAAGCCTGAGTCTCGCTCGCTTTCTCCAGTCTTCAGGCTCGTCTCCAGACCTCCACCGGCGCGGCCCCAAAGCGGGTTGGGAGCAACAAGCTTGGGTCGCTGGACTGTGCCACCCCGGCCAATAATGCCATTCGGCTTGGCGGAAGGCTTTCTTTGCTCGTTCAGGTTCTCGTTCGGTCTGAGTGCAGTCGAGTAGCAGACGCACCGCCGTTGTTGGAATCTCATACCTCTTCCGTCCGCTGCCCGGTCTCGTTGGTCCGGTACAGCGACGGCCACGCAGCCTCTCTCTAGCGTGACTTGTAGGGCTTTGGCTTTCCCGCCGACCGTCAGTCTTAGCGGCTTGCTTTCTCATCCCTATGTATAGCCAAGTGCCGATATATGTACTGAATTGTGTGGCGTTGTTCGCTGCTACGATGGAAACGGCAGACGTGAAAAAGGTCCGGCCATTTCGGAGCTACTCGTCGGTCGTCTAGCTTTGAGGCGCTATATGTGCCTTCCGTTATGCTTTCTATAGACGTGGTGACGGAGTCGAGCTTCCTTTCCAACATCTGAACCAAGCGTAGATGGACTTTTGCTACTTTTTGCTGGTCGTATCATCCCAAATGGCGACACTGGAAAGTGCCCAGCCTCGAGCGGCAAGTCATACAGTGGACATGCCCTTGTGTGGTGGAAGGGTCAACTGATGGCATTGTCATGCTCACTATCCTGATCCAAGCTTGCGATGGGATCAAGACGAAATCCTTCGCTCGAAAGAGCGCGCGCAGGCCAAGGGGACGACGTCCCTGTCGAAAGCCCCGGATTCTCGTTGGATACTTTGATGGAAATTGCCCAAACGGGAGCCAAGGACATGGGGGGAAAGACCTTTTTGGTTGGCGTCTACGGAGGAGAGAGAATCTTTTGCCGTGATGACAATGGCGCACAGATTAGAGCCAACACTAGGCGGAAGCGGACCTCTGGAAGGGTGGCGTTTACGGGTGGTTCTGCAGCCTCTCGCCGTTTCTTCTGTCCGGGACGACATCGCTATCCGTCATCTGTCGAGCCGCGCCACATATGCAACCTCTACTGCGTTCACTGTAGATGAGTTGTCTCGTTTCCCCAGTCTGCACTCTCCAGGTTTCTGATGCAGGTGCTCGGTGCTGGTGGGTTGTGCTGGAGCTGTCGGTACATGGCAGTACAAACCCCGTTCAGACGAAGGACGCATAGCAGGGGTCTGTGCGGTAGAAGAAGAGTTGGGAGAAGAAGAACCCGACGATGAGGTGTGCAAGGGACATGGGAGGAGGAGAGGATAGGATGAGGAGTATTCCGTCAAGATGGAGGAGTAGAGATGGAGGTTAGTGGGAGGAGAGGTACTTGGATGACACCGAGTCAATTTGAGTGCTCTCAGTCACGCGGAGGGCCCACTCCGAGAGCCTGCCCAATGTCTTCTTTCCTGCATTCAAGGTCAAGTTGTCGTTGTTGAATATGTCACTTTGTATTCGTAGTCTTCAGGATGATCCTTCAGAGCTCTTCAGATGAAGTCTACAGTCTGCATCTTAAGACTCAAAGATTGTATCAAGCTTCATTAAAGACGGAGATTGCCTTCTACCCCTTGATGCTCATGCTCTTCGGCGGCGCGTGTGTGTGAAGAACAACATGTGGCAGTCCTTCCCCTGACAGCAACTTTGGGCAAACTCTCTTATTAGCCCCCTCCCAAGTTCCGTCAAGTCTTCCTTCTAAGAAGAAGCTTCTTAGGCACGCGTCGACAAACTCTGGGGATTAGAAAGGAAGGTGCATCCCTTCGCTAGCTAGCATGTCCCCTCCAAGGTAAACTAGGACCATCTATACCGCTAACGCTGCCACAGCCACAACGTACCCTTAACAACCCCATCCCTCCGGCAAGATCATCAAACCCAACGCCACATTCATCACCAAGCTGTTGGTGGTTGTGGTCTCTTTGCATCAAGTCGATCGGCTTGCGTTGTTCGACCGTGGAGAGACAACGATACTCCCTACACTCTGGTTGTCTGCGCAAGTACGACACTCACCACTGCCTGTCAGAGCCTTCTCAATCCAAGGCTCGCAACGACAACGCCCCGTTTCCTCCATACGCACAATGTCGAGGAAAGTCCCGAACGAAGACGCTTGCAAACCTTCAGCTCCGGTCCCGCAGGTCGAGTGCCGGTAAACCCAAGGGCATCCCTACCAGTTCCTCCGGACCCAACGACAGCGGCAGCCCCATCGTCCCCAGTACAACAGAAGAACCCTTGGGGTTGCCAGAGTCAGCACCCTGTTGTCCGGTGATGGTGTTGACTTAATTTCAGTTAAGGCAGCTGTAAGGGGCATGCTGCGGCCTGCTCCAAGGGCTGCGCAATCGTGCCCAAACCCAAGAACGGGCTTTAGGTTTGCCCAAATCAGTTTCTATCCGTGGCGACGTCGACAGCGACTTGTCAGTCACAGCTGAGTAATGGGCAGAAGTTTTGCTTGTTCTCAGTGGATCAAGTCTATAGCAACAAGACTTCTTCTACCTCACAACGAACTGTGTCATGCACAAGCTGGACCAGCATTAGACTCATTGAAAACGGGCTCCCGCATACCGTCACGGTACCAAGAGGAACATTCAGCTTGGCTCTCCGTCATCCGTCTCAACTGGCTCGCGTCCGCTTCAGATGCCTTCTGCAGGCTGCCACACCAATCTCACCTCCTGTACAGAATAGATGCCCAGTGACACCCTCGCGCTTGAGATGAGTATGGAGAAACGGTCAATCTGATCCGGTCCACTAAAACGCCTCCCACCGCTTCTCCGCACATGCGGAGCAAAGGATGTTTCTTTCTCCTCACCTCCCACACCCCGTTGCAGTCATCCCGCCTCCTCCCCACACCACGCACACCACCTCTTGGGCTGTTACCACCACCACCACAACCAAAGATTCCATTCGGTCCTGCCCGAGAGATACGCCGGGTGCGGGACGGTGCCGAATCTCTAGCAAGACTGGTCTTCAAGGTGCCATCTTCACTGTATCTCATTCTCGAGCTTCCTCGGCCCTTTGAATGAGGCACACCTGCTCGTCTTGCCGACCCGAGTGCCTCGGGTTTCAAGTGCCTCGGAGCAGGTTGAGTGAGCGTCACTTTCGCAACCTCTTCCTCAAATGTGTTGAACCTTTGCTGGCCATTGGGTTTAGAAGGCCCGAGGAGAGCCTCAGGTCCGAACCCTGAGACTAGGTATGGGCATCCTCCTGGACTGGCACGAGTTGAAGAACTGTAGAAATTGGAGGAGCTAGCTGACGGCGACAGTGAGAGTGCGTGTGGGGCCTTTGGAGAACTTTTGATGGAGGGTCGGCCCTTGGTCCACCACAACCAGCCATGAACCCAGCACCTATGATGACGGCCGTTCTCTCACAGCCTCTCGAAGCTGGGGGACCTCCTTTCATCAAGCCGGCCTTGGAGTTACTACTACTAAAGTTACCGACAGGTGAAAAACCTCTCCATCCTGGTCGATGTGGTCGAAATCTCGGTCGCGCACAAAGCTAGGTGGCGGGATGCCATCCTGTGCCGTGTGTGTCTGGCCAACATCTCGCTACCAAACTTCGCGTTCGAGTTTTGCAAAGCTGCCCGGGCATTCCATGACTGAGAGGGCAAGTGACCGTGACCATCTCAACGTTTACCATTTTCTCCTCAAGAGACATCACCTCCAGTGTACGGCATGTCATGTTCTAGATGACTTCTGAACGAACATACTCACCAATGTCAAGCTCCCCTTTCCCTCGGAAAACAACCCGCAACGGAGGGAATCCGACACTCTACGATGACGGATGAACGAGAATCCGGCCAGAAGAGAATGGCGCCACCAAATTAGGTTGCTCAAGTGTGCCACGAGGTATTTAGCCTGAATACGGCACGGCGGTCGCGCGTGGCGCCATACCATAACGGTCGTCGGTCCGAAATTCCCCAAGATGCGAAAAGATCGGACGCCCCCCTTGTCACCTCTCATTCGTGGCTTTTTGACAGAGGCCCCTTCTTTTCCTCCACGAACCAATCGAGGCCCCTGGTTCTACCCCGAATCATCCACACTGCCCATATTGCTCCAAACCCCAACATCACCAGCCAATCTTCAGATGTTCATGTTGTACGGAGTACAGTGCTCACAAACGTCAAGCGCCTTGTTCTTTACTTCCAAAGTCTCGAGGCAGGCTTCTGTCAGCTCCGTGGGCTGCGTCGAGGCTGCCATACAGTAAGTGCTGTATGCTCTGCCCAACACCTTGTTTACTACAGGTCTCGCTGCCTCAAATACGGTTACTTTACGACTCCTCTAGAGTATTCACGGCAGGTATGCTCTTTAGCCCTAGTCTTTGTCTCACTCCCGACTACGTCGTGCCTCTCGGACGACGGTATCATCGTCTCCTTAGCTCATTTCCGTCAGCTAAACGAGGCTTCTTCCGTTCACCCTTCACAACCACGTGGCAACGACACATACCGTCTAGGCTTTCCGGTCATCTGGGGACATCGGCCGGTGAACTAGTGTACCGGCAGATCGCCTTCACACCGGGCACTCTGCCTCGATAGTAACTAGTCTTATGCTTACACCTTTGCCATCGCCGAAACTGAAGAACCCGCAGCCCCGCATTGAGCTTCAAATACTATCTACCTATTTGAGACACGAGTTCAATTTTCGTTTTCCAATCTAGAACGCGGCGGAGGCAAGTGCCCTGTCATCCGCTGGTTTTCAAATCTCATGCCGTCTTGGCTCAGCTAGGCTACCAAGAAATCCTCTCAACCAACAAATCAACATTAAGGGATCCGACTTCCATTGGCCATTGCTACTGTGATCGCTCTGAGCCAGAACGCCGCAACCCCACACATGTTGTTACGCTGCTCTGGGGCACGTCAAGTGACGGCGAGTTGCCAACAGGATCTCACATAACCCTGCCCTCATATCGCCACATACTCTGCAACTTGATGGAAGGCTGAGGACTATTCCACTCGAATCAGGTTCTTCTATAGGTCCACATATGTTTGTGAAATTCTCGTATCCACCCCCTTTGGACCAATACTCGCGGGAGCCTTCGGCAGCTGGACCGCTCTTCCATTCAACGAGGTTCACATTCCAGATTCTCTTTCTGGAGCCCCCTTCTCACCGTGCTAGGGCCGGACTGTCTGTCGGCTTGCTTATTCTCTCCCATTCTTCCCAGACGTTCATCGGACGAGGCACCAACGAGGCTCCCATCTCGCTTGATCGATCATAGTTCCAGGGAAAAGCAAGCGACCTGGGCCGCAGGTCCACTCCCGGCTTCTCGGGACCGGCATGATTCTCGGCCTTCTTAGTGGACTATCGGGGAGTTTCCCCGGCCCTTGCTGCATGTCGCGTAAGACCGCAGGCGTAAAGTAGACTTTCGGGACGAAAGCTCCTCCCGTGACCCGTAGCTCCAGTCTTCCGCTGATCTTGAGGTTCTTTCACACCCGTGGGCCCGGCTTCAGTCCAGGGATAGCGTTTCTTGATGAGAGATCGAGAAACTTGACCAAGAGGTGGCACATGCACCCAATACAAAGAAACACCATGATTTACGGGCCGCTCATGAGCCGCTCGATAAAGGAGGAAGCGGCATGCGACGGTGCCTGGCCAATGTGGGCAATGATGTGCTACTCTCGGGCGTCTAGGCCCGATGATACCTAATCGTTGCAACCTCAATCACCTGGTTGACCCTGTCTGTGTAGACGATCATCCAAACAAGGAGCATTCACTGAAACCGTTCCGTTATCTACTAAGCCAACCGTCCCACGCCCAGGACTTAGTAGAAACATGATTCTATTGTGTTGCCACCACACGGCCTATCCGGGCCTGCTAATAGGACCCATTATCCAGAGTTCTTGCTGCCAGGCACATTGATGGAAGTCTCCAGATGACCATGAGCCAGGCCCAAGCAATCTTCCGGCATTTGAATCTCATGACCTGGCATCTGCACTCGAAATCCGGGGTCGGGGGAAAGGAGAAATTTGGCTGCATGCAGTGAGTGGTATGCTGCCCCTCCCCCACCCACGTGCCGGCTAAAGTCGAATGTTGAGGCAACTCGGAGCTGGAATGATGCAGTTTACTCTATTTAGACAACGATGAAGTCTCTTAACGTAATGAGAGGGGAAGGGTTTCCTCGCAAATGTAATGGCGGCCTGTGGGTGCTTCATATCAGAGTTCATGAGCTACAACTAAGTATTCAGACCATGAAGATACTCTGACATAGGAGAGTCATTCTGGTATTGGTTCTATTACCTATTCTCCTCAAGCTGTTGATATCTCTCCAGATTACAGGACGTGAGGTTTGTTGGACTTGATTTACACTCTCAGTGTCCCAACTGCGTGATTCTGCCATTATGGTGAAGCACCCTTCGGACGTAGCAGCCACAGGCTCATGAGTTGTTGAGAATCAGTCAACTAAAGAGGTCTTTCACTTTCAAAGCTACAGCTGTTGCGGAAACATTGCTCGTATGCTCTTAAATTTGACCATTGAAATGATCAACTGATCAATAAGTTGTGCTGGTCCGCAGTACCGGCCAACCCACGAGCCTTTGGGAACTACTCCTTCCGTACATTAACGACATTTTTCATACCATCCAAGAACAAAAAGAAGTAATGGAGTGCATACAAAGAATTGCCATAGATGGGCTGAGGTTCTCGAGGTGCGTGAGTGTGCACCCTGCTTTCCCAAACAGTCTTATGCTATCAGCCTCTTTCGGTCTCCCATGGGAGTGTCAACTTTGGATCTGGATGATGGCGATGGTATGCCCCGCATTCTTAACTCTACATCGGAGTCATGGGCCATCGCCGGAAATGGAAAGAGCTTAATCACTTCATCACGCAACAAAATAGTCTGAGTGAGGGAAATCCGTTTGTGTCTCCCCCGCTGGGAGGCAATGATGATTGGCTTCCGTACGTCGAGCTTGATCAATGGGACTTTGATTTCTCGATGAGAATACGGGCAGGCTTTTTGCTGCTGACAGGGCTGGGCACAATGGACATCTGAGTTACCACCTTAGTAGGTAGAAGTCTTGATATAACCCGTCGTTAAGAAGACTCAAAGGCTCATGGGGCCGGCGACGATTTCGAGATGAAGACAGTGGAGCATACGACAATGAAATAAGAATGAATATTAGAGAGAAATAACAAATCCCTTGGTTGGATTCAAAAGAAATATCCAACTCATATCTACCTTACTTGATATTCATTCCACCAAACCGATATCGAGTGGTCCGTGGGATGGAGTTACCCATTCGGACATGTAAAGTCTGTGGTTGGACTTTATGGGCCGCTTATTTCTCCATTGACGTGTTGTGATGAAGACAAGACTTTTGCAATTGCCCCATGAGCTATCTGTCTGAAGTCTGAAGGGTCTTGACCTGCAGCCACACGCCTGATATGAAGAACAAGAATAACAATGTGCAGACCGCGAGCGGAATACACATTGCGATATCTTCACAATGGCACGAAGTCTATCGGATGCTATCACATTCGTGCTTATCAATGGTCTGCAGCTGCGATGCTAGTGTTGATCATGGGTCGTTCTGAAGGAAGTCAAATTCCGCCGCCTCGGACCCCTGACAATTTGGACCAAAGCGTGTCTCAGGCGGTTGGACATTGAATGAAGAAACCCAATTGGCCATTCTCATCTTTGAGAACCATGACCAGGCTTGTCGTCTTGTTGTTCAATCAAGTCAAAGACTCAAATATCTTTGACAAATCTGCTATTCTCATTTTTGTCTGGCTTTGAGCCGGGTTTCGTTCTGATTGACGAATGCTTGTACAAATGGTAGTTGACTCTCACGGAGAAAGACTTGGATTTTCGGGCAAGGTGTTGTCCGATAGTAGCCCGATGGATTATCGGCGGAGCTAGTCTGAGTCTTACTATGCGCGTTCAGAGGGCCAATCCCCTAATAACTGACGGGCTGCCCTCTCACCACTCAAGACTGCTAACTCCACGCCTGCATGGGCGAAATAGTCACCTGCTAACACAATACCATCAGGCATTTCGGTATGAAGTGAGTCCATTGTTGCAAAATGACCCGGCGGTGAAAGTGAGAGACCCCTCTTGTAGTGAAATATCTCGATGAAGTCAGGCTGGGGCGCGGCACCAAAAACCTCGGTCACAGCCATCAATGCTTCGTTCTTGATTTCTTCGTCTTCCATATCCGCGAGAGGCGGCGTGTAGAAATAAACACCGACTGCTTCCCCGCCAACAGGGACCGAGTTTGGATGGCGATGGCTCAGTAGCACGCAGGCGCCCCATTTTCTCAAATTAGTTGCCGGCAACGACACGGACGCCGGGAAGTTTGGCCAAGGGTTATTTTTGTAGCAGAGCTGCACGTGGGCATACTCTGAATAGCGGCAGTTTCGAAGCTTTGCTGCTGACTTTGTCGGGATGATATTGTGCAGGAGATCGGCGGCCACACCTGGTTCCGGCGCCATCACCAAGGCGTCAACCTCATACGGCTTGCCGCCAGCGTCGACAAAGTAGCCGCTAGCATCGCGTGTACGAACGGCATTGACCGGGCAGGAGAGATGGAGATCTAGACCGGGTGAACCCTCCACTAACCACTGGCTGAATTGACCGACGCCCTCTGGTGGTACCTGCAGTGATAGTTTGTAGAACTGCTGGCTGACGCCTTGAAATAATGGGGTGGATTGCCAGTGAAGAGGAACTGCATAGAGAAATCCCATGTACGGAAGAGTCAGGTGATTGGTCCCTTTCTTTCCTAGCACACGATCAGACCAGGTGTCCAATGTCTCGCCATGATCGTATTGTGCAAGTTCAGCACCATCGAAGAGTGATTTTGGTCCAGGAGAGAACAACTGCATGATGATGCTGATTCCGATTCTCAATTTGTCGAGCAAGTTGAAGACTGGTAGTTGAATAAAGCTTGTGACCTTGTCGAAGCGTGCAATATACCGCTGACGATCCCAGTCAACGACATGAGTGATAGGCTTCCATGACACTAAGTCTTTGTGGTGTTCGAGCTCCTTGAGGATGGCGGTGGTTCGAGAATAGATACCTCCCATCAAGAAGAGCGCCCCGGTTCCGAGATTGAAGCCTTCTTTGAGAACTTGGCTGGTACGTCCGCCGATGCGGTTATCGCGCTCGAAAAGATGTACATCGCAACCGGCCTTCCGCAGGGTGTACGCCGCGGTACAGCCAGCCGGTCCACCACCAATAACGGCAACTTTCATCGTTGTCAAATGTCGTCTTTGGGCTGAGGTACGAGCCGTTGATGTACGGAGAAAGATTCAATTTCGGGACTTTTATGTACAAAATGAACTGGGTCTTCGCTGCAATCACGACAGATCCACCGATAAATGTGAACCCACACCCTCGGCAGAGGTGAAGACCATCATATGACACGAGAAACTGCTCGGGACGGAGGAAACCCACCTCGCGATGTCTTGAACAACAGATTCCTTCACTTTTACCGTGCAATGTCCCGTCCAAACTTATTGATAAGGAGTAGCTTTTCCTTTCTATGGAGACGTGGCTGACACTGTCCAACCATAAACCCATAGTCTACTTACCTAGTAGTTCGGTAGCGTTTACCCCCGGGCCCGAGGCCGAGCCCGAGCCCGGATTGACGCGGAACATCCATGCAATGCCAGCAGTGATTCAACTAACAGTGCTGTTTTCATCAGCTCAAGCAACATCAGCGAGTCACCTCTGATAGTAGGTCAATGTGCCAAAGTGCGTATGAAACACAGGTTATCTGAGATTGGAGCAAGATCCAGCGAGAACAGCTGGTTGAGTATCCAAATAAATCCTTCGAGGTCGATGCCTGTCAAGCAGTGCCATCGCTGCAGTAACTTCAGATGTGCCAAGAATAGGCGATAATTGCAGGGGATTGCATCGGAAATCTTGAAGATTCTGGAGGATACAGGCATTGTGAAAGTCCGTTAAGCATGTGAAATTCCAATATAAACTGTCCCAGGCCCAATGCGGTCCGAATCCATAACACAAGCCCGGACTCCCTCGCCCTACCGTAAATCGATAAACCATCGAAAGGAAATCATTCGTCCACTGCCCTCATAGTTTAAAATGCCGTTTCATGCGTTTCCGAGTCGACTCTTGACTGCCTCACGTCCTCCCACTATCCGCCTGCCACACACAAGAAATCCCCTGCTCAGATCGAAGAAATGGTTCACCAACACATGCTCAGCCGTCCATCCTGCTGTGCCGACTCTTACGAGAACGTCTTCTTCAAGTAATCAATTCGATGTAATCGTTATAGGGGCTGGTGCTAGCGGAGTGACTACCGCCGCGCTTCTCGCCGAAAAGGGCTATAGCACGCTCATCGTCGAGGCAAAAGAGCGCATTGGCGGGCGTGCTTCCACGCGATCAGTTGATGGATTCTTGATCAATACTGGTGCCCTTGTAATCGAGTTCGACGGCGCTGTGTCTGCCACGTACCAAGCCCTCGGGCTGCAGCTCAACCTACACGAACCTGGTCGCGGAGCAACTGTTATACGTTGGGGGAATCGGGATATCAATGTTGTCGAAGGCATCTTTGGCCTGCTTCGCAACGCTGGACCTAGAGTGCTCGCCATCATGCTCTGGAGCCTGCCTTGGCTGCGTCCCAAGAAGAATGAGTCGACTCGTTCATGGCTCAGCAGATTCACGCACAACAGCACCATCCACGACTTGGCCGACAATGTTCTCGGATCCATCTTTGCAGCACGAGGCGATGTAGTTTTGGCGGAAGTTTTCTTGTACTACTTCCTAAAGGATACTTCTTTCAAAAAGATCGGACTTCCACCCGGCGGGACAATCGAGGTCTGGAAACCTTTGGCACGGCACATGCAGGCTTCTGGTGGCCAGGTCTGGCTTAACTCGACTGTCTCTAAGTTATTGACCGAACCTGATGGCAGCATATCAGGGGCTTTGGTCAAAGACGGAAGTGGTCGCGAGATCAAAGTGTTCTCTAAAGTAATTGTGAGCAGCATCGGGCCACATGGTACTGCGCTTCTCGCCGGCACCGATGTACTCCCAGCTGATTACACCGAAACCTTGCAGCGATGGAACAAAACAGCTGCTATTTTGACCATTCATTTTGCAAGTCGGAAGCCTCTCGCAACTTTCCCCTGTCTTGCCATGTTCAGCAAGACCCGCCGCTTGGTCTACGCAGGGAACTTCAGCGCTCCCGAGCTCAATCGCTGCCCCAAAGGATGGCATCTGTACTCCGGCGCATCTGTTCCAATACCGGCGATAGGTTCGTTCGACTTGGAGAAAGAAAAGAGTTTGCTGATTCAGGATCTGCGCGTCAACTTCCCAGGTTTTGACGAAGCCAAGATCCTGGCTATCGACGTTACTGCCGACGAATGGCCTGCGCAGCGTGCTGTGTCTGGCTATGATCAGCCGCAGACTACTCCTTTCCCGAACTTGTTCAACGTTGGCGACGGTACAAAGCCGTGGGCCTCGGGTGGAACAGCCGCTTGTTCGCGGTCGGGTCAGCTTGTTGCTGAGTTAATCTCCAAACAGTTTGCTTTGAAGATGTAGCATTGATAGACATCACTTATGAAAAGTTTCTGACGAATAAGATCGAAAGCATGGTCTATATGCATCCCGTGAAAGAATGGTGTCCGATGACATGTTTCCCCAATTCTGTCCCACTGCCCGATCAATGACAACCTCGGGATAGTGCACACGAGTCCGAAGCGGCTCCCTTCAACGTTACCGACCCAATTTTGACCTCCCAGTCAATTGATCGACTACTCCTCAGTCAATTGGTTGGGTTATTGCGACTAGTTGATCATCCGTATGCACTTCAGATTTGAAGTATGTTACATCATGTATAAGCCAACATGAAGTGCAAGAGCTCCTCACTAAGCATCGCTCAATCGACTATGGCACTAGTTTTGTCAACTTAATACTGTGGTAGATATGAATAAACCTGTGGTACTCAAGTATTCTAACCGGAAAAGAGCGCTTTGGAAGGCGGAGTCCGGGCCCGAAATGGACGAGGACAGGGTGGCATCGGCCTCGGCTTCGCTGTTTTTGGGGGCGGCGGCTAAGTTCACGGTCATAGCAACCCTAGGAGTATCACACACTCCATCACTGTCTCAGCCAAGTCTTGAGGTTTACTCTTGTTCACCCTAGTTTCTGCCCCCCCTTCATTACATCATTTCATGCCCCTAGCCAGACGCAAGTTAATGCACCCCGCGATCAATACATCATGACATCCAATTATTTGGTTACCCGTAGTGGTGATTTTCAAGCATTTACCTATATAGAGAGACTGTTGAAGAGCTCATATATAACATACCTGTGACTTCAAGCCGCAATTAAGAGGCAATGAAGGAAACTCTCTTCATGGCCCTATTTAAGTAAACCCTCAAACTCGACCATTCATTTACCTTCGTCTTGAAACAAGAATGATTCCAGTGACCTAATTTGGCATTTGCAATGTTCAATCCTCCCAGTTCATCCCTTCTTCTGGCCGCTACTGTTTTGTTCTTTCTTTGGAAAGTCAGCAAAGTGGGATCTAGGCCACACGGCTATCCACCCGGTCCACCGACGCTGCCTGTGCTAGGCAATCTGCATCTTGTTTGTGAACCAATCAAGTACACTGAGAGGGCGATCTCACTAATAGCATGGATATAGATGCCGAAATTGAGGCCACATCTTCAGCTGCAGAAATGGGCCAAAGAATATGGGTAATACTTCATCTTTACCATTACGGAGGATAATCAAAGAATTAAAGCAGACAAAGAGCCGAGGGAAGTCATGGAATTAATGTTGACTCAATGGTGCGGTAGGCCGATTTACTCATTGATACTCGGCACAAAAGTTATGATCGTTCTATCATCGGATACAGCCGTCAAAGAAATGTTGGACAAGAGGAGCGGCAACTACTCTGACCGGCCAGATATGTTTATCGGTCAAAAGGTAGCTAGCGGCGATCTCCGTCTTGTTGTGATGGTAAGTGACATTTGTCGCAGGTGCAAATGGAAACTAGACAGCTGACAACATACAGAGATACGGAGATAACTGGCGTATGATTCATCGCATGGTACACAACATATTGAACATTAAGGCTGCTGTCACGTACGTTCCTTATCAGGACCTCGAGAATAAGATTCTTCTGAAAGATCTATTGGAGACTCCTTCCGATTTCCTCCAGCACATCAGGAGATTTACCTACTCTCTTTCCACACAAATGATATACGGTTATCGCTGTACTGATAATCATGACCCGAAGCTTTTGCAGCTGTTTGAGGTAATGAAGTCTTCCTACCACACCAACACAAATTAATTAATGCCCAATACTGAATGTTAATGAAATAGAGCTTTGAGAACTGGGGCAGGTTGTCCGGAAGCTCTAGCGCTCAGCTAGCGGACATATATCCTTTTATCCAAAGCCTACCTAGTTCTATTGCGCCAAACGTCACATACGCCAAAAAGTTGTATGAGATAGAGAGCCAGAACTATCTCCGACATTGGATGGTGTCGAAGAAAGCGCTTGATGACGGAACAGGACTGGTAAGTGCCACAGCACAGGACTCAAGATTAAGAAATTCGAGCTGGGAACCATTTCTGACGAGTAAATCAACAGCCCTGCTTCTGTAACGACATCTATCGCGCTCAAACGAAAGAAGGCTTCAGCGACGATGTAGCTGCTTATATCAGCGGTTCGCTGCTTGAAGCAGGCTCGGATACGACAGCGGGAACTCTCTATGGTTTCATTCAGGCTATACTTGTGTGGCCAGAGGTACAAAAAAAGGCTCAAGAGGAGATTGATCGTGTCATTGGTAGTGCCCGTCTCCCCACCATCGACGATTACCAGGACCTGCCGTATATCCGCTGCTGTATCAAGGAGAGCCTGCGGTGGATGCCAACTGTCTTCCTTGGCGTGCCTCACGCAGCAGTCAAGGACGACGTTTACATGGGTTATAACATCCCGAAAGGCGCGACTATTATCAATAATGTGTGGTGAGTGAATCTCCTCAGTCGTGTCTCGCTGGAACTCCTTATCTGAATGTTGAACGTAACACAGGGCAATCCACATGGATGAAGAGCGCTCGCCCAACCCCCGCGTATTTGATCCTGAACGCTTCAAGGATGACCACACCACACTCTATCAATCTGCCATGGGGGACACGAAGAAACGCGACAACTTTGTATTCGGCGCGGGAAGACGGCTGTGTCAGGGTATCCACATCGCTGAAAGATCTCTCTTCCTGGGCATGTCGAGACTATTGTGGGCCTTTGACTTCTCCCCGGCTGTGGATGCCCAAGGCAATCGGGTGAAATACGACATTGAGAACCTCGTTGGTGGTATCACTGTCCAGCCATCTGACTATCCAGCTTGGATCGAGCCCCGGTCTGCGGAGAAAGTCGCTATTATCAAAGACGCCGCTGAAGAGTGCAAGCAGCTACTGAACCCAGTCACCATGCAATGGAAGCAGGTCCCAGAGGGCATGGCCTTCAGTACATGGATGCCGGACAGCAACTATGAGAACTTCGACAACATCTAGCTATGAGTACCTGAGATTAGTTAGGTTCTGAGCAAGAACTGGGATTATCCGATACCGTGTCTGTTTTGGAGTCATGGATAGTTCAATGAAGAGCGCCAGAAAGTCTTGTTTAGACGAACAGTTTTTCATGAAATGCCATCATCATAGCTGCACTACTTTGGGACTTGGAGGAAAAAAATCTATACGGTAAGCAAGATGAACTTCCGCAACACTGAGATAAGAAAGAAGTCAACGAACATTTCGTGCCAACTCATAAGCTCAAAAGGCGCCGGTGATGTGAAGGCATAATCTTAGGTTAAGAACACATCAAGAAAGACATGTGCTTCACCATACGTTAAGGCAGGATAGTTGAGGCAAAGAAAATGTACACGGCCGAAGATAACTAAACCGACGTGAACAGAAAGTTTACTATGAAAGACTATCGTTATCCCGAACATCCACCTACTCGCATCTGAGTTACCTCAGTTCGCAATGCCTTATGCCTTCATTGAAGTTTCAGAAGTCACTTCAACTCGAGGCTTGCGTCTTCGCTGACTGCTTTCCTTATACCCATGACGATGCGCCCAGAAACAGTACGTAGGACCGCATCTACGATTGCTGGTGATTCCACTGCCCGAGCTCTCCAGGCGACATGCTGGTCTGGGCGGATCAAGAGAAGATTTCTTTCATACAACGCTCTAGCTTGCGCCTCTTCTGAGAGATTGATCAGGGACAGACTTAAACCCAAATCGCTCGCGGCTTGGACGATATAATCTTGTCCCACATTAGTTTCGGTGAAGCAAAGAAGTGACCAGTGTTTCCCGAACTTGTCGAATATCGGGGTACCATCGGAGAGAAAAAGATGAGGGGGCCGGCCACCAGGCCACGTTGTTGGCGTGTAACAACGCGGATCCGAGAAAGGCTCACTGCCGTCATCTTCCTGGTGCAAAATGATGAGTGAGTTGTACCAGTATCCCATCTCTATCCCAAGGTCCCTATTTTCCCCATCATGGCTTTGGTAGAATTCGTGAACACGCTGTCTGAGAAGACGTGCTTCTTCAGTGTCGGCGTCGACGCGACGCGGATCACCGCCACTGAGCAACATCTGTAACTCCTTGTGGACCTTGAAATGATCGTGGGACCGCTCCACGTTTCGGAGGGCGACAGGTTTGCGCTCCAGTTCGTAAGACTCGAGGAGCCCTGGACCGCCCTCACCGTTGACGACCGAGGCGAGTTTCCACCCGAGGTCAAAGGCATCTCCGATGCCCATGTTCATCCCGTAGCCCCCTGTAGGAATATTCTGATGTGCTGAGTCGCCGGCGAGGAATACATGTCCTTCGCGGCTTCTCCAGTGATGTGTCACGGCGACGTTTGGCCTCCAGATTGAACGCACCAGAATCTCGTCGATCTGGAATTTGTACGGCTCGTAAAGCCCTCCAAGGACACGGTAAACTGCATGGTGAGACTCGATTTTTTCTGGCTCGGCATCAAGGGGAAGAAACAGATGGGTCGTCCAGGTATCCATTTCGTCTTGTGAGATAATGGCCCCTTCAAAGCCGCCTGACTGGCCGAGGAGGAAGATATGCCAGAACCTCCCTTGTTTGTGTAGTTTGGCTAGATCACGAGACTTGAAATGAACCAGTAAGGCACAAGAGGGTCTGGAAAGGTTTATTAGAGTCTGATCAATATTTGCCATGCTGGTCAAAACTTACATTGGGCCTCCGTCGAGAGGAATCGACAATGAAGTACGTGTTCGACTGGAGGCACCGTCACATCCTACGACGTAGTCGGATCTTACAACGGTTCTCTCTCCAGTATCCACGTCTGCGATTGTCGTGTGTGCGAAGCCCTCATGCTCTTCAACATGTTCAATCTTGAAGCCATAATTGAGGTCGATAAGTGGATCATCGTCACAGATTTTCTTCAGCCATCTTTCAAAGATGGCTTGCGAGACTCTTTGCCAAGGCTCTTGGGGCTGAGTGCCGTCGTTGGTGTTCTGGATTTGGGATCTGAACCTGTCTACTCCTGGCAGGTCCCATTGAGTGAGCGGCTTTTCGGCAGAGAGGCCAGTGGATATGATGACATTCTGATCGATGTTCGGCGGCACGCCTTGCTTTCGGAGGTCATCGGCAAGACCCAGCTTGCGAAAGATCTCCATTGACCGAGCATTAGTCAGGTCCATCTTGGGCCACTTGGTGGTGGTCTTATTGCGTTCGAAGAGTTTAGATTTCACGCCATAGAAGGAGAGGACTCGTGCAAGTAGCAGACCAATTGGTCCACCTCCCGCAATGACGACAACTCCCCTAGGTAGCAGCTCCATGCTAGTCTTTGGCATCGATCCATTCGAGGCCATGATCTTTGTGCTTTAATTCGGCGTGTTTGTTGACTTTTTTTTCTGCAGACGTCGGACCATCTCTTGGAAGACTGGCTGTACTTGTTCTATCATACGCGATAGATGCACATAGGCAGAGAAACCGCAAGATGGGTCTACATATAGGATTTAGACCACCAACGTGTAGAGTATTGGCCTGTCTCCGTCACGACCCTAGCCAGATGACGGGCCGGGTATTGTGTCGCTTGACCAGGTGACAACAGCCAATGTCGACATGAAATATATCAGTTTGTCTCCTGGCTTCCGTTTTTTCAGGGCCCCAGGTAGCGGCAGAGCCGATCCACCTATACCTTAGGCTATGTTACTTGGTAGGGGATTTCCACTGAAGGATTGCCGTCACTCCACGCTCACTCACTATACAACTAACTTACAGTAAAGAAAAGCGTCGCTATAGTTTCTTGCCGAGCTCGAATCAAAAGGGTGAAGACTAGTAAGTTGTGTGTGGTGAGACCGAATGCCCCGCTCAACGCAGCCCGAATACATTTTTCGGCCCCACACAAGCCGACGATAAGTGGACCCCGAGCCCGAAGCCGAAGCCTGAGCCCGACGGTCCGCTAGCCGTATCCGTGCCCCGACCCACAAGCCTCTTTGTGACCTTATTTTGGTGCTGATTCCATCCTTTTGTGAATGAAACCAGTCTTCTCAGTACACTTCATGTTTCCAGTATCTCCGAGGTCACCTCAGATGACGGTGGACTGAGAACTTTGGCACGGTACTTATTCAGGGGCCATCGCGTCAGTACTCCTGTCAAAAGTCTACGTCAACCCAAGCCTGTCATTGATGAAATCAATATTTTATATTTTTCTGCTGACTTCAATTGCCGGCCTTATGATTCCATTAACCTCTGTCAGCCAGTGGACACGCTGAAGAACTCGTTTTTCGTGAGCTTTTTACCAAGCTATGAGGCTTGCTTGAGGTACGTCGATACTAACCGCACTCCTCAGACTCGTCTTGTTTCAATGCACGCGGACGTCGCAAACTCACACATATGGGTAGCCATGTTGTTCATAGAAGCAGGCACAGAACCAAGTGTCTGCCATTGTTGATATACGTACCACAGGACACCCCAAATGGTTCACTCGGACCGGTCAATTGACTTCATTGAGATTGTGTGCAAGCGGAGAAAACAAGGCATTAAGAAATTGATCAAGCGACCGTTGTATCCCCTGCGGCTACTCTGACTCGTAGTCGAATCGATATTCCAGTCGGACAACCAGTCTCGAGCAAGGTTCGGCCGCCAACACCGGCTCTTGTTTTCCCAGCGGTAAGGAGGGTTTTCAGTACACATTAAGCCCAACCCAGACCCACGCTGGCGTGATGATACGAAAGCACGACAGGTTGGAGGGGTCTTCAGGGCCATCAAGGTTCATACATGTAGGTACTTAGTTGAGGGGATAGATTTTAGTAGGGATCACTCCTCGTCCACCTGCCGGCTTGAGAAATTGGCGTCTTATCCCTGTTCTCAGAGAGGGCACCTACATAGTACCAGCTCCCGAAGTACCTGCTCTTGCAAGGAGGACGTGAGTCTAAACCTTAGCCCCATGCTGATCCCTGCAAGTCAAGCTAAGCACTAGGTCAAAACGGCTTGTGGGACTTAGGCCCACTCAAGCCGATCTACCCTGGTACGGATACATGAAAGACACGGGTGGAACACATGGGCAGCCAGAAGCAATTCGCTAGTGTCGGATAGCTAGTTCATGTAATATCTAGGCTGAATGAACTCTGTCTGTCTAGTATGACCTACGGAGTACCTAGGTATGAAGAAAATGAAGCTCAAGATGTCAGGACCCAGCCAGTCGGGACGATGGCTAGCCTAATTACCTTATATCTTGCAGCACAGGGGAGAATAGTGCTTAAGACATCATTGCTGAGACGCTTGCTTCGTGGTACAGTCTGCTGCCTTGTTCTGCTAGTGACGAACCTCGTACCTCGCTTGTACAGTCGGGGCTGGATGATCAGATTAACAGTGTGGGGCGGGATACTTGGCGGCTTGCAGGTCCTTGGGTACTGACATGATAGTTCGTTTACCTAGACAGGACTGAGCGAGGTTTTTCCATCGACTCACAAGCAAGAGACTGCAAGTACGTCCATTATCCTGGAGCTGAGGCATTTTATAGCAAGGTTGAGGGTGTTGACTGGTGTGCCTTTGAGCTTGGCCGTTGTGGAGGCGAGGCTCCAGAGGACCAGACGTCTAGGACCAGCAGAAGCTCGATTGGATGCTGCCAACAGGCAAAGGCAAGCTATAAAGAAGGTGCGTTTTTCTTCGAAAACTAGTTTGGTGGCATGTCTTACCCTGTCAATCATCGTTTTCCATATTATTTCGGATTCTCACCATGGCGGCCTATGCCACCGACAATGAAGCCGCAGTCCATAAGATTACCACTGAAGGTGCACCCGGCGTCAAGCCACGAAGCGCCCTTCTCAATAGTGAGGCTGTGGATGACATCTCTGCGGATGATCATGAGCAGCGCATGAAGGACCGCGCGCTTCTCTCTGCCGAAGAAGAGAAGAAGCTCTTGCGCCGCGTCGACTTCCGCTTAATGATCTTGTGCGCTATCATCTTTATGATCAAGAACATCGATTCGAACAATGTCAGAATTAAAGATCACCTCATTGGCGGCAGTGGAACTAATGCATAGCAGGTCGCAAATGCCAGAATCATGAACAAAGGCACCCCTCGGAACATCATGACGCAGCTCAAAATGACTGCTGATGACTATAACTGGGTCAGCACAATTTACAACGTGAGTGTCTCGAAGCCGTTATAAGATACTGAACAATAGTTAAGAGAACATGATTCACAGATTCCGTTTATGATTTGCGAGATTCCCACCAATATGGTCGTGAAAAAGATGCTCCCTTCGCGATTCCAGTCGCGCATCATGGTAAGCACCGCACCGAGGGACATAATGCGTGGAACCTGGCAATAGCATGGCTTGCTGACCTGCGTAGGTAACTTGGGGAATTGTTTTGGCTTGCCATGCTGCCGTTACATCTAGTGCTGGCCTCCTGACCGCCCGCTTCTTCCTTGGTCTTGTGAGCTGTCACTGATATGGGTCCTTGTAATCACCGATATTGACCACCCAACAGGCCGAGTCTGGCATGTTTCCAGGGATCATTCTACAAATGAGCTACTGGTACCGCGCCGATGAGATGACTCCTCGGCTTTTGATTTTCTGTACGTGATACTCATCATAATGTTTCAGGGCTGTGGAAGGAATTGGTCACTGATGTAACGTGACAACAGACTCATTCGAATTCTTTGCCAACATTGTGAGTGCTGTTCTGGCCTTTGGGTTCAGCGGCATGAACGGGCGACATGGCTTGTCTGGCTGGCAATGGTTGGTTTGCTTTTCCTCCCGTCGGCTGCTTCCAGCCCTTAGATTTATCGCTAACTAGAAGTGCAGGTTCTTTCTAGTTGAGGGTGTGATTACGATTGGCTTCGGCGTTTTGCTTCTCTTCATCTTCCCTGATTGTAAGATCACCTACCTCAACCATCCTTGCAAGACTGCTCACGAGTCTGGTACCCAGTTCCCGCGCAGGCCAAATGGCTGACCGACAAGGAGAAGCGATTCCTCCAAGCTCGCCTACCACCAAACGCCCCTCGCTCTTCCGAGAGCAATTTCAAGGCGAGTGAGATCTGGGATACCATGAAGGACCAGCGCCTCTGGTGGTTCGCGTTCATCTGGGCTACCAAGACGATTGGTAGCACTGGTCTTTCGTTCTACTTGCCGACCATCGTCGCCAGTCTGGGACTTGCGTGAGTGACAATCCATGCCGCAGATGCCCGTCGTGTGTAGTTCTGACTCATATCTCGCAGTTCCATCGCCGAAAGCCAGCTGCTCACCATCCCATCCTCGGTTCTAGCCATTATCCTCATTGGCATCAGCGGTTACTTGACTAATTCTTTGGCTGTGCCGTACCCCCTCGTGGCACTGGTGTACCTGGTCTCTAATTTAGCGTGCTACGGCGTTATGGTCGCATACCCGAACAACGGAGGCGCGTATGCTGCTACGCTAATTGCCGCGGGTGTCTCGCTGGCCTGGTTCGCTACCATGTGGCCATGGCGTCTTCAGACGACGTTCAGGGCAACGGGTTCGGCCTTTGCTATCGCATGGGTAAACGCCCTTGGTGGAATTGGTACTATTGTTGGTCCCCAGATCTTTCGCTCTAAGTACGCACCCGAGTACACAGTGTCGTTCGCGGTCGCCATGGGCATGACAGGCGCGTGCATCCTCGCCATCTGCTGGACTTGGTGGATTACAAGGGAGACGGAGAGGCAGACCCGTCACTTGAGAAAGAGACGTCTCGCCGCCCACAAAACTAACGAGGTCATCTTGGATGATGTTGACATCGACGCTGACTTCAAAACACCGAAGGTGCACACTTAGGCGAGTGTCAGACACTTTGTGCCTGTAACTCGATCAACTCGCCACTAGAAATAGTGTTCTTGGTTCAAAGTAGCGCAAGGTAAAATCAAGATATATGTAAAGTATGTATGTATATATATTGGTACTCCTCTGATCATGTTGAGCTGAAGGTCATCATGTCGAGAGTGTTACCGGCTTCCTTATGTTCGCAAGCCGCTTGGGTGGTCTGGCAGTTCAAAGCCTTTGGAAGCTTGTGCTGAATTGTTTGAATTATGCCAGTAATTTCTTTCAGGGAGCGAGAGCGGCGGCGGTTGAATGGTCTTCTGCAGCGATCGTAGCTACCTCAGCACACTAATCTACTCGAACCAAGGGGACGAGCTTTGAATACAGGAGTGGCGCATGCCCCTGAAACTGGCATATTCACACCTCGGATTTCCGCCTCAGCTCGGAAAGCCGAGCAGTTGCGAAAGATCCAACAGTGCGTGTGGGGCGGCTTCACGCCCCGGTTACACGGACGACTGCAATCATGACCATGCAAAGGTCGACAGCACCGGTTTTGTTACGATCAGATACACGAATGAGAAGCGCGATTTCTTGACCGTGCTGTATTAACACTTCAGACCTTTTTGATCCCTCTTGTGCTTCGTATGATCTTGTCTTTGAACACCAGGGTAATGTAAATCGACCCTGGCACATATACTGTGTCCATATACGAACGCATGCAGACGTAATACCACGGTCCTAGCTTCGATGCCGAAAGCAATATCGCTGTCTAATCTATAAGCCCAAGTGCGACTGACAGCTCATTCAAATCTTTCAGGAAGCTGCTCCATCTGACGTGTTACAGGCTGGCTATGATAACAACGATATCGTCGGCAGGTCTTACCGATTTTAGCCAGGATTACATCCTATAGAGCATTGCCGTTGCATTTTCCGCTGTCTGGCAGTGTCTGAGCAAGCACCTGGTGATGGATCTTCGGTATCGAAAATTGGAGGTCTTATTGCTGTATCAATGTGCTGTGAAAGTGGGCACGGGAATTGTGTTTCCCCGAGCCCCTCTCGATGCATTCATAAGCCCTCGGCGCAAGTGGCAAGTCTCATAGGATGATCAACTTCCTCATAAGGTTCCCTTGTGTCAATGTGACTATGGGGATCTAACATGGCACTGACGTGCTACGATTTGGTTCAAGCTGCCCTCTTTCTTAACGTTGAGATATCCCCATGTACCTTTAGCGTGATGATGATGGTGTAGAGAAGGTCAAGAAACATTCAACAGATAGTACAGAGCCATGAATCTAAGATAGTGATGGAGAATTAATCTTGAACTAGCGAAATGTCGCAAGACTGGGCTCGCCAATGCGAAGCCAAGTAGGGTGTACGCTACCTAAGGGAAAGTAGGGATCTCGCCCAGTGTGACACCACCAAGGCTTGATCTAGTTCCAAGCTGCAGGACTGTGCACAGCTCTGGTCTTAACGCAATCAAGACAGCCTTCGCCTTAAAATTAGGTACATCAATGACAACTTTTGACAATCAACCAGGTTAATTGATCAGGTCATCTTATATGTACCTAGAAACTTTAAGGGCGCTACAGGCGTTGTTTCTTTAATACAAAGAGATATGATTTTTCTCATGAAGAAAGTTCAAAAAAAAACATTGATTCAGATAACGTAATTGATTGAGTAAGTTTGATTTTGAGTTTCGGTCAACTAAGGGCGAACTTTTGGAAGTTGACTGAGCTGATTGTTAAGTTCATGGTTGAAGTTGCGTTGAGTGCATAAGCCGTATCTCTTGTGGGGCCGGAAACATCCCACCCGGGCCTTCAGCTCGTGTCAATGAACTCGACCAGTGACACCTTGTATCAGTATGCCACTAGCTGACATTGAGAGGTTCGATCGCTGCGAGAATACTCAACGAGTTCAATGATCCACCATGCAGGTAGATGCAATCGCCGCCAACAAACAGGGCGCAGACGGACGGCTCGTATAGTCATTCTCCGTGGATCAACAAGATTGGAATGAAAATGGCAGGCAAATGTGACATCTGCTCACTTTTTGTCAGGAGATACCTCGGTTACCGAGCAAAAATTGCTCGGCCGAGCTGAGCTCGCAGCTGTCTGCTCTGTAGGGTTAGGTTCTCAACGAGGCAGAAGGCCATTGACAGGCGTGTAATCAGATTGATTGATTGATAAGATGCATGTAAGGTATTTCGACGTGATTAGATTGGACGAGCATGGTTCATGGGTACTGCATACGCGATCCCCACGCCGTAACCCCCCGGGTCCTCGGATACTCCACGTCCGGCTGACGAAGGAGCATGCGTCGCCATATTGGCCTACCCTTAAGAAAAGTCTTGGTAGCTCTTAGCGTGCGCCTCAGCCTTTTAACCGAAGTAACCTTGCCGACTTCATGACATACACTTTCCATCCCTCTTACGAAATAAGCTTACTTACTACCTCGTTTACAATTTGGCAAGGTCGCCCATTGATCGGAGGAGAAGTCGGATTTTGATATATACCCGTATATCTCTCTACTTGGTGATCAAAGATGCAGGGTATGTCCCCAAAATGGGAGCCACCCACAGCAAATAAAGGCAAGGAAATGGCACAGAGACCCGATACAAGTGTGCACTAAAACATCCTTACGATAAACTACTGGGAGGTCGCACATAGCCTCGGATCTATCCTCTTGAGTACCTAGTGGGAAACAGACCCCACAGACTGCCCATGATGAGCTGGAACGTTGGGCTTCCCGCAGGGGTCCTCCAACTGCAAGCCCAACTTACGCATGGCTCGAATCCCGCCGTTCATGCTGTCTGCAGCGTATCCCTTCGCGCGCAAAACACTGGTGGCTACGCGAGCAGAGTCTCCATCATAGCAAATGATGAGTGACAGTTTGTCTCGGAGCTGGGAGCAGATGTCTTCGTTCTCAGAGCTAAGCTTGGCCTCAAGCTCTTGCCAAAGCGATGCCAACACCTTTGGATCTGCGAAGGGGCTCGGAGTGCCTGAATGAATCAGCGGGAAGTTCACAGATCCAGGCAGACTGAACTGCTCGAAGTCCTCGGGTTGGCGCAAGTCAACCACGATAGTGTCTGGTGACGGAGCTATGATTCTTTCCCAGCCTTGTCGTTCATCAGAACGTCTTTTGGATAAGAAGAAAAGGAGATCTCTGGTGAGAACTTTGTCCAGACGGTAGAAATCGTTTAGGGCCACTAGCGGATCCTTTTCCCACGCCGAGTCGTAGCGGTACAGGTCAACGTCACTCAATTCCTAGGCGTTTCAAGATCAGCGAGATGTAAAACACCGCGGGCATGATGGAGAACATGTACATACCGAGTTTCTGATCGGAGGGAACTGCTCAGCTTCCAGCTTGGCAAAATACTCATCCATGTATTGGTACGGGAGATCGCAACACAAAGTGACGCAGTGAATTTGGCCGTCTTCCCCTGTAAGCTCACTCAAGGTCCCTTCCTTCTTTCTTTTCTCAATGAACTGATAAAGCCCTTGGAGATTAAATCCGGAGGAGGGGCCGCAAACAATGCCATTCCGGCAAAGTTCCAACGAAAGCGAGTATGAGGGGTGGGATGCGACCTCCTCGATATGATCCACAGCTGACTTCCAGGGAAAGTTGACTGGAGCTAGGAGAGCCAGGGACCGTGGTCCTGGAACTCTGTCGCCTGCGGCAGTGCACACGCTGTGAATGCTGTTAGAAGGCACTGTGAAGCGGGCGCATTGGATTTCTCACCCCAAACGGAACACAGACGGGCTCTTTTTCTTGAAAAAGCTCCCCAAGCCTGACATTGTACCTGGAAACCATAGTGTTAGACTCGTGACGTTGAAAGAAACTCAAAGCTCTCGAAGATGGGATGTACCAGAGGTTCCCATTCCTGCGCAAATCAGGCTTATTTCCGGGAGTTGTTCCAGAATCTGCGGACCTGTCCATCGCATATGAGATTGCCAGTTCTAGAAGGCTTGATTAGCAGCTGTAAACAATCCATAACTGTTGGCAGGAATTCTCACCAGATCGTTGTTATACTGGTCCGGGTTGAGCACGGATTCAGATTCCTGTGCCCAGCGGTATGCGGCTCGAATTCCGCCACGCTCGTCGTTCGGCTCGGGCTGCGACGGACCGCCGAATAAGGTACTGTGACAGAGCCATATTTAGCATAATCACGGCGCACAGAAAGGGATGTCACCTAGCCAAAACAGCTCAGCTTACATGTTAAGACCAAAGAATTGCATCAATTTCAATTTTGCTGCTGTCGTCTTATTGCTTAGGAAAGCGTGTACATCTCCCAAGTCGTAAAGGACGCGAGACATCAGAGCCATGGAAATGACTGTTGACCCAGAGCTGTACTCAACTACCGTCTTGGTCTTATCGGGCGCTACTCCATGCTCCAGGAGATTGAGAGCTTTGTCGAATCACGGGTTAGCACCTCGAACCTCGTCTTCGGTAAGAAGATTTTCTCGACTTGATTACCTGGCATAGATTTGACATTGTTTGCTGGGTGCATAGTCATCATTTTGGCGTAGATGCGGACGCCATCCTGTCGGTAAGGATTGAGGGAGTTGGGAAGCTCCACAAGAGGCAATGGTGGTGCCTTGTCAGGACTGAAGTAGTCCTTAACAGACTCAGGGCCTTTATAAACGTTGAGGTTGTTACGTGGCTGCATCTCGAGGTTGTTGTTGCAAAGAGAAGAAATCAATGTGCGGGAAGTTTTTGTTAGGAAATGTAAAGCTTGGGAAGCGTTCAGCTGTAGGAATGGTGTTATGTTTTAGAGCAGATTGTCTAATGTATTCAAGAAAAGCAGCGAGCATCGATATTGTCGCATATTCCGGGCTGGACCAAATACCCAACTACACCAATCAACGATCTGTCTGAACCATTCGATCGCTTACAAGCCTGGCGATATTACATCACGTCTACACTCTGCGCCTGTCCATCGGACGCGGCAGGGGGTGCGAAAAGTCATGAGTGATTTTCGCCGTCAGAAATCAATCACACCAAACAAATGGCTCACAAGA